TAGTAACATCCTGTATAATAAGTAATAAAACAACAAAACTAATGCACCATAGAAACGGCTTAACTCTAGCGAGAAACGAAGGCCGTTGTAAAAAAATGATTGTCTGCAAACGTACACGTATACTGGAGTTTCCGTTAATAAGGAGTCACAAATTGCCACGTCCGCTGTCGAGCGAGCTTTGTTTGGCCTTCTTTTAGCGAACTATCCACCGTTTGTGCGAAATAATTAAAACTCTACTAGAGAAAAAGCCTCCGGAGAGCACTCGTGTCTTTTCCATGGACGCGAAATGAGATGCCTACTTTCCTCGGTCTTACCGCTTTTCTCGATAGTACAAACGCTGTTCCAATTTACAAAAAAACCTCACCAACACGAAGATTTTGGAAGTTTATTTTTCGAAAAATTGCAGCTTATTAAAGTTACTTAAATAGGATAACGTTCGGGGGAACCCTACCTATCACCCCGCAAAAATACCACAACTTTACGAATCCGCATTGCTCCCGAAGAGCTTCGGTCCTGATTTAACACATCGACCCGGCGTGCCGGTCCCCGGGGGCGGCGACACCGGCCCGAAAACCGTCCCGTTGCAGCTCCTCCGGGACCGAGTTAGCGAGCGACCCGCCAACGTCTATACGGCCGTATCGGCTTATTCCCGTTTACGCTAATGCATCCCCATTCAATTATTTATCAGAATTTAATTCGCACTAGGTTTACCTGCTTACGGCAGTTAATAAATATGCATATACAGAGGATCTTCCAGTATATTCTTATTACTATACTGGGGCGTCTCAAAAAGTTTGAGACTATATGCAGTCTTCTGAGATGAAAATAAGATGATTTCTGTATTCAAAAGTGCTTAGTAAAGATGTTACACGATGGTAAAAAATAAAAAAGAGATTTGTTAATATTAATTAATTATAATAACCTTTATTGTGTTAAATACCTACAAAAATGCACATTTACAATAGTAAACAAGATTACAAAATATACACATATAATATATAAAATAAAAATAATAATATAAAAAAATTGGGACAGAATACAGAATATCTCTATATTTCACATTTTTTACCAGCTCTACTACTTGCTATATTGCTTCTCTTCTAGATAATATGTTCGAGGTAAGTGTTTAAAAGGAGTCTAGTAAAGTGGATTCATCTTGTACTAAAAGCGTCGAAATGCGCCCCATTTTAATGGCTAATTAACGCGCCGTCCGACAAACTGCGTAAGGAAAATTCGAATTCATCCGGTTATTGTTCGTGGTTGGAGGGAAGAAAGGGAGCCCGTTTAGGGCGGGCTGGTTAGCGATGTATCTCACGACACTTCGCGCTTTTCGCCTCTGCATCGGGCCCGGCTTTCCGCTTGCTTTCTTGCGAGGTGTCGAATGGATTCCTCGGGTTTTCTGGGTCATTAAATAACAATGATGCGACGGGCGTGTCGCGACTTCTGCCGTGCATTGGGACCTCTCGCTCCGTCGCAATGTTAATGTTATTGCATTTTTTTTCTGCTGGGTCGAGTTAACTAATGTAATTAGCGTGTTTTTATTTGCTCGGGCTGTTGAATTAAACACTTTGTTTCAGCTGGAATTTTTTCATTATGCGGATGAAATTTTCATGTATTCGGGTTATTGAATTTTCAAAGGAAATATTGCCCGTATTTCGGAAATTTGGGATATCTAATAAAATCCGACGTTCACCGCCGATTTTCTCGGACGTAACAAGTGGTTTTTTTTTTCATCTTACCGTTTCCTAGTCTTTTCCAGATTTCCCAGTGTTCGAATTTATTTTTTCCGAATCGGCTTGTTCGCCGGGCAAGAACGAATTTCTTACTCGTTTTTTTTTGAAAGGTATTATTATTTGTTATTGTTCCGTAATTTGCGTGCTTTCTGAGCGTGGAAATAAATTCAAAAATATGATACAAGAAAAGCATCCTCCGGCGTTTCGAACAATGGGATTTCCGGTTGATTTGCAAATAAAAATTGCGTGGGCATATTAATACTTGATTTAAAGAAAATTCAGAAGGTTTTTTTCTCACAGGTATTATAAACCTACATGGTGTATGTTTTATTTATAAAAGTATCTTGAAAAAATGTGTATAAAGGACATCTATAATAAATACAGAAAGGTCTATATTTATTTAACAATCCAATTTATTTAACTATGGCATATTTTGAATAACTTTCTACCCACTTTTATTTACTTTTACTAAGTTATATTGACTCCCTCTTCAACTTTAATTAATTTTCTCCATTCCCCGCTTTTATGGAATTTTCTTATTTAATTATGTGAGACACATTTTTGCGATGCTTTGATTGGTGCTTCAATATCCTCCTAAAATAACGAGAATATCCAATTACTGCTGCATTAAATAAATAGAACACTGAAAATGAAACGTCGAGCTTAAAATATTCTTTGCTTTTAATAAGGCCAAAATTAAGTCCTTTAAGAAGGGAAAACTAAGACGTGTCCTACAAAGAGAGCTAAGAAATTAAATATTAAGCTAGGGCATTAATTATAAATTTAACTCAAGTCGAAATAGTGGAGACAGAATTATAATATTCATTAATTCTATTTATAATAGATCTCAAAGTTCAACACCCACGCGGGTAAAATAGGTTGAAACTTAGTAAACAATTTGGAAGTAAATACTTCGAGTTTGTGCTTTATAGTTTAGAAAAATGAGCGACTGGGAAAGCAGTGTCTCATTTTCGTAGAAACTCCTAAACTCCTAATTTTCAAAGCAAAACGAATGAAGATAACTCGATTAATATCTACATATACAAGTATCATATTTTAAGAAGAAAAGTCATTAGAAACTCGCGGAGTTAGGTGCAAAAATGAATAAAGGAAAACACCAGGAAATATGAGAAAAAACCCGAAAGCCTCATGAATAATTGAGAGCGTTCGGAAGGCAATTTTTTTATTCCTCATGGAAATAAAATATCTCGTTTCCCCTCGGCCGTACTGCGTAGAAATTAATTTTATTAGACAGTTTGTTTCGCATTACACCTCTTTTCGAAATCAACGACCCTCACAAAAGCCGTACTGTTTTGTTGATTCCCGTGAAAATACGGCCGTGACGCGGGAAGAGTAATTAGAAATCGTCGCCTCCGGCCTGAAAAAACATTTTATAACGGGCCCTTTTAATTACACAAAAAATACGTGACCTAAAAATTCTAATTTGACGAAAACTGCTTCAAGATTTACCCGAGCGGATGGGTCGTAAAGTGGAGTGAACATTCTTCTATACTCGTTTATAATTAATGTTTACAATAGACAGGAAAATTGTTTATTAAATTTTAATAAACAATACATTTAATAATTAATTTTTTTGAGGGATTTTAAGATGGATTTTAGAAAAAATTATTATTTATGAACTTTAACATGCCGTAATCAAGAAAAACCGAACACCCTTCAAATCAGGAACATAAAATTTAAAATTTGCTCGAGAGGTTTTCCCCCAAAAATAAATAAAAACAGTCCTTTAAAACTGCTATAAAATTTTTTGAAAGTTCATCAAACAAACATAAAAAACCCATCACAACACATCAAAAATTTCTCCAATAAAACTCGGAATTATACTCTAAAACTTCAAAATGGCAACATTTATTCCAACAATTTATCCTCTACACACATCCATATACATATCACAAACTTAATAAAAACACTTAAGCAAAGTAACACTGCACCTCATAATCATATTCTGAAGCGATAAATAACAACAATGAGTACCGCAAGTTTATTTCTTATTGCACATTCGCTGGGATATCTTCCTTAATGGATCGCTTAATTCGGGTTGTTTCAAAGTTCGCTCCATAAATTCGACAAGTAATTTGCCAGTCTTCAACATCTGTTGAAATATTTGAACTTGATTGATGAAGAACGAACGGCGCTCCCCGGATCCCGGCGAACAAGACATCAGATGATGCTCGTTCGAAAACTTTAACCGGATAATTTATTACCTCAAAACACCGGATGATTTTCTATTTATACCGAATTCTGCACGGCTCCGTTCGGAATTTTTTGAATTAATAAAATTTCCGCACTCGAAACATCAATTTAATTTAATACGCCGCTAAGTAATCGTTAAAGTGAAACGGATCCGTTGGAATTTATCACTTTTGTTAAACAGCTCGGCAATCAGCGTTTAGACTCGAAATTGATCCAGAAACTACATTAAAAGGAAATGCCGAACATAAATTTCATAAGCCTCGAAATATCACCCCTTAATTCTACAACTGCTGTAATGCTCTTCGAAATTCACTGGCGAATTTCTGGGGAGATTGTTAGCATTTTCAACCGCTTATTGAATCAGGTATTATCTAAATAACTGCAATTAATTGGCGTTTTAAAAATCGATGAATTTAATGAGTAGGTACATGATTGTTTTTGTAATTAGTTTTTTACAACAAAGTGTTTGTTGTATTTTCATGAAAATATAAAAGAGCAAGATAGAGATTATTTTGAAATAACACAAATTAACTTGTAGAATTTTCTTTAAAAATGTTCATTTTATGGTAATTAAATGTTAATTTTATAATGTTTAATTGGCTCAAATGTTGGGTTCAGTTTACTGTTTCAAAGTCCGTTTCACATTATCCAATTCGCTGGTTTTTGCGGCCAGAACATTGTACAATTTTATTAATGTAATACAAATTGTTGGGATAATGTAAAACAGCAAATTAGATCAAAATTTATTGAGGCATCAGTTTATGGAATTAATATTAACTTGCTATACAATAGTAAATTGTCTCCAATATTCAGTAATGAGTAAAACATTTGATGTTTCATGTTAATAATTAATTTGTAGAATTTTTTTGAGTATATTTTGTTATGTCCTTCTTATAAAAAGAGCTTTAGAAAATTTTTTTAAAGTTTTTATGATTTTGTGGAATGTGTAAAAATTCTTGGAAGAGTTGGGTATAAAAATAGAGCAAGAAAATGTGCATAGGGAGAAGAAAAAAAATCCCGATCGTATGAAGCGGTGCGCATGCGTTCACCCACCTCATCGTAGATGAAATTGTCGATCTCCTCCAATGGCCTGCCATACAACTTGGGGGGAAACGGTTCAAATTTCGCCGGCAACCGCGACCCATCCTCGACACTCAACTTCCTCCTCGGCTGGAAGCCGTACTCGCGCACCAGTTGCACAGTCTTTTTCTGCAACTTCTCGAGCGACTCCTTGGTGAACGGCCTCACCTGGGTCTTGCTCCTGGCCGGCGCGGCCGGCCGCAGCGGATCCGACAGCCGCTTCTCCGGGTTGAAGTGGTCGAGTTCGACGCCGCTCTCCGGCCCGCACGGGTACGAAACGGGCCTCCTGGATCGCGGGGTCGAGGCGCCTTCGGCGCGGTCGTCATGTCCGGCGGTCGCCGATTGGGGCGCTTCGTGGTCCGGACTCGACATCAACTCTTATTTGAGCGAGGGCCTCGCCAAGCGAAACGACATGGTGAAAAGCTCGCGGTAAACTGAATGGAAAACCGACGGCTGACGTCGATGGGACAGGCGCACATGCACCCCCCCGACGGACCTGTACACGACGGATTTCGAAGAAACTTTCAACATTGCTGCCCCCCGACGTTATTTGCGGTCCTGTATATGACGAGTTTAATGCGTGCTTAGGGCTGGAATGGTAGTCAATGCGGATAAAATTTGATTGATATAGCGCCTTCCGAGATTTATTTTCATTTTACCCGAACGTTATAAAATGCATACATAATTTACACCACCACGCTATTATTTTATTAAGTAGTTTGCCAACTGGACGTAAATAAAATATATAACTAGGGAGAAAGCTGAGGAAATGGGAGCTTTTATTATGGCAATCAAAAATTCCATTTAAATCGAAATTTATTTTATTTTTATATTAAGTATATTTATTTTTTAACAAAATATTTTATTACCCACTGTTATAAACAATTAATGAACTCAACAGTAAATATGTGAGAGTACCTACGATGCGCATTGACGGGTTCAATTTATTTAAAATCCGCGCAACTCACGTCCGCTACTACTCATGTTGGTCTGTACAAATGTGTGGAAATCACACCAAGTAGGATACAGCATTCATTATCCGTTTTTGAATAGGTTTATAATTTATTAACGAGGCCAATAGAGCGCAATATATTTAATGTTTTCGCTACATTGAGAGCGAGTACAAGTTTTGAATAACTTAGGAACTATTAATTATAGTCTGTCAATACTCGCTGGTAAACTTTAAGTAAACTTGGAGCACCTAAGGGAAATGTATATTTAAACTAGTGCAAAAAGTAATTACTAATTAGGAATATTTGGTTTAGATGAAACAGGAAGCATCCCTTCGAGGACTCTAAAGTATCTTGCCATATGCGAGTACGCGGGTAATTAGAAATGGGAATTTTTATGAATTTTTGTGCCGCATAGAAATGTGGTAGAAATAGTAAACAGTATAGAAATAGTGACGTATTATGACGCACTCGGCTCCGCAGACACGCGATCGATATACCCCATACTGAACCATCGACTGGTAGTTTAAATTTACGACAATTTTTTTTCTCCTTTTCCTAAGTGGCCTATAATTTATGGTCGCCTTCAATTTAATCTATTTTTGTCCAATTTTCTAGGATAATGTAATCGAATTTTGTATACATTGATTGGAAGGGGATTGGGGAAGATTTCCCGAACGGCCAGTACGGACCTGGGTAGGAACAGATAAGGTAGTTACTATTAAAAAAAAAGGAACTTATATTAGCATTTTGTATCGTAAATTTATTTAAAAAACTCTTCCGGTTTCAACAATATTTTAAATTTTCCCGATGGTCTATCAAGTCAAAATATACCTAAGGACCTTTCATCTATAATAACTCTGGAAATACTCATTCCAAAAACTTCATCCATGATTTATTTTGTAGAGAAAACATCATTCTCAAACATTCCTATTTACATAATTTTTCTGACCCTTTGAATTTATACAAGATTTCCATTTTTCATAACGCTTTTACACCTCTCCAAAACTACCTATTTCCTTTAATTTCATCAATCACGAGTTAAGCAAGAGGAAGTTACCTTCGCAATAAATCTGCAATTAGGATATTCCTTCGGAGGAATAACAATATCGCCAGTACGCGTTGAAATTACCAATTAATATCCTTACAAAACAATATAATCCGCAACCTCTAGCCGCTATTTTCATATTCTAGGGAGGAGTTTCGGGTTTTTCAAATGCCCGTCATATAAATGCAAATTATTTCGACGGAATTTCGACGGCACAAAAAAATAATATTAAAATTTTCGTTCGGAAATCTCGATACGAATCGGATGTTTCTTTCGAATCTCTGAAAGGTTTTTGGACTGAACGAGACGAGAACAATCGCGAGAATTATTATTTCTAACTGTAAAATAAATCGGATTTTCGAAGGCGAATTTAGTTTTTATACAGATTATCGGCAGGAGGCTTTATGATAATATTTTAGTATACCAGGGTAATTCATTACGTATACTAATTTAATTCATAATGAAACCTATACTTGATATAACATCAAAATATGATCTAATAGAAGTTATTAAAGTAAATTTCCAGTTTCTGGAAATCCCATTTTTCACCAATCACCTTGTATTTTATAATTATCTGCACAACATATAAACATGCCCTCGTATTTCAATCTTCTTTTGACATGCTCTCAACATTTTCCGAATTGAAAACCGGATAATTAGACCGATTTAATTTAAATAAATACATATTCGAGATTTTTTTCGAGTGATCGCCCACGCCTCAGACCAAAAGGGATTAACATTCCATCCGACATGGCACGATTGAGGCTGTTCTCGGCTTTTTATAATACCTAATAGGTATCTCTTTTATTATTATTTACATATGATGGTCTGTGGTCGATGACACAAGAATCCAGCGGCGCAGAATTCAAAACATTACTTAAATAAGTATAATTTATTGATACATATTATAAAGCATCCAAACTCTGGAGGTAATCAGGACTCTAGAGATGCAGTTTGTTCCTTTTAAATTTCTAATATGCTAAAAGATCCTAGAGATATTTGGTAAAGAAATATTAAATTTCATATCTTCCTCATCCTACGCAGAATATTTAGAGATAGTAGAGTCTTGAAAAATGTATAAGGGGTCGTAAAATCCTGTTTATTTGTATATAAGTACACCACTGAGCGCGAGTGCACATTGTCTCGATTTGTATAAAAGAAAGAAGCGCATATAGAATGAATAATATTTTTTCAGTGACACTGAAAAGTGAACAACCTCAGTTTAATGTGAATTTCATTGCGCCTACCGACAGGTAAATTCGATCCGAAAATTTCTACAATTTTAAATGTGTTGCTAAAATCGCTTTAAATGGCCATATCCATTGTTGATTTATTCGTTAAAGTGCAAAGTATTTTCTTTGTTGTTCGCGTATTTTTCGCTGAATTTATTCAGTTTATTGATGAATGCATTTTGCAAACATTGCTAAAGGGGCCAATTAAATTATAAATGATTTATATATAAATAGTAAAATATATATTTTATTATATTTATTAGTAGGTTTGCAATTTATTTAATTTACGATTTACCTGAACGAACTGTAATTTCATTTAATTGTTTTTGAATGTAACTAGTTTATTCTTTTGTATTTCATTGTACAATTACCATAATAGGTTTAAATCCTTTTTGAATAAAGGACCAGCTAATTCAATTCTAATAGGAAAGTTTCTCATATTATCTAAAAATAATAGGCAAAAATATTCACCAAAATTAGTAATTATTTACCTACAATAGGTACACAAATGAAAGATATCATTTTAACTGATAAACTGTAGAAAAATGTCTAAATAAATAAAAATTTTTATTTGTCATCAATTGATATGAAACAAAATCCCACTTACTAAAGAAAATATTATTAATAATAATTTGTTTACACCTATATAAAGATTTAAAAATAAATCGATATTATATTTTACAGAATGATTTACGCTGTGATATTAATTGCTCTAATGGGCAACCTTCAGACTCTTGGTAAGATTTTATTTATTATAAAAATTTAAATTAATACCTAATTCTTACAATATTTTTGTAGAAGCATCACCATCAAAAGTGGTTTGCTACTTCAGTAACTGGGCTGTATACAGACCAGGAATCGGTCGATATGGACTCGAAGACGTGCCAGTAGACCTCTGCACTCATATCATATACTCCTTCATTGGAGTTGATGATAAAACTTGGACCATTTTAGTCATCGATCCTGAGGTAAGTTTACTCCTAAAGGGATATTAGTTGGTATACACACAATTTTAATGTTATATTCTTATATCGAAATGAAAGTTCCTGGGCTAAGTTACACAAAGAATATCCTGCTTTTAGTTGGACATCGATAACAACGGATTCAGGAACTTCAGCGACATCAAAAAGACTCACCCTAAGGTAAAATTAGAAGTGGCAGTCGGCGGATGGGCCGAGGGCGGCTCGAAATACTCGGCCCTGGTGGCCGATAAATCAAAACGTGACGCGTTCATCAATAGCGTCGTCGGTAAGTAGAGTAAATATTTGACGAATCTGGCGGGATTCGATATTTTTTTATTTGCCGTGTAGCCTTCATGAACGAGTTCGAACTGGACGGCTTCGACTTGGACTGGGAGTATCCGGGGGCGGCGGACCGAGGCGGCAGTTTCTCCGACAAAGATAAGTTCTTCTATTTCGTCGAGGAGCTCAGGGCAGCTTTCGATAAGGAAGGTAAAGGGTGGGAGATCACCATGGCTGTACCGATGGCGAAATTCAGGTTGCAGGAAGGATATTATGTACCAGAACTTTGCGAGTAAGTGCTACATTTCACTGAAAACCACTCTGTTTTCTACCAATCACGTGTAATTATTTTTTTAGACTTGTTGATGCAATTCACGTAATGTCATACGACCTCAGAGGCAACTGGGCTGGTTTTGCTGATACACACAGTCCACTTTACAAAAGACCCCACGACCAATGGGCTTATGAAAAACTTAATGTGGTAAGTATATATCATTTACAGTGCACCATGAATAGCTGGATACGTTATGAGTGTGTAAAACGTACTCAGCTATTCCTGCCGCTCTGTAACATCTCAAAAATATTTATTTTTGTAGAATGATGGTTTACAATTATGGGTAGACTCGGGTTGTTCTCCCAAAAAACTAGTAGTTGGTATACCTTTCTACGGCCGATCGTTCACCTTAAGCGCAGGAAACACCAATTACAACTTGGGCACTTACATTAATAAGGAAGCAGGAGGCGGAGCGCCGGGTCCCTACACGAACGCCACTGGATTTTTGGCTTATTACGAGGTATGAAATTCGCGAGACCGGGAACTTTGCGCGCTCAATAGGATTTTGATTTAATTGAATCATTACAGATATGTACAGAACTGCTGAACGAAAACGGCGGATGGACTAAAAAATGGGACGAGCAGGGTAGAGTTCCTTACGCTTACAAAGGTAATTCAATTAAATCTAAAATGATATCATCTGTTTAATTAACGATTTAACTTTCATCCGCTTCAAGGGACCCAATGGGTAGGATACGAAGACCCGGAGTCCGTTCAGATAAAAATGGAATGGATAAAATCGAAAGGATACGCGGGCGCGATGGTGTGGGCTATCGACATGGACGACTTTCATGGTCTGTGCGGCCCTAAAAATACTTTAATTCACATTCTACACGCAAACATGGCTTCGTACGATGTCCCTGAACCACACGTGTCTACAACACCACGGGTAAGATGCACAAAAAATGACTTTAATCTTCGAACTAACCCGAAATAAGTAATAGATTTCATTTACTTTCCATATATGTTCTATTATCTCTTCTCCAAGTACAATGCAATAGAAATAACTGGAGACGCGACCTGCGCGACTTTCACTGCGCATCATACTCTCACGATTCCTTGTAATGATTGTTGACACATTTGCTTACAGCCGGAATGGGATAGGCCTAAGAGCACAACATCTTCTTCTGGATCATCTGCAGTAACCAGTTCAACTCAGAAAATACCCACAACCTCTGCAAGTTCCTCATCAATTATACCCGCATCTTCCACTCAATCAACAACTTCAACCACATCAACTACAACTCCACCAAGCATCCCCGATGACGGAGAGAATTTTACCGAATGCGAAGGCGATTTTATACCACACAAAGACTGCCACAAGGTATCGAAAAATCGATAATCAATTCCTTTCTATCGAATACAATGAGTCTTATTTCAGTACTATCGCTGCGATCACGGCAAACCGATGGTCTTCAGTTGCGAACCCGGAACCGTCTTCCATATTGGCCTTAATGTATGTGACTGGCCAGCGAATTCCGATAGGCCGGAATGCAGACCTTAATTTATTTTATTTAGCAACTAGTTATTAGGTATCTCGTTTATGATGTTCAAACTGTTTTAAATACCAATACAAATACCAATACAGGACTATGGAAGCTAACAGGATTCAAATACAGTACAATAACACTGCTGATTTGAACCTATTAACTTTTGGAAGGCGTAGAAAGGCATTTGAAACAGCCAATATTAATAATAAAGCAATTTTTTTATTAATATTAACCCAGTAATAGAAAATGCGTATTATTTCTTAACAATCTGTATAACATCCTCGTCGTGCATAGTATGACTGGCGCCGACTCGCTGCGGTGAATATTTAGTGCTCGTGCCCCACACCAGGGCGTATTTGAACTGAGCAGCTAGAGTTCGGTGAATGGCGTGACAGACATGTTCTACGGTAACGCCCCTTCTTAGAATCAAGCCATCGTTGAAGTCCGGAGGCTGGCCGGGCTTCTTAGTGTACACTCTAATCAGGCTCAAGTATTCCCATAACGTGAACAACAGGTAATCTAAATTTAACTTCATGTTACAACTGAAAACAATGCGTGTAATTAAGAGAGTATTGAGGGCGTTTTAAGTCGTCTTGTGTACCTTACAACTACGCTATAAGGTGTCCTGGCTATTCTGTCGACTTCTTCGATGGATATTTGATCTATTTTGTTGTAAACGTAAAGGCAAGGCAAGTACACTCTGTTGGCGCAAATGACATCGATCAGTTCATCGGCGGTGGCATCCTCACGGAACAGGACTTCGGCGTTGAAGATTTTGTATTCGTGTAATATCATTTGCACTAGCTTCTCGTCTATGTTGGTAAGGGGGCATGTAGAGTTGAATGAAATTCCACCACCTTTTTTGATCTACAAAAAATACCTCCTACGTTACTTCAGGACAATTTACGAATAGTGTTCCTTACTTTAAAATAAATATTGGGTTTCTGTTTGTTGAGTCTTATCCCCACACTCTCCAATTCCTTTTCTAATAGGTCTCTGTGAACGTCCTTTTTAGTTGCGTCTAACATCATTAGAACCACATCTGCTGTTCTAGCAACTGCTATGACTTGCCTACCTGAAATTTAAAATGAATGTTGTAGTACTTAGTGGTTAAATTAATAGATGTTTTACCTCTTCCTTTTCCTTGAGCAGCTCCTTCAATAATACCGGGTAAATCGAGAAGCTGAATATTTGCACCATTGTAGTCGATAACACCCGGTATGCAAGTAAGAGTGGTGAATTCGTAAGAAGCAGCTTCGCTTTCGGTTTTTGTTAATGTGGAAAGTAATGTTGACTGTAATGATGGTGGTAATTTGTAAAATGAAGTTAGGAATATTAATAGAAACTTACTTTTCCTACAGACGGAAACCCTATGAGTGCTACTCTGGCGTCCCCGCTTTTTAGTACATCGAATCCTTCGCCTTTTTCTGCCTTCTTCGAGGGTTCTAGTAACTGGGATCGGTATTTAGCTAATTTCGCTTTCAGCAGACCCAAATGGTATTCGGTGGCTGTGAAAATAGAAAATAGGTTATAATACAATGTTAGCTAATTTTTCGTTATTACCTTTATTTTTTTGGGTTCTGGATATTTCCCTTTCTATTTCTGATATTTTTTCTAATATTCCCATGACTACTGGTTGTTAATAAAGCCGACTTTTATCAAAAATTTGTTTTTTTTGTCAACATGTATCAATTTCTTAACAAATTCTTCTTCTTTTTTCCGTGTTTTCATTAAAGAGCCAATTAGAGACTTGTTCCAAACGGCTATACGACGTTATATCTAAAATTCATTGTATTAAAATTAATACAAAAACTTTAATTAACTAAAATGTTAGTTTTTTAATGATGTAAAACAATTAATTTAATACAATTTTTCCCTTTCTAAAGTAAAAAATTAAACATTCTTCTTTTTTATTATTTGGATAACATCTAAATGTCAAGTTCTGTCAAAGTCAAAATTTATCTAATGTTATGACATCACTACAAAAATCACAATAAATCATCGATAATTTTCCAGAAATTTCACCACAAATTAAAAAATTAACAAGTGCATTAAAAACACACACTTTTTACAAAAATGTCACTGAATACCGCCCATTTAAATGGTGGTGTGCTCATACACAATGGAGAACAGTAAGTACCTACGTTATTAAATTTTACAACGTAAATTTCATCACACTTTTTGTTAGGATTTTGCTGTACTCCGATGGCGTTACGATGGAATGGTCCGCGCAACAAGCGGGCCCATTTCAAGGAGCAAAAAAGGGAATAATGTACCTCACTACTCATCGCGTTATTTTCATCAATAAGTCACAGGCAGACGAGATGCAAAGTTTCAGTTTCCCATTCGTAACACTCAGCGAGGTGAGTTTACTATAATTCTCTTTACATCTTACCCACTACTCGAATTCTTATATAATTCCTGCTCAGGTGGAAATCGAACAACCCGTTTTTGGTGCTAATTACATAAAAGGGAAAGTGAGAGCTCAACCGAACGGTAATTGGATCGGCGAGGCCAAATTCAAGATTACCTTTAAGAAAGGTGGGGCCATTGAGTTTGGAGAGTCAATGCTAAGGGCTGCTCACTTCGGTAAGTACTGTTTTGTTTAATTACATGGGTTTTACCAGAATCCAATCGATTGTGTAATGTATGAGTAATGGTATGAAATATTTATTTTTTTATAGCTTCTAGAGGAGGTATGCAAGCTCCTCCGCCGTATGTCCCTCCGCAAAACCAATGGTACGCAGCTCCTCCACCGGCTTACGCTCCACCACCTCAAGGTAAGTTTAAAAAAAAAACACCTATTTTAGCTTGACTAAAATTACCATTAGAAGCTCCACGATAGGGGGTTGTTTCCGTACATTCATCACGCATTCATTCATATCAGTTTTCCTTTTCGATTGAATTAAAAGTGAGGGATATAACTTCACTTTTTCAGGTTTTTACGGTTGGGTGCCACCGACAAACGTATTTCCTCAACAACCCCCTTCTGATGGTGTATTCATGACTGACGCGCCTCCGCCATATCCTGGCATTAACTCACCCTACCCTGGCCCGGCCGGTTACGCTCCGCACGGTCCTGCTGGTGCCCATGGTTCCTTTGCTAATCCTGCTGGTGAGTTTCTTTAACGATTAATTTTTTTTGTCGTCAGTAAATCACGGAATATATTAAAACGATTGGTATATTATGCAGATGTGAAGCAAAAAGTTTATATGCGAAGAGCACAGTATTAACGTGGGTGTAATTTGATTGAACGCAACGTATTTGTCACTTTTTATTTTTAGGATTTATTGCTATACCGTATTTGTACAGTTGGACTTACACTTATCCTTACCCGGGCGGTCCGATTCGAGATAGACCCCATAAAAAATATAGATGATGTCTTTGGAACCAATTAAAATTATCAAAAATCTGTACGGCTTTTCTTTGATTTAAACGTTTTATATTTTTAATCAGCGCTTCATCATAAATGCTTTTATTAATTACTTTGATTAACCACGACAAACAGAAACTGTAAATTTAGATTTTACATTTTAAGATATACATTTTGAGATTACATTTTGTAAACATTTCAAACGTAACATTCAAAGCTTTGTATTCGGTTCTGAGGATTTTATTAAAATGGATTTGTTGGTATTAGGTAAACTTTACACACATTACTTTTCTTTACATTTTTTTTGTATTATTTTTTTAATGAGGAATATTCAATTGCAGATGCGAAAGCTGCAGAAGCTGCCCAATCAGCTTATTACGATCCGAATCAACCTCAAATGGCTTATATTCCTCCGCCGGCATATTATGTAAGTGAATTTCGTATTTGGAAATAATAATTGTTGGAAATAACTGATATTTTATAGGAGAACCCGCCGAGCTACAATCAAGCCACTGGTAAGAAACAACAATAAATTTCTACTGTTATGAATTATGCACTCGTGCAGATAAATTTTTGTCCACGTGTATTATTTTTCGTTTTGTTCGATTTTCGTCGTAAAAATACGAGGCGATGTTTCTTATTAATATGTTCAATTGAATCACGTAATATTGTTTCATTATTCATTCCATTCACTATTTTTACGTATCTACTATACTAATTAAATATTCGTATTTCATCTTATATATATTTTTCATTCTCCGTTGAAAAAAAAACAATATGTTATGCATTTATATAGGTTATTTTAGTATTTTTGTATATATATTTCATGTTGTAAGCTTATATTATGTTTTAACACTTGTTGAGATTGCTTGTAAATCATATTATTTCAATACAATAAAGAGCAAACTATTTGTGTAAGTATTGAATGGGAGAATATGAAAATGAATTTTAAATCTTCTGTTATATTACTGCTAATGGTTTGGAATAATGTTACAAATAAAATAATATTCTATTTACTCTAAACAAACATTTAAAAACGTTATATATCTTCTAAATTCTACTCACTCATTTTTTTTTTAATTAAGCCGGTAAAACTGAAAAAACTTCTTCGCTGTCTACCCTCGATTTCGCTTTGGGAAAATCGAATTGCAATTTATCGCTGTATTCGAACGTCCCTATTTCCATTCCAATGAAACCACCTGAACCCTTACCGCCTTTATAGTAAATAGCAGCGGAATTTAATGGTACCGCCGGGTCCGAGTAAACGGGCTGAATGTCTATAAACGGTACCGTCGTTTGGCCGGCGTCTGCGTCCAAATCCGTGTGGGTGAAATCAATAAAATACGTGTTCGTGTCGAATTTTTTGCTTTCCTTCGAGTATATTGGGATGTTAGGTTTCTCCATGAGCAATTTCCGTCTGAAAGCACAAGAATAGTTGCAATGTTTTTATGTTTTGCGGTAAAAGTAGCAGTTTACCTGGTGCCTCTTGCCATTAGCTCACTCGTTTCATCATCGTGTAATCGACCAGTACTAAAATCGAACGGAGTTTCGATTATTTGGAGTCTCAGTCCGGAACCCATCATAACAAATTTTACTCCTGAAACCAATTCATATTCAACTTTATTCGAGTAAATTAATACAGACCATTTCTAAGCACCCGCTCGGTTAATAGCTGATAAACCCTAATAAGTTTATCGATGATTACTTACAGCTTAGGATTTAAAAGTCTTCTTATTTATTTCTAGTAGTTTTATACATGCTGTTAATTGGATTATATGTTTGTATGTAAGCTAGTCGTGCTAGAATTTACCTGTAATAAGGGTGTTTTGTCCTGTCGTTTTCACAGTATCCAAATACAACGATCTACTGAAGTAGTCCATCGTGTGATAATCACTGCCTCTCTTAACGCCGTTATTGGTGATTTTATAATTGTCCACTGGCACCCATCTCGTCGTATTCTGATCGATGTAACCGTGCGGCAGTAATTTCCCTTCTTGGATTTGTATGTGGATGATGCGATTGTGCTTTATCAGCCTCATACCTGTCACCACTCTACTCGGGCAATTAGTGTAGGTACATGGTTTTTGATTAAGATTTATTTTTCTTACTTATTGGACGCCGTGTCGGACCTGACCGGTCTCAGATTGAAATATCTATCGGATTCCGGTCCTTGTTGATCGCAGAAGCAAAGACAGTAGGAGCAGTGCACGAACCATCTCGTCCAACTGTCCACGTCGCGATTGGAGCAATAAGTTTTCTCTCCGAGCACTTTGTTTTTCAAATCTATGAATTCGTACCTTCGTAAACTATTGCTGGGCTGAGGAAAAACGGGAGAAAGAATTATATCGGTGCGTTGGTGCTGCATTCCGAAGAAACTCACCGATATGCAGGTTGTAAAATGCGATTGCATGAATCTGCAATCGTAGATCTTGCCGTTGCAGGGCTTCCTTTTATTGCAATATTCGCTGGAGCTGTCGTAGCATCTGTAACTCGTAGCCGAAGAGTAAGTAGAGCAGGTTTGCTTGCACGAACTTGCAGGATTCATATCGGCTTCGTTCTCAATATGCGCCTGTATGAGCTGAGTAAGTTGTGTGTACGTTTTTCCTTGATAGAAATATGATAGTATACGAGTAGTATCAAAACGTAGCTTGGCAATTGAAAATTGTCTTAGATATGCAGATGGAATATGTTAAAGAAATGTAATACAGGCGAAGGAAAATGATTTCTGACATTAAATTGACTATACTGAAATTCAATTGAAGATTTCTAAAATCAAATTGACTATTCTGAAATACAACAGATACTTTCCGAAATATAAGTGACTATTCTGAAATTCAATTGACGCTTTCTGAAATACAACTGGAAAAGGTATAGTAATGAGGATAGTTAGTACACTTACCTTCTACGTGTACCTTAGGATCACATCGGTGCATTTTATTGGTTTGTGAATTCATATACAGAGCTAAATCTGTTGTTAACATTAGAGTTCTCTCCTCATATTGGCTCCTAGCTGCCAGTGATAGTTCTGAATGGTTTCCTGGAATTTAAAAGAGTTATGGAAATGGACAGTGAAATACCAATTTTTTACCTGTTTCTTGTAACCTAAGAGCCATGTAAGCAAATTGTGTCATTATGTAGCCCTTGAGGTCAGTTAGGGCTATCAAGTTGTACAAATTGTAAAACACTTGCTGGCGCGAATGAATTAGATAATTGCATGTGAAGGGATGTGCATAAATTAACTGCAAAGAACAAAGCCATTTGAGTCGATTCTTGATAGTTCGAATTAAAACTCACGTTTTCATATAAATCTCCGATTAACGAGGATCCATTGAAGACTCGATTGTAAATATCCAGTACAGTTTTATTGACGTTGTTCTTCGGGTCATTGAGAATGTCTTCTACGATGTGGGACGTTTCTCCCATTTGCCTGTACAGCGAGTAGTCGTTTTTAGTGGTCGACAGCAAATCCTTCTGGTATCTCCTGAATTTTTCGTACAAATCGCTGATGACCCTCACATCGGAGAAGATGAGCAGAAAGTATTCGGATTTTCGAATCTCATCCATGCCATATAAAATATCTTGAGGCATCTACATACATATGAAAATGTATTTTTTCATCATTACTACAGTTTGTTAAACAAATTATTGCTTGAAGTCTGATAGGATAAGTGTTAAAATCTCTTCTAAAATGCAGATATGTGCAAATTTGTACGCAATATGGGCCATGGGAGTAACAAATCAATTTCCATTATTCTCAAATAAAGAAAGAAGAAAGAGTATTATTCTGGATTACACCTTCGCATTTTATTCACTGGTTTTTAAAATCTTTCTTTGTTCAACTCGTAGAATTCACAATATTGCAAACAAATTTGCACTTACCCATATACATCCCATAGAAAAATATTTTGACGTATGTTATTACAAATTATTTCTTTTATAAACCGATTTATCTTTACTTAGATAAATTTTTCCGCGTATTACAAGTATTATTATAAGTAGATTTAATAGGGGTGCGAATATATCAGATTGAATCACTTAGTAAAAAAAACTTACCAGTTGGACTTGCTCGTCGAAATCCTTGAACTTTCTCACGAGTTCCAGGCCTGGATCGATGGCATTTTCTTTGCTGCTGTGAAGCGCGAAATTCCACAGGTCGTTTTCAGCGTTCAGGAAATTGTTCCGGATCTTGTCGACCAGGAGTTTCTCCTTCTGGCATTGCGAAAATCCGATCGCGACGATTAAAATGACGAAGAAATCTTTCATTTTCGGTAACTAATCCATTCGGTTGCTAGTTTAATTCTTTTCTGATACTTACAACAACATGATGTGATTTGTTGTATTTTTATTTTGAGAAGAGATTATTCATTTTATAAAGCAGTGGTGGGTATTTTGAAACATATAAATTGCGTAACGCGTAGTTTGGGACAAAATTTCAATAATATGCATAAAAAACAAACATAAATTTTAAATGATATTTAAAAAAAATTATAGCGAGATTCTAGTCCTATAAATTGATAGGTGGAGAAAGTGCCCCCTTAAAGTATGTCACTGATATAATAATCAATGTTAAAATAGTGTTTATTTATCATAATTTTAAGTTAAACAAGTTTACTTTAGTTTGTTGATAACCTTGGATCTCTGATCAGAACATCTTATTTATAATTAGAAGGCTTTTGCTTTCTTTGTGTAGTTTTATTTCCGTTTTAAATAAATGGATCACATGTCGTTGATCTAAACATGTTTTATTATTTCATATATGATTGTGAATTTAATAGATATCGAGTAATTGTTGAAAATCGCAATTTGCCTAATCAAGAAAAGGTAGATAAAATATTGAAAATATTATTTGTCTCTCCTTCTTCATTGGTTAAATTTTGGTATTTGCTTTCGTAATTGTATATTTTGGCTTGTATTGGATATTTATATCAAACACGCTTTATTTATTACAACATTTATTACTTTATTTCTATCACAAAATATGCATTTCTACAAAAATTACCTCTAAAAATGGTACAATGGCTTTAAAATTGACTGTTCTAATATAATCACAGTGCGGTAAATAACTTACCAATATTTAAATACTTACAATATTTAGTATTTTTCATTTCAATTATAGCACAAATGTTTGCTTTCAAAAACAATGCTTTTCGTAATATTTCTACGTAATTTTAATAAAATGAATCATTGTGCTAGTAATTTAATATCAAATTTATTCAGAAACTTTGTTCATATACCTACATTACATACAATTTGATTCAACTTCAAAACCACTTCATATTTTTAATAAATTACCAATTCCAAAATAATTATCGAATTAATTTCACTTTAGAAATGCATTATTTTTGCAAGCATTTTTTAATTATCTACAAATAAAATTTTATAAGTAGGCACATCGTGTCTCATCATTTAAAAAACGACAATCTATCACAAAAACTTTGTTGAAGAGACACCACCCTTCGACGTTTCGTACCTAATTCGCTGCATCCTCAGGGAAAACGGGGTGCACGTGTTTACTGAAATCGTACGTTATCACTTTGAGCGTTATGAACCCGCCGAAATATCTCCTTCCCTTGTGGAATATCCCGGCCCCGCTCAATGGAACCGGTTGCAAAGACTCTATTTTTTGAGCGTCCAGGAACGGCACCGTCGTTTGAGCGGCGTCTCTATCGATGTCCGAATTGGTCAGCTCTATGTATTGATCGGATTGTGATGTTGGTATGGAAGGCGAGGTTGTTCTTGTTGGTATATCCGGATCGACCAACCACACTTTTTTCCTAAATAGTATGAAGAAAGGATCGATAAATGGATAGGAAATTTTATTGGTTTATTTAATATGGAAGATATAAGAGAAGGAAATTGTACCTGCGATTAGTAGTGGCAGCGTCCGTGTTGGAATTATCTTTCCATATGCTGGTACTTTCCGGGTTGATTAGTTTTCCGGTTTCGAAATCGAATTTCGTGACGAGTATTTCGAAATTCAGATGGGATCCTATTTCTTTGAACCTGACACCTGAAATTTATTCGTTATTTATGTGAAAATGTTGCTCACGCGCCTTAAACTTTCTAATATACAGGGTGGCACATTAGTAAGGAAAAACTCGATATATGTTTCTGTAGATGGTACACAAAATTTTTATTTAATAAAAGTTGTAGATACTTTTATGCTGCGTATTTTAAAATTACTTACAGTTATAGTATTTATACAAATGTCCTGTTTTGTCGTGGTTACTTTTTTAAATGGAATAAATGTTTTTTTATTCAAAAATTGAATTGAGCCTGTTTTCAGCTTTCCAAAAATATAATATTGTATAATGTTGTAAAATGAAAAATGACAAAAAAATTATATTTTTCGTGATTTTGAAGCATACTATTTACAGGGTGAGTCTAAGCGCAAAAGTAACGTTCTCCCTGTTATTTTAAATGGACCACCCTTTATTTTATAGTACTACTAGAAAGTACTTTGAAGTAAAATTAAACAATTAAATTAAACAATCTTCCACCCTGCATATTTTGTAACTTGCCGATTCGCTATGAAAACAATGTACGGGAATAATATTTCAATATTATGAATATTAAAGGTAATCAAGTTAATTCCCAAATTTATAATTATTAAAGGATAAGTTTCCGTTAAATACCTGTTAATACGTGTCCATCGTCACCTTCCAAATCGTCCAAATCCACCGCTCTTTTCTCCCAACTGAACGTGTGATAATCCTGCCCGTTGAATATCTTCCTATCGGTTATTTTATAATCCTCTACAGGTACCCACCTCACCGTAGTAGCGTCGATTCCGCCTCTCGGAAGAAGCTTACCTTCTTGTATTTGAACGTGAATAATCCGATTATGTTTAACGAATCTCAAACCGGTAACCACCCTGCAAAAAAACATCCAGTTTCACGAGCAAAGCTGCATAACTAAAAGTCTCACATGTTATGGGAAATGTTCGCAACGACGGCCCTCATGTTAACGTATCTGTCGGAGCTGCTGTTCTGCTCGTCGCACAGACAGAAGCAGTAGGAGCAGTGCCAGAAGAGCCACCTCCACCAGCTGTCCACTTTGGTGGCGCCTCTCGTGCAAGCCTGCTTCCTGCCCAGGACTTTGCCGTTTTCGTATTCCACGTACTCGTACCGCCTGCCGCTCGATGGATCCTACGAAAAACGGTCGCCGTAATCCTAATATTATAATTCGAATTTGGTTACTCACGGCCGGGCAAATCCACATGTCGGAATCGAAGTACCTGCAGTCCAGTATTTTTCCGTTGCACCGCCTCTGTTGCTTGCAGTACAAATTCTGGAAGCACCCGTGGCTCTTGGTGTAAGTGTATTCCACGCAATTTTCCCGGCAAGTACCCTCCGGATTCAGGTCGACTTCGTTTTGGATGTAGCCTTGCAGCAGCTGGGTGATTTCTTCGTACGTTTCACCTTAATCGAAGATAATTTATTGTTTTTACTACTCTTCTAATGATACCGACGCACCTTTAATGTGCCTCTTGGGATCGCAATTCCAGTACTGCCTCGACGAATCCTCCAGGGATTTCCTCACGATAGTCATCGCGCTGTCGGTCCTCTCTTGGAACCGTTTCCGCATTAGTTCCGATTCGGTGGTGAAGTTTCCTTAAAAAAACCCGCTTCGAATTATCGCCGTGTTTCTACGAATTCGCGTCTAACACACACTCACCTTTGTTGTACAACCGCAGCAACATGTAGGAGAACTGTATCATCGAGTAGCCCTTCAATTCGGTGAGGGCTATGGCGTTGTAAAGGTTGTAGAGCACCTGCTGAGGCGATTGCTTCGAATTACAAAGCATATCGCCTTCGATTTCCTGCAAAAACCGCTCGGATTTACTCAAATTCTTTAACTTATCGTTTTGTTAATCAAGAAACTATTTAACTATTTGCAAGTGGATTATGCGTTTCGTCCAAGGAGAAAAGTGCAATTAGGTATATAAAATCGTAACTATATTCGTACTCTTTTTCTTTAATACTATCGTAAATAGTACCTTTTTAACACTCTCAAACAAATTATCCTTCCGCAAGACATCGTCTACCCGACTCAAAGATTTATTAACGTTATCGTTATCGTATAAAATGGCGTTGGTGAGGTCGATCCAAGCTTGCTTGGGGGACGGTATCCGGTTGGAGGCGGTTTGGAGCTTCTCGAACCTCCTGAAGGCTTCGTACATCCCGAAAACGTTGCGCAAATCGGCCAGAGCCACTTGGAATATCCACACGCTATCCAGCGCCTCCAAGCGAAATGTCAGTTCGTCGGGAAAGGCCTATAAAAAATCGGTCACCGGGGAATTCTTGCTGGGAACTCGAGGTGTAACGTACCTCTTCTAGTTTGTCGCCGAATAGTTCGAATTTTCTGATCAGGTTCACTTCTAGCCCGTTTTCGATGAGCTCGGAGTCTCTGTTGACTTCGTTGTCCAGGTAGCTCAAGATGTCTTTCCAGAGGTCTTTTTCCAGTTTCAGGAAATCGTAGCGGGATTTATCGACCGGTGAACATTTGCCCAGATCGAGGGAATCACAGAAACACCAAATCGTCCACAGATAAAGGATTGTTATTGTCAATTTCATTTTAACTAAGACTCGATTACCACTGGCGAGTTGAGAAGATACTTCTATAATTTAGAATGTACTGTATTTATAAACAACTCGAATTAGGCAGTAAAAAACAATTAATTGTGAACTCTTATAATAAATAGCCTGTTTATCTTTAGCTTTATAATATACAAATGTGGGTAACACAAAGGTGCTGAATGTGATACAAAAAAAATTTCTCACGAATGTTACCCAAATCATGACTTTGGCATGCTTTGGGCATGACAACAATATTTTATCGATCGATCTAATTAAATTTGATTCGACAATTTTTGTCAACATAGCTCCCGACTTAATCAGAATGTCTCGATTTAATAGGAATGAAATTGATGTAACGACGTTCACGGAAATTACTGAATGGTCGTAATTTCAATATTCGTTTCCGGTGGCTTCTGCGGGTATTTCATACGTAGAACGAAAATATCAGTTCGTACAACAAAGGATATCATTGCATACCTCATTGTAAGTAGCGGAAGGAATAATTGCGCGTTACTGTTAACAATCAGTGTGGATTAGTCTTGAAGAAATTGATTTACCTTGAGTGATAAACAAGTTTTATCTGGCTGGATGCACTTGGGAACTGAAATTTACCGTTATCTGTTTGTAATTACTAGTTTATAATAGCTTTCTTTGTCTATCGCCATATTCAAAAAGAATTATTTTTAAGTATACCTACATATTTTATTTGTTTTAGACAAAAACATTTTAATGCCCTAAGAAAGCTTGGCGCAAGTGCAACCAAGTTCAGAACACTTCAGTTCTTTTGTATATACAGCGGGTAGAATATTTTCAAGCAAATTAAAAATGAACTTTGCTCAGTGTAATCTTCTTTGAACAATACCACAGCATAATTTAATTTTATAAGCCACAAATTGCATGAATTACTTTGAAACCTGTTATACTCCTTATTTAATATAGAACAAATAATTTGATCACTAGATATTAAATAATTTAACAAAATAATCTAAAGTTGTTATAAACAATTCTGGGAAGTACCCACTCTCTATATTTATTATCATTGATACCTAAGCATTGATTAATAATCATTAAATATGACATTGATAAAAATCTAAAGCAAAACTAATAAACCTGTTGCTGTAGGTTTGCTATTTTTTTACATAATTTTATGTATACACATTCAACTTTTGTATTTAATACAAAGTACTATAAATTGTCGGTATGAATTATTATTTTATCGCAATAATGAAAAACCAATAAATGGTTATTAAACCAGAAAACAACCCAGTAGAAATGAAAGTCGCTACTAAGCTAATGATATGCTATTAGTTATCTTAAGAAATTAATACGTGACGAAAATTTAAAGGTAGGTGTATTAAATAAACAAGAAAGCAAGGGATGTAGGAGTATGTAATTCCGGCTATTAATTTGAAAAAAAAACTTCGAATCCCACAAAACAAAGTAAATTAAATAATAGCTCTCCAGGGTATCTTATGTTCACAGAATTCGCAGAAATTCTCAACAAAAACAAACTTCCTTGAATACTAATAGGTACTGTTTAAACAATACCAAACAATTCAACACCAACTATCGCTAAAATGTTGCTAATTAAACCAATTTAAAGAAAGAAAAAATAAAATTCTTGCTACACACATTCCCATGTATAATTACTATCTCAAAAGAAAAATACCTACGCGCCACAGCCGAACTAATTACATAAGAAAACGCGAATAAAAATCGGAACAAACACTGACACACTTCCCTAGCACATACTCACATACAAACAATAAAACTAAACAAACAAGGCAGTTATTCAGTTATTCGGATATGTGCTGTATCCCATTGTCTCACGTCGCACTAAAATCAAATCGTCGACCCGCCGACGTCGCCGCTGTAAAAACGTCAGGTCAGCAACAAGAAACCCAAGAGGAAATTTTCATTTACAGAAGGTGGTGCGGCGGCAGCGGGAGGGAGAGTTCACTTGAGCGGAATGGAATGGTAGCACGTTGAATGTTGCCTTGATGTGATGATTATTTTATTGAATTCGACGATCGGTGCAGACCGGCTGCCGCCATCTAGTTCACCAGCTTCCAACCTAGAGCGCAGTGATACCTGACGTGGTGGATAAGGTTTCGTACCGTCCAGATCCGGACCCGATTGATTCGTTTCTACAACTCTTATGAGTGCATACATAGGCCTTTATTTCCAAATGAAAGTGTAGTACAATACACTCACTTTCTATACGTTCTTGTTGAGAGCAAGAAGTAGGAAGAATAGTAGTATTTGCCTAAAATGAAGGTAAAAATGGTCCTATTACTGTTTGTCTGGTAAAAGCCAACTGTATACTGAAGGTGTATTAAATGAGCCTAATGGTATAATCCTCAGAATCATCTATTTAAAGACCTTCCAGGAAGAATATGCTTGGAGTAGTAAAGTTACTACTCCTCAGTAACTTTAAGTATGAAGAGTTCTATTGCGAGAAGAAAGAAAACTCCATACAACATCTGGAAACAAAAATCTCTTAAATAAGAAGGCTTGCCAGAACCCAAAAGGACATGATGTTTTGAAGAATAGCAACAAGAGGAAGAGTAATCCTTCCTATCCACTTCTCTGGATACTACAGATTTCCTAGAATTGATTGGTGGAGTACCATATGCATATTATTGAACAAAGAAAAACAATGGACACAAAAGATTTATCATATCCACTCCAATTAACTCATAAATGGAATCATTTTAACAATTACCGCAAACCCATGTTAGAAGGTACTGAATACATTCACAATAATGCACATCTCCCAATCGATTTCTCTGCTATTGCTGCCTAGAAAACAATGAGGATCTCAAAGAAATCGTGTGTAATAAAATCCGGTAAACGCGCGGGCGGGAGTGTAAATATCTTCAATGCGTAATCATATTGTTGTAATAAATTATTTTATATACTTATGTACATAAATAACGCGTTTTTAAATATAAATAATAGGATGTGCGCGAGCTTTCGACACAATTCTTACACGTTTTGTTTACACATAAAACGCTCGATCAAAACATACATTTGATATTTTTTTTGTTGATTAGCAAAAATAACGATATTGCTATCAAACTATAGTTTTATTCGTAATGCGAAGGTTGAAAGTCTCTTCTGGGAATACCACCTACTTATCTGCGCTTATCTCTAACGATAGCATTTTTCGTGTATAGGTAAAAATTTGAGTAGACGTCGAGTAGATAAGAATAGAAGTAATTAGGTTTTTTTCTGATCGTTCACAGTATTTAATATTAAATATTGTAATTAGAGGTATTACAAAAACCAGGAAGTAGTGACGCAGATACAGAGTACAATTTATCTTGCTTGAGTGAACTTCATAGTTACTATTTTACTAATTGTTTTTTTTTCAAAAATTATTCAATTCATAAAGTAGTTAATAGTTTCTTGATTTTTATAAAATAATGTATACCTACATAGTATTTGTTAAATAATTTTAATATAGGGTCCATAAAGTTTAGAATCCACCGCAACAGATACATCCGAACGAACACAATGGTTTTCCGGTTTATCTATCTCATTTATTAAAAATACATGCAGATAAAGAACTGCATATCAAACAAACATACCAATTGACTTTAATGCCTCCCATTTAACAAATTGATGTAACATCAAAAAGCAGTCTAATAAGTACCCAGAGTATATTTCGATTCGCCCTATTAGGCACGAATCGGCTATAATTACAGTGTTATTAACCAATCCATCAATCAACACGTTCCGCTTCCTCGATTCAAACCTTTTTGGAACATTCAATTTTCGCACGTACCTGGAAATCCTTAACCAGCAGCTCCAGCACGCCGGTGTCGGTGATCCCCTTGCCCGAGGGCGCGATGAACGCGTGGATCCTCTCCATGAGATTCACCACGGAATTGCTGTCGTGACTGACCACCGTCCTGGCGAAGTCCTCCAGCGTCAGCCTCTCGAAGTCGTTCTGCTGGTTGGCGTACTGCTGGAAGCTCCTGAAGTTCACGTCCGCCCGCGTCATGTAGTTCAGGAGGTCGTTGAGCCGCAGCTCCAGCCGCACCCGGTCCGGAAGGTTGTGCAGAACCATGGCGATGGTGTTGGTTCCTGCGAGATTTTTTGATTTTCAACGGAAATGTTATTGGATTTGAATGATGGATGAAGAAATGAACTAACAAAGGTTTGGTAGAGGTTGGTGCGCAGTACGTAAATTTATGATTGAAAGTCGCGCAGTTTCTAGATATTCTTGTCGTACTGTAGTTTTGAAAAAAGATAAGTTTTTATCAATAAACTGCTACATTTGAAATATACATATACAAATAACTAAATATATTATAATATAATGTATTCATTAGTCTTTTAAGTACTTCTACAAGTTCATTGAAACGTGTAAATTGCGTTATTTTTGTGGCCAAAACTGGTTTGATTTGCTTCGAGGATTCTCAGAAGCCAATACAAGAAATTTTGCGGAGGGTATTAAACTGTAATTAGATGAGTTATGGGCGTGTTACTTCTTTGTGAGCGTCTTTTTACTACCGTTATTTCATCAAAAAGATGAGTCAAGATTGTTGAATGTGCAAATTGAAAGTAATTAACGGTACCTATTTTAATTTGAGTCTTTTCTCTTTTAATAAAAGGAAAGTAATTTATTAAACGAGGGTAAATTTCATTAGTGCGTATTTTTAATAATATATCTATGTGCTCTTTTGTAGTAAAGTGTATCAAAACTGATAAGTAGATAAGCGTTTAATTTTATGTTTTCATAAGTCAATAATATTTTGATTCAATTTCGAATCGGTTTTAAGTACATCGCATAAACACTAAAATGAAATCTATTAATTAATTAAGTAACTCACCTGCTCCATCCACACTAGCAGCCAATCTATCAATTTTTTGAGATATCGACTCGAGCTTTCCAAACAATTTCGCTTCGGTTTTATCCAAGATCGGTAAGGGTATGCTCGAAAAATCCATCTTTTGGTCGACTATATTCCACGATTTTGCTATACCTTCTACCACATATTTAGTCAATTTGATCACATCTAAAACCCCGATATCTAAATCAAAGGCATCACATTTTAAAACCCCACTGCTACACAACAACACCAGCAAAATCACCGATCTGTTACTAGCGTTCATGTTTCCGATAAGTAAAATAAAACTTTAAATAATAAATACTATAATTTATATATTACAAAACTGTTTTAAAAACCATATTTATTTATATTTGTCCGACAAACACGTGTAGCTGCAGTGATTGCCCCCGTACGCTTCGCTCTTTGAATATTCTAACAAATTAAGTATTAAATGGAGAGATGGAGACCGTTAATGAACCGAGCAAAGTGGTGGGTAACCACACCGAGTGTTCACTTTTGTCTGAAACGAAATCTATAGTTACATTTTAGCGCTTTGCTTTATCAGTCATCTTGTGGTCTCTCCAATGTCGCGCGCAGTGCAGGACTGGCCCAAAGACTATCAAAGGGAATTTATCACATTTCTAATTAGTTGAGTTTGTTTTAACAACGCACGAATGAAGGTGATCTACGTATTGTTTTTATGATAATAAAATTGTATACAGGGTGTTTCAACGAAAACTTGTGTCAATCTTCACCGATTCTCCATTTTCTTCACCCGAAATGGTTTTCAAATGATGTATTCGAGGTAGGGTAGGGTAGGAAAGGGTTTTCAAATGATGTATTCGAAGTAGGGTTGGGTAGGAAAGGGTTTTCAAATGATGTATTCGAATTAGGGTAGTTAATTTGAAATTCTAAAGTTAAAGTTGCTAGGGGGATGAACATATCAAGTTGGCATAACTGTCATAAATGCCTCCCACCTCCCAAAAAAATAGAAATTGACAGGATCTCTAGTTTTAGGGGGGTCAAGTTTTCCTTGAAAGATCCTGTGTATATTTTACTTCTACGTTTGATAGTACAAAATTTAGGATAGAAATAGGGCACTCAAGTCAAGACTACTTCTTTTCTAATAAAGTACTTCAAATAGATTTAATAAACTACATAAAATTCAACAAAGAAATAAGTACATTCCTTAGAGATCCTGAAATATACTCTTATCGGGGAAGCTAATTTGTGTTCCGGGACGGGTGACGCTATCGGCGGCGGCTACGCAGGCTTTTTCTACGGCTTGTTGCATGGGAACACCTGGCTTGTTAGCCAGTAGATAAGCTAGGGCTCCTATGAAGGCATCGCCGGCCCCTGTGCTGTCTTTGCACGCTACCGATGGACTGGTAACGTGGAATTTTTCGTTTTTATCCATGTAAAATGCTCCTTTTTCGCCTAGCGTCAATAGGACACTGTTGCAGCCTTTGGATAGTAAGTGTTCTGCAGCTACTTCAGCTTCACTACAAACACACGTATTTTATAATACTATAATAGTTATTATTGGTATGTTATTAACCTTATATCATTAACAGGTAACCCTGTAAATATCGAAGCTTCAGACTCGTTGACGCAAAATATAGTAGGTAGTTTCAAAAGTTGCGGATAAAATTCCGATACAGCTGGTGCACCATTTAAAATAGTTATCTACAAAAAACCACCGAATAATTTACTTTATTCTACTTTATATTTCATTTTATTTACCCCTCTACAAAGTTGCATAGCTCTTATGGCTACCTCTTGGGAGGTTTCTAGCTGTACTACTAGCACACGAGCGTTAGTCACCAATTCTTGGGCTAGTTCTACATCTTTCGTGCACAATTTGCTGTTCGCTCCTGCGATGATTACGATTTGATTCTCTCCCGAATCGGCCACCGTTATTTGGGCTATCCCGGTCGATGAATTCTCCGTTGATCGAACAAATGCTGTGTTAACGTTCTGTGCTTTAAGATTCGCTATGTACTTTGGGCCCCAAATATCATCGCCGACCTGTAACAAAAGTACTTAATCGATATTTAAATTCGTAGAGTATTAGAACGTTTTTCACGTGATGTTATATAACTTATTTCCAATCACCTACCCTGGTTATAAGAAAAGTTTTCCCTCCTAATTTAGCTGCTGCAACGCATTGATTAGCGCCTTTTCCTCCGAAGTTAGTGACGAATTCTTTTCCATGAATGGTTTCTCCGGGTTTTGGAAGTCTGGTGGCGTAGCTACAAAAGTAAATTATACAATATACTTATTTAAATTGAATATTTAGGGCATTTTTTACCTAACAAAGTCTACCATGCATGATCCGACTACAACAATGTTGTTGGTATCCATTCTGTAGTTTTAATGAATAATGAAAAGTGCTGTTTGTTTATCAGTATGGGATAAGTACTGTATACTGTATAATCTCGGCATAATTATCGGGTGTTATAATTGTTTACAATTATCACATGACATCGACCATTTTTGAATTTGACATTTCGTAAGAACAACAAGTCTTCTTTTTTGTTTAAAATTGAATAATGCCTACTTCAATAATTGACTAAAGGTTACCCAAATAGTTCACTTGACATGTGTAATGTCATTATTGTCAAACGTCAAATAAATTTCAAATACTGTCAAAAGGTTGAAAAATTGTTTATAGGTACAAATAATTATGGCAGTCGAAAAAAGTAACGAAATTAGTGTTTTTCAATTAATAACCAGGCTATGTGAAAAGTATTACACGAATCCAGAAGAGTTAAAATCAGCTAGATCTAAATGCTACGAGATTTTGCTCGAAAAAAGGAGTGTTAAACGGAAAATAGGTGCAGATGCAAAAAAGATAGTTTAAAATTTTTCTTATAAACTCGTTTTAGATTTTCCTGACCTGGGTGGAACATCAGATCCTTACTGTAATTTATTATCCTGGCAATTTAAACTCATTCATCAGTACAATATGAGAAATCATGCCGAAGAATTGGCTAATTGTATTAATAACGTCCAGGACTGCCTTGCCGGAGACAACCATTTATTTAACTCAGTTTTAAAATTTTTAATGAATCTAAGAAATATACCTAAGAAAAACACTAATAAATTGGTATAAATATCCCAATTTTACACTCACAAATGACTCATTTACTTTATGTTTCAGGATTTATCTTCGTTACCATCACTCGAAGAATATGAAAAATTTAACTTTGATAAACTCTTTAAACTACCGGATAACTTTAACGAGTTTAATAATAATCTGGAGGAAATCTCAACTACTGGGAATGTTCATCATGTAAAATCCAATATTTTTACTGAAAATCGTGCGTTTGAAAAGGAGTTTTTTAATCGTATAAACTTAGAAGAAGCTCCCAAACGCACTGAAAATATTTGGGAGTTAGCCTCAACTCTAAAATACAGCGAAAGAAAAACATGGGAAAGTTACGGTTATCCACAGCCTGATAAAGAACCCCCTTTCTTATCGGAATTAGGACCACTATCATCGCTATGGGTTGAGAATTTGCAGTCTCTATATTTGTATAAAATTTTCAAAGACGGGGCAGTTTTCAAATCAAGGCTAGTGTCAAGAAAAGACTTCATCAGGGATTTGAAATATTTATTAGGTAAATTTACAGCAATCCTTTTTTATATTTATTACAGTAAATGTATACTTGTTATAGTGGGTATGGCTTCGGAATGTTTTTCTTTTGATGAAAATGGAATATTTTATCTAATCCCTAACATAAGCATCGAAGCAATCACTCCCGATGCTCTAACAAATTACACAAGAGAACTTATATTCGTAGGAACATGTTCTAAAGCTTTGTATAAAATGAGTACACCTAATTTAGAAACTGGAAGATACAAACATCCGGGTTATGTATACACAGTGAGTAAATAAATAAAACGCATCTATCGAATTATTATTTCCGTTATTTCAGGAATTCTGCGAAAGCATTAATCGCTATTTGAAATTCTACCAAGCGGCCATATTCTCGATCTCGAACGACACAAATTTCCTGCAATTCCTCGAAAAAACTTACGATTTGAGATTGCAAATCAATACGTTGGCTTCGATATGTAAAGTTGGACCGTATATGCGTTCAACGGAAACTGGAAATGCAGTGGAAATTCTCAATTATCTGTATCAAAAAGTCCACAGCTTAAAAAATCACAAAGTAATCTACGTGTTGTACTCAATACTGTATTCCTGTTGTCAGGTGTATTTGAGGTAATGTTTGTTAACTTTTTATGAGATTTGGTGCTAATAGTATAATATTTTAGTCGTTTTCTGAAACCTTGGATACTGGAAGGCAGTTTAAACGATCCATATGGAGAATTCTACATTAATTCTATATCTAAATACATAGCATCCAGAGGAAGAACATATTGGACAAGAGGTTTTACTTTCCACGATCGTTTACTACCAGATTTCCTTTCTGATTTGAAAGTTGATATACTCTCTTGCGGAAAAGCTATGAGTTTACTAAAATTCTGCGATCACTCGGTTAGTATAACAGTATTAGTTCCCTGTATTCTACTCTAATCAAACCTTCTTTTTTAGAATAAATTGAAGTTCTATTTGATGGGTAAGAAACCATCAATTATATCCTGCTGCGTTACATCGAATCAACTGGTCCTCCTGCGAAACAACATCACTAACTATTACCTGGACATTTATAAAGAATGCGGTCCGAGGTTCTCCATGCAAAACGTCATGTTCAAATCGCAACGGATCGATCCTCTCCTTCTAGCGGCCATTGCGAAAAAGAGAGCGGAAACCCTCAACAGAATAAAACGTAATTACTATAAGAATCTATTTCATTCGACAGGAGTTAATGTGGGTTAATTTCAGTGGAGAAAGAGAGGTTGATTTTGCTGCGTAACGAGAAGAAATTGGAAGAAATTAACATGTTGAAGGAGCAGTATGATATGGTGCTGGCTTTGAAACAACATGCAGCAGCTAGGGAAATCGAAGTTGAATTGAATCGTGTGGAAGACAGTCTGGAAGTGGAATTAAAGCGACAACAGTTGCTCACTGATGAAGTGTAAGTTAATTATAAATTATTAATTAAGACTATGTTAAAAACGTATTGTTTTTAGTGAAAATATGAGAGAATATTACGCGAAAATATTCAAAATAGCCGACGATAAGAAAGCCAAAATCGAAAAGCACATACAACTAATAAAAAGCATCAACATTGAGCACATCATGCACAAAGAACACCCAATAGAAAATGTCATCGAAAACGAGGAATCGAAAGACACCAACAGCAGCTCGGGAGACAGTTACTTTTCCACTGTGGATGATTGCGCAGTGGATTACAAAAAAGACGAGAAAGAAGAAGAAATGTTAGATAATACTTGGGATGTCATTAACGCTAACATCGAATTTAGCGATAACAATGCCAACTTACCAACGGTACCTGCAAATATACAACAAGCTATCGATAATTTCGCCGAAGCTAGAAAGAACAAAGCGCGAATCATGACTGAAGAATTAGGTAGACTTTAAATTAACTTTTAAAATCCACTCATCCGTTAATTATTAACCAATTACAGGTGTGGTGAGTAATACAAAATCACTAACGAGACCATTAACAGCATCGAGCGATACATGTCTCACTCAAGCCCAAAAGAACAAACTGAAAATGCTGAGCTCCGAATTCGGCATCACCTTCAAACCCGACGTGATTAAGGCGAAACCAATCACTATATCCACCATCAACAGGAACAAAGTCATGCGGAGCCACGATTGCTTCGATTACAAGCTAGACAATGAGATCTTTCAGAACAAAAACGCGAGAATTACGGAGAATACAGTGCACACTTTGGGCAAATCCAAGTCGATGAATCTCGAATTAGAGAAGGTTTGTAGAATTCTATGCAAATTATTACATCTGTGGATAGATGCCACTTATCCATTTTAATATGAAATTTGTTTTTCATTGTTTTTATGGAGGAACTATGCGGTCATATTGTTCAATTTGACAGCTTTCTATTGTTATGGAATAACTATACAGGGTGTTCCTAAACATCGTGTATATCCGAAAGGGGGTGATTCCTTGGCTTATTTTATGACTAAAAGTTCATATAAATATGTATAGGTCTGCAAACGCCTCGTTACCGATCTACAGGGTGTTGAAGTTTCAAATTTTTTTTTGTTTTTTTTCTGTGTAGCTCCTGCACTTTTTGAGATATTTAGCTCAAATTTTGAATCTAGATTGCTTTATAGGGCACACATTATTGGGTATATCAGATGGTTGTTGAATTCTACTGGGTGATATTTTTTCTATGGACATTATTTACATTAAAGAGACTCTTTAAACGATTGGTTAGCGTTAGAAAATAGCGCTGAAAGCGAGCCATTACAGCTAATCTTCTGACGATTTGAACATGGTACTTTCAGCAGCCCCCCGCGATATGTAAGGGCGACCCGAACCGGCCCACGCCCATGTCGGTGGACTCGACGCCTTTGAGCGAGCACCCGCAATCGCCGATGACGACGACGACGGGCAGCTCGATGTTCTTGAGCAGCGACGCCGGTCTGATGGACGATTGCGCCAGCGGCCCCACGACAGGGCGCACGTGTTGCGGCGAGCAACCGTTCGATTTCAATCGACAAGAGCAGCCCTACGTGCCGGCGAGCAACGTGTTTTCGAAGAGGATCGACGAGAAGGAGGCCGAGGGGGTTTTCACGAATTCATTGGGGTTGTTTCTGCGCGAGTGCGTGCGGATGCCGCTCGTCACGCAAACGAAGTTGATTAACGAGGAGATGTTGAGGTATGATGTTGGTATTCCATTATTTTATAAAGCTAAGTATTTTTTTTTTGTAGGTATTTCGTGGAAGATTTGGAGTACATCAATCATCTGTCGAGTCTTCGGGACTTCTTTTTTATTCAAGATGGCGAATTCGGCAGGCATATTACTGATAAACTATTCACGAGGCTTTACGAGGCAGATGTGCCTTCGGAGTTGATAAATTGTCGTATTTTAAAAGATTTAGTGTTCGATGCTTTGGATATGTCGTATAAGAAACAGAAATTTACCTCTTACTTATCGTTCAAAATCAACAACATACCCACATGTTTCGATCTAGGCGATCCAAACGTCCTAGATTGCTTGTCATTAACATACAAAGTAAGCACAAATTTATACGATGTGAAAGGGACAAATACAAACCCTTATATTGGACTCTTTTTATGAAAAATATGTCGTACTAAATTATTTATATTGATACAGTTCTTTATTCATACTACTTTATTCATTATTTACAGGTAGACTGGCCTCTAAATATTGTCTTACCATCCGATGTGATAACCAAATACGATGAAGTCTTTCGATTCCTAATAAAATTGAGCAGAGTCTCCTGGGTATTGAAGAAAATATTCTTGGTAACAATCCTCTACATTCTATTAGCTTATTTCCTTAAATCGTTTTGTTGCAGGAGTTGAAGGTATTGGCGCGAGAGACGGGCAAAAAGGAAATCTATCTAATGTCGTCGCCGCAGTACAGAAAATTGCACCAGTGCAGGCACATCATGGCGCATTTTGTACAAACGTTAAAGAACTACGTGGTGGGCGAAGTCCTGCAATCGAATTGGGCGAAATTCGAAAGTAAACTGGCGAACGTGGAGAGTTTGGATGAGCTCTACGAAACCCATACTGAATATATTAAGAATATACTTTTCATGTAAGTTATTGATGTCTTTTTTGTTGGAAAATTCACATATTTTATATCGCTATATGATTGCGTAATAGAGCACTGATCTAATTATGTTAGATGGAATTATTTATGCGATATCTAAATTTTTACAAGAGACATTTGGAAATATTTAGAGATAAACGAATTTAAAGGTCATTTATACAATTTGATTATCTTATAATTAAACTAGTAATTTGTTATATGTTAGGAACGGTTTTGAACTCATTTATTTTTATTGCAGGTGCCTGTTGACGCAAAAAATGATAGTACTAAAGAACGTCATCAACAAAACATTCAAGGTAATTTTAAAATTTTACGATTATCTGCGATCGAGGAGCTGGAGGTGCGAGGGCGGTCACTTCGTCCATCCGAACTTCCACAAGTTGGAAATTATCTTTCAGAATTTCCAGGAGTTCGAGCTGTACATGTTTAAGGTTATTAACAAAGTGGCCAAATCGGGATATCACCCGCATTTGCTTCAATTGTTGGAGATGTTGGACGTTAATTATTATTTTTCTACTCGGCTCAAACAGAATTCTTGCACTTCTCTGTCACGTTGATCTCATTGAATTGAAGTTTAGGATTATATCGAATTGATTTATTTGTTCTTTTAAATTATGGTACTCATTATATATTATTGAGAGCACATATAATTGAGCTTTGAACGTTTTTTACATTAGATGGATATAGTTTTTTATAACTAAATAATTTTATGTAGGTTTTAAGCATGCAATCGTTTTAGAAAAATGCCAGATTAGATACAATTGTTAAATTATTGTTGGAAAAATAACTGTTTTCTCTATTTCGCTCGATTCTATATTTATCTTTATTTAATAATTTTATCACGTTTTGAAATTTTAACAATTTTTGCTTGTTAATATCCAAGAAGACAGGTTCCCTTTTAAAAAAACTTTGCTTTTACACACATATCATTGGTCACAAAGGGTTACAAGTCTTCTGGAAAACTTCTCATTTCGATACACCCTGTAGATATGGTCAGGAAACTATTAAAGATTTTTATAAAGTGTCTGTGGAGCAGATACCAACTTTCTGTTCTAGTTAAAATTTGACTTATTAACTAAAACGAGTCAATTGTAGATTATCGCTGTTAATTTATTATGTACGTGGTTTAGAAGGCTACAAAATAAATTTTCTATTTAAATTTATAGAATATTTCACACTAAGTATTGTTTTCTACTCGAGTAAATATTCGTATTTTATCTATATTTTGAAATTATTTTGTAAAACTATTGTTTGGAATAAATAATGAAAATATACATATTACCCACGATTAAGTAATAATGAAAGAAAAATGTATTGTAAGAACCTCCTAATAAGTTCCCTTCATAATAATAATCGACACATTCTAATGTTACAATCCATTAAATCGTCAAATATTTCTTCGAAGGATTAACTAGTATTAATAATTTTATATTTAATTAAAATGTAAATATAATGCATTTTTTACAAGTAAGCTACAATTTAAAATATCACAGTTGAATTCTCTATTATAATTTGGAATGTTTTGTAACTGGTTCATCGTGTATATTACTATTATCGATATCACCTTTTTCATCTTTCACCTGTCCGTTCCCGTTATCAACGACGCTTCCGTACCTTCTCGATTCCACATCCGCGCTATTAATACGATGAGGATCGTTCCATTTCTGCTCTTCGCCGCTTCCGAACAGGCAATAAATTATATTCGTCACAAAGAAAACGGCCAAAGTAATCCAAAACACCGTCCTCCATTGATACAGAGTATGCTACAAAAACGTTACCGTTATCCCAACACAATTACGTACGGTGTAATACTTACGTCTTCCGTAAGCGCGCCGGCCAAATAAGGCGTAATTATCCCCGTTATCGCTCCTATCCCGTTCACTATAGCCATAAGGGTGCCTGCATAATTCGGCGCCAAGTCCAGGGCGTTCACTTTCATTCCGCAGTAAAAGGGCCCCATCAGGCCCATCGCGATGGTGAACATGCTCACCGTCACGTACTTATCGCAACCGGAATACGAAGCGGCCATTATAAAAACAGCCGGCCCCACCGAAGCTAAAAAAACCACAACTCTTAATATTACTCTCATTAAGAACTTCAGTTCTGACTAACTAAACTGAAAGCGAGCCTTAATCGAGACAGCTGAAGCTAAGGTTCAGACACTGAGGTCTCTAGGTACCGGTAAATTATTGGAAATCAGTTCCTCGAAAACAATTTTTCGAAACCAACAATTGTTCGAATGAACAATTATTCGAATTTTATTTGTTTTTATTTGGAAGGACTATGTCACAACCAAGAAAGAAAAAGAAAGAGACATTTTTGACACCTAGAAAAAGACATTTTTGTTCTGTCTTATGAGATACAATAATGTTGTATTATAAAATAAATATTTTATAGTCGTAGAAATAATATTAACATACCAATAAATTTTCTCATCCACTTGCTTCCTAATTATTATCAAACTTTATTTACCTGAGTTCTTCACCATAGCCTTTCTGTACAATTTGTGTATTTTATAACATCGGGAATTTCCTAATTTTTATTTTTTATTCATGTATCAATTATGGGTAAAATCTATTAAGGGTTGAACAAAATTGTTTTTCGAATAAATATATTTTCGAAAATTTGATCATTCGAAGAATTGAGCAATCGAAAAACTGTATTCGAAGAATTGTTTTCGAATAATTTACCTAGACACGAGGTCTCTATCTAAGATTTATTCGCTGCTGAAGAGAAACCAGAATTCTGCCTAACTCACCGACTGTAGTGAAGAATTTCCTGGCGAAAGTGACTCGCATGTATCCCGCGCACACCAGCCAATCGCACAGCCACCCGGAGCCCATGGACACCAGCCACATGACGGCGTACGGTATGGACGTCCATATGCCGTTTTCCTTGATGTTGAACTTCAGTACGTCGCTCATGTAGGTGGGTAAATCGGTGACCATCGTGAAGAAGCCCCAATCGTGCCCCACTTGGGCCGCTATCAACGCCCACAGCGGACCCGATTTCAGTATGGACCTCCACGGGATGTCCTTGGGTTGTTGGGATACATTTTCTAAACGCACACAGCATGATTAAAATGATTAGTATAGTACATTCTAGGTAATATTGGTATGACGTCATTACTACATTAATTGGTGTGTGGTATACATTTTCTAAACGCGCATACAGAATAATTAAAATGATTAGTATAGTATAGAACTATACTACTATAGAACTATACAGTGTAGAACTGTCTAGAATCATTTATAACGCTCCAAAATCATTTATAACTGTCTAGAATCATTTAGAACGCTCCAGAATCACTTAGAACTATCTAGAATGGTTTACGTTCCAGAATCATTTAGAACCGGCTAAAGTCATTTAGAACGCTCCAAAACCATTATTAAGAGTGGAATTTTGTGACTAATCATATGGCAACCACGCATCGGAAATTCAACCGCGCTAGGTAAAATTACCCTAGTCAAATGGCAGAATTAACATTGGTATTAGGGAAATTTTGAACTGCGTGGAAATTACTAAAATTACGTAATTGTCATTTTAAAACGTGCGAACTTTATTCGTACTTTTTTCGAGTAGATTAATTTTGTGTGGGGTTGTTGGGTGAGAATCTCACCTAGTTCCTTTTTGAGATAGGCTTTCTCTTTGTCGCTGATGAAAGGGTGGGATTCTGGTTCGGAGTAGCAGATCAACTGCCATATTATGAACCATAGGACGCCGGCGCCGCCGAATAGGTAAAACACCGATGCCCAGTTTTTGGTGGCGTTGATCAGAACGCCGCTTATGCTGTTGCTTACTATAGTGCCTGAAAATAGGGAAAAATCGGTAAAATTTGGAACGATTTTAAAATGTAATTTTCTTGCCTACTTGACTCCCGGCGTAGACGAGCGTTCCGATCTTGGCACGTTCACTTAGAGGCACCCATTTGGCTAGAAGAGCGTTTAGAGCTGGGTAAGTTGTACCCTAAAAATATACAACGAAAATAATTATAGCTCTAATTAACTAATAAACTGTAAACATATTAGAATGCAATACACAATTATAATTACCTCTCCTAGTCCCACTAAAACTCTCACAGCTACCAGAACCTTCCAGTTGCCGTTCGTGGAAGTGATAATCCATGGAGTGAGCAGCGTGAAAATAGCAGTGGATAATATTCCGAGTCCTAGCGAGTATTTTCCTCCGAATTTCTCCGCCAGGATTCCACCGGGAATGTGAGTTACAATGTATCCCCAAAAGAAGGAACTCAATATGAGGCCTTTGGTGGTCTCGTCCCAGTCGTACAGTATACTGGTATCCTGTAATTACGATGGTAATGTAATATTCAGGATATGTGCGGGGAAAAATGTATGGATAAAAATATTCACCGTTATAGTGTTGTGGGAAAAATTCCCACTCGCGGTGGGACATGCATCTGGATCGTACACGTGGGATGAACCGGGAATTACCATTTCTGTGATGGCTATGTTTAAGGATACTCTCAGTGAGTAAGCGTTAACTATAGCTAAAAACCCCATTATGCCCAAAATGTACCGTTGAGGTATAAGGAAAACTGGAAAAAAATATTTCTGGAGATTAATAATTAATTTATTTGCATTTTAAGATGTTTTAGAGAGCTCCGTATTGACTAATTCAATATGAACTTAGTTTTATCACCATCAGATAGTGTAATTTATCTCCAGGATAAACTACCCATTTCTTAACTGAGACTTTTTACTTTTACAGATAGTAAATAAAATTAAATCTAATTAAGGGGTAAAAATATTGCTATAAAATAAATCTGTCAGTTATTTAGTTATTATACATATCTTTTTCTGAGCCGCACCTATAGTGCGATAATATTTATACAAACTTATAAATACTATTTTAACTATTTATATTGATCGGTTTTTGCAACAACTTGTAATTAAATTTGCTTGTTAAATACTTTTAATTTATAGAGTATAAATTAAGCACTAAAAGTGTATAAATTTATTAGTAACAGTATATTGTTACCTTCTCAATTATACAGCTAATTTGTCGTGTGTACTAAACTAATTTAATTACTAATTAGGTATAGCTAACGGCTGACTAATGAACTTTTTTTATTGGAAATAGTAAATAAATTTTAATAATATTTTAGTTTCTATTATTTATTTTTAATTAGCAAAATATAATAGAACGAAAATTTAGAACCGTGCGGTAAGTAACCAATGTAGTTTTTAATTGTAGCCACAAACAATAAAGTGATTTATTAGTACGAAACTACACGTGTTATCTTTTTGGAAATAATTTTTTAATGCTAAATGAGTGTTTTTTAAATTTGAGTTGCTCAAAATTAAACTTTTGCTGTGTTTTTGGTAATCTACAAATTATTTTTATTTACCTATCGCAGATTAATTAAGTCAATTAAGCATAAAAACGCGACTTATTAAAAAGTCGGTTTGAGTGTAGATTAAAATATTATTTAACGTTGCGGTGATAATAATATGATTCTTATTACCTATTTGGAAATACCGTAACGGCTATTTTACAGTGGGGTAATTATGCCATTTGAGAAATTTATAGACAATTCAATAAAAAAATTATGTCATGATTCTGACGACCGTTAACTTATTTTTATCCAGTAGCAGGATCCTCTTTTAAGCTCGCCATTCGCATGATAATTACAAGTATACCTATTTAATCTTCAAATGATAATTACATGAAATAAATTTTATTACGGCAGGCTTTATTTAATTTAAAAATTCCAGAAAAATAAATAGCAGAATTTAAAGCACCTTTGTTTCCATTTATTGCCGTCATTTAGCGTGTTATTTTTTCCATATATACATAAATATTTTTATTGAAACAGAAATTTCATAAATACCTTACTTATTTGTAGATACAGCAGAGCTCCTGGTATTTTAGGTGGATTTATTTACCTGCAAACCTTTTTAACACTATACGGGGTTTTTACATTACAATGCGAGGACAAATTGTACCATTTTTCCTTGAATTTTCCTAGTAAAAATGCACATGTATTGAATGATTGGTAAACTGACACGTTTAATGAATTGCTTCTTGTAAGACTTCATTTTATTATAATTAAATGTGTAGTTTTATCACGAAAAAAATTGTTAGTTTGATGTTCCGGTTGATAACTCGTATCCTTCTTTTTTTTGCAATTGAATTAGAGGTGAATTAATGAACCATGAAAATAGATTATAAACAATCTGTATGTAAGAACAATTGTGAAGAATTTGAATTGATTTTCATGAAACAAATTAACCTTTCGTCAGCAAGGTTCGCAATTAAAAATTGATACGCACATCACAATTTTTCCGGTTCGGGAAGCCCAAAAAGTGCGTATGAATAAAAATGAAAAATTGAGTGGTTTATGGTTGTTGTCATATTTTGTTAGATATGAAAATATTTTAAAATTACCATTTTTACCGCCTAATTATTGTATATCTGTAGTTCGTTATGATGTGTAACTATTTCGGTAGCTTGTAGGTATATCTAACATTGAAATAAACACATGATTTTTAACAAGCTATTTTGCAACAGAAACATCGAATGGTAGGAATTCGACGATAGGTAGGTACAATCGAAATTCTGGTCATAACCCAAAAAATCTATATATGGAAAAAGCAAGTAGTAGAATTAGATTGTAAAATTGCCGTTTAATCCTTCAAAATTTTATGCAATTCACGTTTATGTATAAACACCCATATAGTTTTAATTAAATTCATGCAGATTAGATTATTTGATAAAAAAAGGCTATTATATTCCAGATCGTTATCATAAATACCTAGAGGAATGGGTGCAGTACCAATTTTACCCTGATAAAAAAGCTCATTGAAAAGACCATAATTTACTACAAAATACAAATTTTCAATAATGAACAACTATAAAATAATTTTCCAATGATATTTATTTTCTTAACAACTCTTATTGCCTAAATTTTCATAATGGTTTTCTTAATTTTTTATGTACTTATCAACATGTTTATTTTTTTTCTCCAAAACACACCACAGGAAACGATGCAAATTAAAAATTTTCACACAAAATAAATATCGTCACATTAAACTTTATTTACATTATAATCACTACGTTAATTTAACTTTTGGATACTAAACAATTAAGAGAAATTAATGTAGAAAATTGATAAATAATTGCGAAAAATTTAACGCATTTATCAGGATCGTATCGGAAACAGGTTTAATTTAGATTCCAACTGATTGTAAAATGCACTGCATTAGATTTTTTTAAATTTTAATTCTTATTAATTTTCAAAATCTAGCACCAAGTAATAAAATACAACGATTGTTACCCATAATAAAAGCATTAAAAAATCAATTACAGAATCGAATCTAATTCGATGTATATCTCTAATACAAATTGCATTTTTAAAGAAATCTACCACTTACGTTTCGATATAGATAATCTCCATCCCGTTAGCATTTCGACGGCCGCTCAGAATCACCCAGAATTACAAATACAAATAAATAAATACAAAAAATTCGCACAGTCTACCAGCGAGAAATTCGACTGGAATCGAAACCGACCGGACGAGAGACCACCTTCGTGTGCAAGCAGAGTAATAAGTTCTGAGTTACCGTTCGAGCAGCGCGATAATTCTTCGACGCATTCGTACGCAATAATTAATACATTTGATAATGATAAAGACGCATTACTGGTAAAATTCGAGCGGCTAGCTGTCTTTTATATCGAAAATCGAAAGGCACGTGAGCTGATTGACGATTGGGTAAAAATCGTACGGGGCGAGATGCAGAGGAAAAGTGCATCGTGTCCAACAAGGTCGGTTTTGAAAAGTCGATGGAACGCGGTTTTTACAGTTTTTCGGTCGCAGTTATCAGAAATACCGGAAAATTTACGTGTTTACTAATAAGTTATGTAATTGGATAAATCATTAGTTTTTTGTTGCTACCAATATTACTAATTGTTGGTTATCGCATAGATAAAAATAAATATAATTTTTCATCTAATTAGAGTCTAATAATCCTTCTGTATATTTGGAAATAATGAAAATTATGTCGAGCGAAACTTTGGCTAATTACCTACATTAAAGTAAGGATATACTTACATATGTAGTTAAGAAATATTTAATGAACGATAAAACCTGTAAATAAATGCATTGATAATTTATTCATTTCTTATCATTTAAAATATGGAAAATTTCTTGAACATAACCCACTTAGTAATACATAGACCTCAAACTCTTACAAAACACGTAAACAACTCCAGAAAATTCTACTAAATATCCTGTTGTGCAGAAATAACTCTCTACTACATTAAATAAAATAATACACGGAGTCCTTAAAGAAATCCGTTACAGTCAGTAAAAAGTTTCAATTCATACATTCATTTATTTTCAAAAATAAAAGTAAGAATCTGAACCCTGTGTACCTAGAGAGCACCTAACTTAAAAGGGGATTAAAAAGGCACTCTAAACGGATTAAATTAGGTAATACTTTGTTTCTACTCAAGTTTCGAAACACAATATATTTTTTGCACTCATTGGTGTCGTGTGAACTTGATGATGAAAACTGATTGGTTATTAAAAGATACTCTTTATATTTCGTATCTCCAAAGATATTTATTTTATTTTCCGAGATTAAACTGACCGGTGCACCCGAATTCCACGCCAAGATAATAATCCTTGTTTGGATTGTACTTAAAATTAATCATTTACCGAAATTCCCTACCGAAAAATAACAATACCTAATTGAATACCTGAAAACTTTAATTTGGTTTTTACAAACCGAGAAATTTGAAAATATTTGTATGCATTATTCTTAGTAAACGTGTAAAACTAATTTTATTCTATATGAATATCAAAACTATACATTTTATATAGGAATATTAAAAAGTACAAGCAAAAATTCGAGTAGAGAGTAGAGTCTAGAGTGTAGAGAGTAGAATGTAGAAAGTAGAATGTAGAGAGTAGAGTGTAGAGAATACAGTGTAGTGTAGAGTGATAAAGAGTATGGAGAGAAAACTAAATTCAAGTAAGTTGGTGCGGAGTTCCGGTGCTCCCATTATGGTATATGCTTTTAGGCAAAAGAAAAGCTGAAGCATCTAGCACACGATAAATTAATATCATTCAATACTCTTATTGGAATTAATGGAGAAGAGGAAAGTACATTTTAGGAATTCATAAATAAAAACCTGATATATTTTCTCTGAGGCCGACTTGAAAGTGCCAGGAATTTTGAATAAATCATTCTGTGGTTATTTCATGCGGTTTCTCGCAAAGTTTACAATTTAACTTTGAGAAAAGAATAAATATTTTGTAGTATAGATTCGTTGCAATTAAAATATAACACATACAAATGATAAGGCATTGGTCTATTGTTTGACTCCCATGCGCTACACTTAGCTCTTTTTTACTAGCAATTTTCCTTATTCTTATATTTATTTTAAGTAGCTCGTTTCTTCATTCAGAAAATAATCTAAATTATTTCAAATAAGCCGTGTTAAAAATTCCAAAAATTGGCTATTAAAAATAGGGAATGAGGCTACATTCTAGAGAAAAATGACGAATACCTGGTAAACAATCGCGCTTATATTTACCTTTATCTCGCTTTATCGAAGATAAGATAAAAAAAAGAGGACTTACTCGGATAAGTTAGTATTTAACAAAATATGAATATGAAGTATGAATAATGTCCATAGAAAAAAGAGATGCAAACCGCATGCTCTTGGGCTACGAGCTGACGCCTAGACAAGATGCATTAGTGAACCATTTAGTGCCGTCTTTAGGTGCTTGTATTTTGTATGTTCTACTAATAGCCGGAGATGTGGGCGTGATATTTAGACATTACAAAGACGACGATCCCATTTGGGGCTCACTGACTCTATTTATCTTATACGTGCCCGTATTGGCGAGTTTTATTATAGTGATTTCTAATTGGGAACTGTGGCCTGAATTCGAGTCTTGCAGCAGGAATAATTTGATATGGTTCTGGACCAAGGTAGCGGAGCACCTTTTGTTCCCTATATGGAGCATGTGGAGGTAACAAAAACGCCTATACAGCAAGATATTTGATTTTACTTAGATAGATTGTAGATTTGCCGAAAGGATCTTCTGGTCCATAGAAGCTGTAAGGGCGCCAGATGACAAATCCATAGCGGAGGCTGTGGCCGCAGTCACAGACCCCCGCTCTATTGAATTGTACGTGTTTCTGCAATCTTATTTGCATTCGTTGCCGCAGGTTTTGTTGCAGCTTTATGTGCTCGTTAGGCACAATGCCGACATTAACTCCCAAACAGGTAAATACGATTTTAAAAAATGTATAGGTACTTACTAAATTGTTTGCAATATGGTCAATTCTATGAGTTGAACAAAGAAATATTATCACAATAACGGTGGTTAAAGTAAGAAAGTTTCAATCACTCAACATCACTCTTTCTTTTTCCTTCATATGAGACTAATGAAAGTTGTCATTGTTGCACCCATAGATCATATTGCGTATAATATTGTATTTATGTGTTTACGATTGTTTGTTGCAGCAAATGTGCAAATCATGAGCATTGTTTTGAACATCGTGAAGATTTCCGTTACCACGACCTATTACCAGCGATTCAAATCGCAAAAATTGTCGGGGAAACGTTACCCTTGGTATAAACATTACAAGTCTCTCCAACCCCAATCTCCTTCACAGCAGGTTGTTCTCAGGAGACACAATGTTGCGCTCAATAGGTAATATGAGAGAAATATTTAATTTAGAAAAGAAAGCTAGGACGACATGATTCTTAAGATTCTTATACTCTGTCAAAGTATATGTAATTTTTCGTTTTTGGAAGAGAAATAGTATTACTTACGTTATAACTTATAACATACTCGTTAATTCACTCTTCACTATAAATAATTTAAAGATGCTATTTCTAATTACTCATTAATCAGAAACCAATTTTTCGAATAAAAATATCAAATATACTATACTGACATATGTCATACGCTCACAGAACCAATAAATTGACAGATTATAAAGAAACCACATTCCACAGCATCCTAGATTAGCAATTTTAATCGATCCAATTTATCAAAATCTATCAAAAAGGCCAGCGTCAGCGATGGACGAGCGTCTTTCTGAACACCTAGAACCCAACAACGACGAAGATTTGCCCAGATACTCCGCCATCGCCACCAGGAGAAGAAGCAGCGACCTGTACATGGACCCTCTAGAACTGCAGCTAGACGAGCCAGTTGCCGGTCCTTCGGGTCTCACCAACAGGCAAACACTACTAGAAACAGACTTCGATGAGGAGGTGCAGACGAGAATTAAGGTCCTGGGGGAAAAGGTATTCGACAATACCGACGCTCCACCTGCTTGTAAGTACTTACTATACAAAATATCTTACTACTATGTAGTATAATGGTAACAGATTTGTTTGCAATATGGTCAATTCTATAAGTTGGACAAAGAAAGATGATCTAAACAGTGGTTAGAGTGAGAATGTTGCAATTCCACAAAATCACTCTTTCTTTTTCCTTTATATGGACTAATGGAAGTTGCCCTTATTGCACCCGTATTGCCTACGAATTTGCACTTACTTGTATTTATACCAAACTGCTGAAATTATTGGCAGTAACGTCACAACTCAACAACAATTTCTATTGGCTGGTAAAGTAGCTAAGTGAAAATCAAGCACTGTGATTCGCTAGACTCAATGACATCACTGTCAATAATAACAGCCTTTGTGTACTTATAGAAAAGTACAATCACTGGATATTTGATATTTTTCGAACTCGCTCTACTTTTAAGCGTTCAACTTCAATTCTTCATTGGTTCTATCATGGTTTTTAGACGCCTCTGGATCGGTATCGCGTTTCCACCGTCGGAGCTTGCGCTCGACATCGATAACGGACGGTCCGTGGCAGTTGTACCGGGCAGCGGATTTGCCCGGTCGCTCCGAGCCGGATTTCAACATATCCCGCGTAATCTACGTGAAGGGCATGGAAGACGATGACCTGGCCGGTAGACTGATAGCCATAGTGTGGTGGTTTACGTTCCTGCTGGCCAGGGTGTTGGCGATATCGGTGTTCGCTTACTTCTACATAAAAGAAACTGTCTATTTGATGAGTTTGCACTTTCTGTTAGTGCTGGGAATTCTGGCGTACGACGTGAGATCGAACGATGTGGACAGGTCCAGGGCGCTGTTCTTCTTCTTTATAGGGTTCGTGTATATCTTTTGTATCATCGAGTTCAAAATCAAATTCAAGAGAGCGACGGCTATATTCTACGGGTTCTTCTTCGTGGTTTTTCTGGAGAACATCGTGATGTGCTTAGTTTGGTACTTCGAGCAAATGGAGTCGCTCGAGAACGATTTTTGGTTCAGATACGTTTTTTATATAATCATCGCTTGCATGTTTTTGAGCTTCTCTGCTATGGTGTTCTATTTCGCTTTAAACAAACCGGATAAAGTCACAGTAGCTACTATAGTGAAGAAGTAAATGGCGCCACTGATATGACAATTTTATACAACAATAAGGAGCTTTTCTATTTATTTTTATGTACGATTATTAATCTAAATAAATTTTACTACAAATATAAATTATACTACCACAAATCTCACCAATTATTCACCCCAAAAATGTACCATTTCATCTTATAGAAACCTCAGAGTAAAATGTATATTTTTCATATAGGAGATGGTAACCTACAGGTTGTAATGTCCTAAAATTCCATATCATAAGGTCGATTATTTGTGCAATGGGTAACTTATTGCAAGAAAGAAAAAATATATAGAATTATTTTAATTCGTATTTATACTTCTAAACAATCAACACAAAACGTGTCATAACAACATTATATATATTTTTAATAACATATATTACATATCTATCAATAATAATTGCAATAATACTCTAAACCTTAACCGAAAAAGAAAACGTTAATAGTTTACGTAATTGGGGGGTACAATTATTAAATAGTTTATTTATTAAAAAAAAATATTTAAAAAGTAAGTCACAATTAAAATAATTCAACCTCCGAGGACGATTTCAACTGACAACAAAAATAAAATAGTGTTCCCTCTCACTCGTTACTCACATTTATTTTTCACGGTCGTTATAATCATATTAGTCTGGTGAATTAAATACAGGGCACTAACATATACTGAATTGGCACTGAAACAAAGCGTGTGTCAATGATTTAATTCATTCGAATAAAATGATAAATACTCACTGTCCTTCTTTGAAATATTCTTTCAATGTATTACTGAACCTCTTGGAATATTTCACGAATTCTCTCTTTCTTTGTTCTAAGGACTGCTTTCCAGTGGTTCCCGGAATGAAACCGCTCACAGCATTCACAGCATCTAATAATTTTTTTATAGCACTGGCAATTTCTCTGCAAACATAAAAGAACAATTAAAAACACGTTTATAAATCGATCAAATCGCTTACTTTATAGTTTCCAAAAATGTTTTTCTATCGGTAATTTCATCTGGAATTCTACTGAGAATTCTCTTCAAGGCAGCGGATTTCCTATTTAATTCTTGGAATGCATCTTCGGAGCGGTTCAGACGATATTCGACAACTAAAATAAGCCTCAATTGAACACAATTCCTTTTAATTAAGCGCAATGTTTAAGAAGATTGAAGGAACAATTACCAGTCATTTGGCCAACTTACTAATTTACGTAAAAAATCGCAAATCAAGGCTAAAACTAATTTAATTATCTTATCACATGCGTCATATTGAAGACAAGTTGACAATTTACGAAATAACAAATATTTAACTACAATCTTTCCCAACCTCTTCGAACTAATTAGAACGTAAACTAAATAAGTAAAATAGCTTTGTTTCACGAGTTAGATAAGTTTACTTACCATCAGAATCAGACAAAGCTCCCTGTAAGCGTAAAATGCTCTCGTTCATGTTAACAGTAAGGTCCCCCTTTCGCAGAATACCGACGACAAGGTCGTAGGTGAGCCCCGGGTGGGACGCCTCCGCCTTGGTAAGGGCGGATCGGAGGGTCTGGGACGCTGAGACATCCTGTTTTTCGAGCTGCAAGCCAACGCGTTGCTTAAATACCGATTAATTTCGAACGGAACGAACGCTTACCTCTGATAGAATAGGGCGTATTAACACAGGCAATATTAATGTTGTCACAGGAGTTTCATCTCCCATTGTCATATTTCTGATATTAGAATAAGTCTATTTCACCTAGTAGCTTAATTTCAACTTACTCTAATTAACTAAACTACGAAGATAAGATTAGGGATAAAAAACATTTCTCAAAACAAAAAAATTATCAACAAGAACAAACGTCATATCAAAACGACGGTCTTCTTTTTTCTTTAGAATAATTTATTGTGACATAACATTTGTCACAAAACTGGCCTTTATCGTTTAGATTAAACAGCGACTTTTAAGCACCGTTTGAAAAATTGGACACAGGCCAACCCCAACCATTACTTTTTCTGAATAGAGCAATTATTTTTTGTACTCATTTAATTAACACACTACAATTGACTCAATTAAACGAGGTCAATCTAAATTCCTATAAACCCGATTTCTTTATTAAATATCGACATCACAAGGATGCAAAAAGAAATCGTGAAATAATTATTAAAACATGCCAAATGAAAAAAAGGTTCTTAGTTCATTCATATCATTTAATTATCTATGAACATTATAACAAACAATAAATCAGAGAGCTACCATACTATGATACGTGTACACGCTGCAAATGTTGACAACAGATCTAATAAAAGCTTGGAATCATCCAAGATCTCAAATGCAATATTTATTCAAAAAAAATTAATACGTTAGGACACTGTCAATAATTAAAATAAATACTCGTCAGACTTATATAGCAATATTAAGTGTGGACAGGGCGAAACTTCACGTTAATTTCGTACATTGTATAAAATGAATACGTGTTACATTTCACGATTACTCCGAATATCGAGAAGCCCTTCTTCAGGAATGTTATCTAATCAATACTTAAACGCCAAAGAAAAATTCCCAAACCTGCTCGTTGGCTATTATACAAAGTTCTTATCGTTCACGAATTCTATATTACTTAAATTACAATTTTATAAGTATAAATAAATAAGTCCTAACATTCAATTTAGCAAGTACATTTAAAAGCTTCTTAAACAATCATGAAACTTCGCCCAGTCAGTATACGTACAATATATATAAAAAAAAAGAAAAATAAAACGCTAGAATTTTATTTACACTCTTCACACACCGTATCTAAAAAATTATTTCGTTTTAATGCCTAACATATTTATATATGTACAAATTGCGAATTGAGAAAAATTAAATATCAGTGTAATATGAAAAGTAACTCGCTGCAACATGTTATAATTAAAAAGTAGTATAACGAAACTAAATCACAAACTCGAGATGAAATTTACACAACCGAAACATTTTTTTACCCACAGAAAAGTGTTCACTTAGCATTCGAGTCCGATGTCCCTGCGCTCAGAGATATAACATGGTTTTAGTAAATTGTGCTTTTGAAATTGGTTGAAACAAATTAAATTACATTTATACATACATTGTGCTCACAATTTTAATATATCGATAATGACGATTTAAATAAACGTATATCCCTCAGGAACAATGTTTACGTAAAAAAAATTTAAACCCATAAAATCTGTATACAAACGTTTAATCCACACATACATGGGACAACACCCTGCCTTTTTACTAGTTGCATAACTTTTGTCCATCATTAAGCCTACTAGAAATTCAGTAATTATATCCTAAGTATTGTTAATTACTAAAAATGGGGAATACATGATTTTTCATTCAAGCGTATTATAATTATCAGTTTCTTTCTGTTTATGACAATTTACACCACAAAATCACTTCAGAAGTGAGTCCTGAACGTTATATCACAGTTCACCAATACCCACAAAAACGATACATCTTTGACCGAAAAATGTATTTAGGCCATGATCTAAAAGCAAACTGTTATAAACAATTTGAATTACGAGACACTTCCTACACAATGGTTTCAACAGACTTACTATTCTACGAAAATCGTGCGGATTTAAGTAGGATTGTTCTCGCTTTCCCGCTGTGCGTTCTCCGCTTCGAGCTTTTGCCGGGCGGCGGCCGCCGCCGCCGATCTGCTGGCGCTCGAACGCAAATTTTTCTTTTCGATTATCGCCTCGTGATCGATGGGGATGTCGCCCGATTTGCGCTTGCCCCTGGTCCGTTTCGCGTTCTTTTTCGGAGGCGATTCGGAATCGTCGGTCAAGTCAGATCTCGACGGTTCCTCTTCTTTAGTAGGTGAAGGATTTTCGGTTGTCTAGAAATAATAATAATCCTTTACATATTTATTTACCCTATCCTTTAGATATTTTAAAATAAAGGTACTAATTGCCAAATTATGCGCTATAATCTTCGAACAAATTATCTTCATTTTTCCAATCATAAATTTTAAATGATAAAATTTCGAATCATCCTTTCCAGCACTTTCCTAGTCTTAGAACCAAACAATCAAATAAATATTATTTTAATCGTACCTTGTCAATTTGTTCGGTTTCGTTCTCTTGCATTGCTTTCGAAGCCTGAGTAGGTTCGGGCGATTTTTCTTTGACCTTTTGCGGACTAGCCGAGGACTTTACGACGGTAGACGGGGGTAACAGGGCCTCGATGTCGACCCCTTCGTTATCGTTTCCGGGAGTCCCCGATGCCGAAGGCGCGGCCGGCGTAGGCGTCACTGGAGCTGGCGTAACACTGGGCGTCGTCGCGGGCGTCGGGATAATCGTCAGAGGCGTCGGCGTACGCGATTTGTCTTCTTTGGATTTCTTGGCCGGCGGCAATTCCGCTGGATCGCCGTCCTGAGCACCGGGTTTCTCTATGATCTCTAACGACTCTCTCGGTCTCTTAGAAGACGACGAAGCGGACGTCAGCATTTTACTTTGCTCGTCGCTCATCGCTTTGGCCATCAGTTCGATGTTGGTGCGACTCAAATGTTCGAGAGCCTCTTTCATCTGCTGCTCCTGCGATTTCTTGGTCGAATGGCTGACTTGGGCTTCCAAGAGTTTCGTAAAATCTGACAAGTTCGGCAATGCAGTCTTTTTCTCTTTCACAGAACTGGAGAAATCAGTCGGTAGCATACCTCTCAGATTTTCCAAAGCTTTCCGTTTGTCCTCTTTCTTGTCGCTCTTCGATTGCTGCTTAAGAGTGATGTCCAAGTTTGTGGCGGCTTTAGAAATGCTCTCTAGAATCTGAGTGTCTGGTGGTAATAGTAACTGTTGTAGGTGCGCGTCCCTGCTGCTCGTCCTCGGCCTGCTCTGCCCCGAACTGGTGGTGGTGGTCGCCGATGGGGCGCGAGTCGACGGCATTTTATTCATTTTCGAGCTGCTAGTAGGCGAAGCCGACGGATTCAAACTTCCGTTAAGCAAACCGCACTGCTGCGCCAACGTGTCATAGGCCGCGGACATTCCAGGTTGGAGCGATAGCGGATTCAAACCTCCCAAACCGAACGGAGAATACAACAAACTCGGATTCGGGAAGAAGAACGGGAACGGATTAGAAGTCGGCAACGAACTACTTTGAGATTTACTCGACGAGTGGGCCTCTTGTGGCTTAGACGACTTGCTAGTGCTAGTGCTAGATTTCGAATTTTTAGATGGATCGGCCGTTGCACCCGCTAGTGCAGAAGGATCGATTCCTCCCAAACCGGGAAGCCCCAAGCCCGCTAAGTTGGCGAACAAATTCATGTTCGTGAGATTACCGAGTCCTCCCATAGACCCCAGGGCTCCCATGTTGGGCAGTCCCGCGAACGGCATCAACAATGGATTCGTTTTCGGATCGAATTGGCCTAGGCCGGAGAGGCCTGTGAGCAGGTTCGAATTCAGCCCTGCCAGAGATGATGTTCCCAGCGTCGGAAACGACATGCTAGACGGCAAAGACGTCACCAAATTGGCCGAACTCACGCTCGAAGTAGAACCGGTGGGACTCGAAAGCAAAGGCGGTGGTCCGGGCACGCTGGATTTGCTTTTACCGCTGCTGCTCGAACCGCTGCTGGTTTGACCTAAAGAACAGAAATTTCCATCAAATTAGTATCACCGAAGCAACTAGTTCACATTTAACATACAAAAAAGAAGAAACTTTCACAAAACGCCCGAGAGCGCAAATCGAAAATAAAAAATTACCTGGCAATCTCTTTTGCAAGTCATGACTCAAATTTCCTCTTTCTTTTACGAGTTCCGACCATTTGGGATCGATATCATACATAGGATTTTCCATTAACCACTGACCTAATCGCTTCAAAGTCGGCGCTTTCGGTCCAGTGAGCTTCTTTCCGGTAACCCGGTGAATAACGGCTACATTCTCATCGCCGGTGAGCTTTTTCCAATCTAGAAGCGTCGGATCAACCCGAGGTCTCCTTCTTCTAGTCAAATAATCCGCCGATAGCGGTTGCTCCGCCAGAGCGGCGTTTTGTTCGGCCAGCCATTTATTGACTTTAGCCTCGTGAGAGTAAGAATTCACCTTAGAGCTAAAGTCCGAAACTTTGCTTATATCGGCTATCATCGCCTCGTAGCTCTTTCGCTGCTGTTGCTGTTGCTGCTGTTGTTGTTTCTTCAGCAACAGATTCTGCTGTTCGGCTTGGGCCAAGAAACTCGAGAAACTGTCCTTGCCGCTAGACGACAACGGCGGCAATAACCCTTGGGAATGGGCGCTGCTGCGATTCGATTGAGCTGAGGAAGGAACGGAAGTGACGGTTATGGTGAAAGGTTTTTGACTGGGATTGTGGGACGAGCTTACGGGGGCGGACGTGGGGGTTACGGTGACGCTGGGTGTAACGGGTTGTTTTTTCGATGGTTCCGGACTGAAGAGGGATTGCTCTTTGGCCGCGGAGAGGCCGAGTACAATTTCGTCCAGTTTTCTACGCTTCTTTTCTTTGCCGATTAAAGGTTCGGGTTCGGGCTGAAAAAGTGCCGTGCAATTACGGAATTCGCATTGTCGATTGGAAATACTTACGCAGTTCTTTCTTTTCATTAATTTAGATAGCGTATCGTCCAGTTTATTCGTACTTTTCGGTAAAGATATAGAGGATTTTTTGACGGAAAAGTCTTGCGCTTCATTTTGATCCATTGACGATTTGTCCGATTTGGGTATACTAAAAAGTAACATTACATATAGCATTTTACGATATTAACATTAAATTAACAACTCACCTTGAACTTAAATCGATGGGCGTAAGTGTACTGCTAGTGCCCGGTATTACGGTAGTTTGCCCGATAGTTTTAGCAATCGGTTGGTGATGATACTGCAAATCGTACGGCATTTTCAAATTAGACAAGTTCATTCTGGATGCCTGCTGATGCGCGGGTGGCGGCTGTGCATGCTGAACAGGAGTAGATCTCCTAGATTCCTCCGAATCATCGTTGTCCCAACCCATACTGTGTTTAGGTAGTGCATTAGTCATGTGACTGCTATTCAACAAAGCGTGCAGTTTAGCCCTTTCGGTTTCCACATCGATGGCAATGTGCCTTTTGCGTTTTTTATTAGCCGCGTAGCGATCGCTGCTTATGCTTATTATATCGGTATCGCCAATAGACATGGGCGTTGAAGTCTCCCTTTTCGGCGGTTCGTTGGGTATCTCGTGTATTGGTATATCGAACTCGTTTCCAATACCAGTGGCGTAAGCGGAGAATGTCTTAGTAACGGGCCATTCTTTAGTTTCAATGGCGTATATTATGTGCTGCAGCCGAACTTGAATCGCGTACTCCTTCGGCCATTTCACCGCGTTGTTAAACAGTTGAGCTACCGTTGTTTCGGTGAAATCTAAAGCTCCAGTGGCCGGTTTGTCTCTAAGAACGAACGTGTCGACTTGAGAAAGGCGCGATAGGGGCTGGATAACTTCCAAGTCGGGGAACATAGCTTTGAGTTCGGCCGCTTGCTTGGAACACAAGTCTGCTTCTTCTTCGGCTAGTTTTTTAAGAGTGTCTTTAGTCTCTTTCGGTTCCTGCGGTTCTTTTACTTCTTCTTTTGGTTTAGGAATGGGTACACTCTCGGTTTCTTTTTCAACCTCTGGTTCCTTTTCTTTTTCTTTCTCTTCTAGTTGTTCTGGTTCCTTATCTTTTTCTGTTTCTGTTTCCGTTATTTTATCTATATTTATATCTTTATTTTTATCCGTATCTGTATCTTTTTCTGTATCTTTATCTTTTTCTGCATCGTTATCTTTTTCTGCATCGTTATCTTTGTCTTCGATATTATCCTTTTCCTTTTCTTCTTGATCCTGACTTTCTTTAGCCTCCGATTTCACTTCATCTGTTACCTCCGGTTCTATTTCTTTTTTCTCGTCATCAGGTTCTTTGCCTTCTGTAACCTCTTTGTCTTCTGTGACCTCTTTGATTTCTTCGGCTTCTTTGACTTCTTCCACTTTATCTTCAGGTTCACCTTTCATTTCTTCGATTTCGACCTTCATTTCTACATCTTCCACTTCTTCCTTTTCTACTTTTGCTACAGTTATTTCTGTAGCTTCCTCCTTATCTTCCTTTTCTTCGGTTGGCTCTTTTTCTTTTTCTTTGTCTTTTTCAGTTTCTTCCTCTTTGATAATTTCTTTAACTGGTTCCTTTTCGCAAACGTCACTTTTGACTACAGTAAGGTTTACCTTACTCTCTTCTTCGACTTTCTTATCGACGTTTTCCTTTTTAGGTACAACTTTCTCTATTTTCAAGGTTCCTTCGCCCTTTTCGAGTTTGACCAAAATCTCGTCTTTGTCGAATTTGAGAATATCTTCGTGACTTTCTAATTTTATAGCTTCCTTCGAATCGGCCGATTCAGATCGAACCTTTTTACGCAGTACTTCATGGAACGATAGGTCTGGATCGTTTAACAAATAGTAATTTGTTTTGCCTAAACCGTGCCTATAATACAAAAAAAAAACGTTGTATGATGGGAATTAAAATAAATGAATTTAATGCTTACTTTGCAACACCTAATAATAAATCTTTGTCATGTTTTCCGGCTATCCACCATTCGGGCATATCGGCTGATGAAAGACACACACGCAGCCTTTCGTCCAGTTTCGGATGCGTTATGATCTCCTCTCGGATCCTGGAGAGCAATTCCAGTCTTTCCAAAGTTCGTCTCGCCTTTTCCTCGGATATGTGCTCTATGGACGTGTCGTAATTCGATTCATCGCCACCAGAACCGGTTTGTTTTTTACACATAACAACGAAATGTTTGTAATATTCGGTCAACTCGTCGTCGGCCTTCTTCTCCAGCTTCGCGAGCTGCTTGAATTTAATCCAATCGTAGGACTTTTTCTTCCTGGAATAGATCACACCGTACGAAGATACCACTCGGAAAAAGTCGGCCTCCTCCCGTTTCGTCCACCTTTTGGCTATGTTTGGTCTCTCTTTTTCTTTAGGTTCCCTCAGCGATTCCAACGCTTGTTTTCCTTGTCTCTCCATCTTCTGAAAGCGTAAGTATCAAATTCTTGGCATATTTAACAAGATGTTAGTTGATTAAAAAGCGATAGTTTGGAAAGTTTATATTTTTAGTTAGGTTAATATTTATTTTATTATGGAGAAAAATAGCAAAATAGTTACTAATAATTCTAATTCGACATTTATAGAATAAAAATTGTAAGAAATAGAGGAATGCGAGTCAAACGAGATTTAATTGATACTGTTTCGAGATAACCTCTATTTCCTATGAATACAGTAAAATATCATTCCACAATAAACGAGAAACATTTAATTTATTTAGAATAGGTCAAATTCGAAATAAACAAAATTGTGAAATTACAGATTAATTATTTTATCTAATAGAACCGTAAAAAATTATTTGAATAGTGAAATTCAGGATTAAGCAAAAAAGAATCAACAATTTTTAAAAAAAGAGAATGCAAATATTTGATCTAGAGCAGGACAATTATGACGAAAAAATATTTTGTTCATAAAATAAAATTTGACCTAAAATAATGCACAACAACTTCCATATTAAAATATCTATAAGAGTACATTAAAAACAGTAAATGCACCAATGATAGATACAATTACATTTAAAACCAAACAATTCTTTAAAATCTATCATCGATGCAGGAATATCAAAAGGTAAACAGCAACAGAACAGAACATAACAGAACGTCAAGAAGCTCTTACAAAAAAATTAAACCCGCCTCTTACCTTCCGTTAATACATAATGCATAAAGTTGCCCTGCGTGCGGGCGTACTTACCAACAAATAGAGGGCCAGCTGTTGCAGATCCCATCCCTGGAGCCCTAGGGCGGCCGCGTCCCTCGGATCAAACTGCTGCGACACCTGCGCCAACGCGGCCAGAGGAGAGGACAGGGCGCTATCTATCTGGGGCTGTACAAGTGCAATACGTAACACTACTAACTACCCGACACAGCCATGACGCTCATGCTCATGTGCACAAGAGAATGGGTACAGGGTAGATAGATTGATGATGAATGATTTCGAGAAATATTTTATGCCAAGTACAAATTAGTGGAATTAGAGTTGAATTTATTCTACATACGAATGATGTTTGCAATGTTCTGGGAGTTGTGCTCGGAACTGGTAGACAAAGTCATAATAGAGCAGTTTTAGATACTGTAGACTCACTAAATAGTCCTTGAAGTCGCTGAATAATTTCTGCCTTTTTCCCACAATAATAAATTATTGCATTTTGAGATTTTGCTGTGTCTTTCATAGTTACAAAAAGGTGTCCATATCAATCGAACATATGAATCAGACTGAACAATGATGCACTGGATAGTTGCATAAACATGTCAGGACATTGACTCTAAGTTCTGCGTAAATTAATTAGAGCACATCTTTCGTATAGAGTGTTCGGTTTCATTTGTACTTGCCAAAAAACGTACGAATAGACAATAACCAATATTTATATAATGTAGGCAGAGATGATAAAAAATCTACACTTAAAAAAGTTTAAACAATCAAGCGCTAAGCACATTTATTCATGAGGTTCGTGAAAATCTAAAAGTTTTTCGACATAATAAAAAAAAGACGATTATACGTATTTTTAAGTTTAAAATTTTAAGTTGATTTGTGTAGTAAATAGGAAACACCGAACGATTAATACGGAAAATTACCTTCGATTTGGACGCGGCCAATTTCTGCTCTTCCTTGCGGCAATTCCTCTGGTACGAAGTAATCACGCGCCTCAGGCGAGTGTTGAGATCGGTGATCGTCGGCCAGTTCTTGTCGTCCGGATCGTCGTCGTTGTCCAACGGTTGGGTCTCGGACGACGCCGACGGTCCCGGCGACGGCTCCGCTATCTCCGAATTCCCTTCAGACGCCTCGCGCGTCTTCGACTTGACGCTCGACTCCTCGTTGGTGTCGTCGTCCTCGCCGTCGTAGTCGTTGCTGAATGGAAAAAAACGATACCATTTAATAGTCGTTTTTATTCGAACGTAAAGAAAGTGTAAAAATGTTTGAGATACTTTGCAAGGTTGTTGTTTCATCACTTTTACTAACGATTTTGTCATCTTCTATTAAGGTACACAGCGTGTTTTTTAAGTGCTCGTTGTCGAATTCAGTCAACTTTCTTATGCCTAAATTCTTTTCAAGGCCATTTTTGGCGAGTAAAACCAGCGTTGCGAAATAATCCACGCCCTTAATCTCTCCAGATCTAACATAAGAACATTCCACAACGTTCCTTATACCATCGAGGCTTTTCAGTAGCGACTGGGTGCAGCGTAAACAGTCGAGTACGTGGCCGATTCCAAGCCAGCTTCTTTGACTCGGTTCGTTAATTGTTTAACGAGATCTTGCGGAAGGTTCATGCAGGGGTTGTTGTTGGGAAATAAGGGTATCGCGGTTTTGGGGGAATTACCGTCGATGACTGGCACGTTGATTTCAAGAGGCGATAAGTTGATTGAAACTATTAGCACGGAGTTGAGTTTTCCTCGTTTCGATTGAATTTCGAAACGGCGGAATTTACTAAGGAGCTATGGCAGCTACAAGAACTTATTTTTTATCGTTCTTATAGAACAATTCATTGTCAAGTACTCCCGCTATTCGGAGTAAACATCTGGTTACCAGCACAATATTAGCAGAATGTAACGCTTCGTGTATTTTGCTTTGGGTGAAACCTTCTACGTTTGTAAGACTCTCTAAGTAGAATAAATCTGTTGCAAGTTTTTGTGTATATTTCTTATCGTATAAGCATAGAGAGGAGATGTAAAGTGGTCGATCAATTTTCCATTTGCTCCTACTATAGTCGCTTTGAAATTAATCCCTGTGAATACTTCTTTCTGGAATTTCTTCGTAATAGAAATGTTTGACTAAGAAAGTGTCATTCCAAGTAAACCAAAAGTATCTCAAAATATTTTACTATTCTCCCACTAACTTATGACTAAATGCCCGAACCTTACCTTCGACAATCTGGATAAAATCTTCACGTAATAAGTAGACAATTAAAAAAAATATAAATTTTACTTTTGGGCAATAAGCTCGTAAAGGCAAATGATAATTAAATAAACCGGGTGGAACTACATATAAAAAGATTAAAATTGTATAGTATTAACGAGTTGTTTGGAAGCAATATCTACAAAAAAACTACCATGTTATTATGCAACATAAAAATAGAGTGCTCTAAACAACTCATTTAAACGGTTAGTAAGGGTAAACAGTATGACGAAATAAAAATCTAGTACAGCAATAGAGGAAGAAATATAATAAAACAGCGTTCAGGACAAATCGCACAAGTTGAAATATAATGCGGTATACATAAATCAATTTGTGCAACCGTCCTGCGGAAAAGCCTGACTCTAACTAAATAGGGCCGAGTGACAGACACAGACAAAGAAATTTTTCGTAAAAAGAAAAAAGGAGAGTAGACTACTTACAGTGCGGGCGTTGGGGGTAACGCGTTATTCGTAGCCATCTGGAGCTCTCTATCGGAGGGCGGTCCGCAACGAGACAGGAAGCACAGGGTAGGGTCAGCACGCATCTCCGTATAATTTTCATAGCCGTGCTTCCAAGTGCCAATGAGCAGAGACTTGTCACATTCACCATCCCACCACACGCAAGGTAATTGCTCCGTTACAGGAGGATATATCGGCAGGGCACTGTGGATTACGTCATATGCCAATTGAAAATTTTGATTCTTTTTTTTTGCTAACTATTATTATTTTTTCTTATCAAACCAGTCAACTAAGAGCACGTCGTAAACATTAACTAATCAGGAAAGTTGAGAATATATTATTTGAATAGAACATTTAAGTAGAATAAAATGTTTGCTAGGCAGAATAATTTTTACATTTTAATGGAGAACATAGATGAAGACTTGGAAATGTGTGTACTATTTGGAAGAATAAATCTAACGAATTTATCTGTGAGAAAGTTTATCAGAGAAGTAGCAATTTAGTTACTTGATCAAGAGGTGCCTTAAAGAAAGTGAAGAAGTATGGGAAATTCGGAATAAAATGAACAAAGATCAATTTTCTAAAAATACTTATCACAATATAAGCAAATCATTTAAGATATTGTGCTGCTTAGGTGACTGGGAGTTTTCATAGGACTCCTATGACCTTGGCATCTTATTTGAAAAATAGTATTTACATTTAATGCTTTCCTTGAAATTTACACGATTCAAATAAAATTTAATCTAACACAGGGATTTATCTTTTTTTCTCTAAATATCAAAACTACTAATTTCAAGCTTAAAAAATAAAAAAAATGCATTAATCTGCTTCGAAAGCTAATCATAACATCAAGGTAACTCGCAACGTCGCGCCTACAACGAAAAGTTGCGAGTGGAAAATTTCAAACCCCAGTTTGTTTGTTTTCCAATGACCGCCGATTTTTTTTCAAATCAAAACAAAAAATATGCAATTAAAGATGCTAAGATCCAACTAGAGTCCTGTGTTCGTTCAAAAAAAGTATGCTTTTAATTATGTATTTCATTTTTCTAAAGAAGAATTTGGTATTCAAGTGCCGTACCGTCACTTCTCAGCGTTTTGGGGTTGGGAACCAATTCGTTCGGAATTGTTTTTAATTAGTGTTAATAACAAAATGTTTGGTTAAAATAAGCAATGAAGCTGTGACACGTGAAATGTAAAAAAAGAAGCGCGTACAAAACCTCATTCCTTTCGACAGAGCCTCGTTAACAATACGATTATAAAGTTGATATTAGTAATATAAGTCGAAATGGAATCAAGCAATGTACGGCCAGGTAAAACAGTAACCAATGTAAAAAAAATTTTAATCGGTAAATCGGCAATTCAACTAAGCAACTATATAGCATGACTTCGAAGCAGAATCATGCATGTAACTGTTAAAAAAAGTCAAAAAGCGAGGGCTCCCAACGATTCAAAAAAACGATATGTCAAAATGACGAGAAACCACTTCTCAAAACACACCATTTAATGCGACCGAACAATTTTAACGAAATACGTTATTGATCCACACAAAAGCATGAGAAGTCGATTCTCGTTATCAAACAGAGAAAACCTTACCTGATGTATTTTTGTCAAAATAAAATCAAGAAAAACAGCTTCGATTATCGACGGATATCATCGATAAATTTATGTGCTTGTTAATACAGTTAAAAAGTAAGATAAAGTAAATACGAAGTGACTCGAACCTACCTTGCGTGTACACCATCGGCGATCTGTTGCACCAAATCCCCTATAATTTCGTGTTTTATGTAATACAACATCCTTACGCGAAGTAACACTCTGAAAATCAAAACGCGACTTAAATTTTGCGAAATCGTACACAACATTCCACTTGTAATTTAAATAATAATCAGGGCTATTCGAGAATTGTTTTGTTTTCATCGAATACCTACGTATTCTCTAAATTAGCATGAAAATCATCATGTATACATATAAGTAACAGAATAATTAATTAGAAAATAAACTTACTTGTTGGCGTGTCTTCCGAGGTGCTTTTTGTAGTTGCTCTCTAAGAATATGTCGCCGTCGTATTTCTCGCATTTGCTCCAATGATTCGGGTCCGTGATGGCCGGATGTTTCAGGTCTTTGGCCAAAATGCCCTTGTCTTTCTTCTTGTGCTTGTTCCTGATGCCTCTCGGCACCGGATCCTTCAAACCGTGGTGGTTCTTGGATATCTTCTGCTCGCCGTTCTCGGACGGTGCAATCAAATCCCAGATGAAGCTGCGGATTTTTTCATCGCCTCTGTAGAACCTCAAGCAGTACAACAACTACAATAAAAAGAATATTAGCATTTTCGATTAATATTTATGATGTTGTTACTTACTATAACTCGAGCGCAATCTTCGATATCGGATTCTTTCCAGCCCTTCCTGAGTTGCGAGTGCATGAGTATTTCCTGCCATCTGCCCCAACCGAATGTGAGCAGGCCTCTTTCCACCATGAAACATTCGCGCCTCGCCCAACTGCCGTAGACGATTTCGCCGCGAGAATCGCCCTCTCTCGGTATGTAATCGTCGAGCCTGTACTTCCTCTTCCGCAGTTTCTTCTTGGACCTCAAGCTGCCGCCCAGGCCCTCGTTCTCCGGATCGGAGTCCGAGGAGCTCTCCAACTCCGACATGTCGATGGCGCTCTCGTCGTGCCCGTACCGCTTGATTTGCGTGCGCCTGCGCGGCTCCGACAGCACCAGGTCCTCGTTTTCGTCCTTCTCCGTGGTGTCGATTTCCGCCTTTTTGGCCCACTTGTTCCAGAAGTCCGGATCGTCGACGGCGATGTCGGACCGGTTGGCGCTGGACGCGAAACTCGCCTTCGAAAAGGTGGATCCCTTTTCGGATTCCATGGTGATGACTTGGGTCCTTCTCGCCAGGATGACGTCGATGTCTTCCTCGCAGAATTTGTCGCCGTCCTCCTCGTCGAGCAGGGCGCCGTACGCTCCTTTCTTGAGGAGATCTTCGATTTCTTTCTTGCTCAGTTGTCTGTTTCCCGTTTCTTTTCCGCCTTGGGATGTGTTCATGCTTTGCAAGATCGCTTTGTCCAAGCCGAGTTTTAGAGAGGCTTTGTCGAACATTTCTCGTTCGTAGGTGTTTCTGCATAGCAGTCGGTAGATTTTCACCATTTTCTGCTGGCCGATTCGGTGGCATCTGGCTTGGGCTTGCAAATCGTTCTGGGGGTTCCAGTCGCTGTCGTATATGATGACAGTATCGGCTGCCGTTAGATTGATGCCGAGACCGCCTGCTTTCGTGCAGAGCAGGAATATGAATCTGTCCGAATCCGGCCTGGAGAATCTGTCAATAGCTGCCTGCCTTAGGTTTCCTCTGATTCTTCCGTCGATTCTTTCGAAAGGATACTTCTTGAACATCAGGTAATCTTCTAATATGTCGAGACATTTGACCATCTGACTGAAGATTAGTACTCGATGGCCGTTGGCTTTTAACTTCGGTAATAACTTGTCGATAAGCACCATTTTACCGCTGGAATGGATTAGAGCTTTGTAGTAAGCGTCCGGATCTTCGCCGTGATGATTTTTGTAATCGTACTGAATCTGGTCTTCGGCGCCGTTCAGTAAATAGGGATGTATGCAGCATTTTCTGAGTTCCATCATCGTGTTCATTAGGTTCGGTATATTCGCGTGCGTGGTACCTTTCGATAAGAACGAAAAGTTCCTCTCCAATATGCCTCTGTAGTACTTCTTTTGGATGTTTGTCAATTCCACCTCGACTACGGTTTCCTCTTTCGGTGCTAGGGATTTTTCGACGTCCTCCTTCAATCGCCTCAGCATCATCGGTTTCAGGAGGCACTGGAGCTTCTGAACTTCCTGTTCACTCTTCAGCGCTCCGAATTCGTTGATGAACGTTTCGCTGTTGCCGAATTGGCTGGGTTCCAGGAAGTTTAATAACGAGAAGAGTTCGTTAACGTTGTTTTGTAGCGGCGTGCCGGACAAAAGAACTCTGTGTTCGAGCGACAATTGCCTCAAGCCTTCTAGTAGTTTGCAGTTTCTGTTTTTCAATCGGTGCGCCTCGTCTATGACGCATATTCTCCAATTGAAGCCCTTCAAATCGGCGAAATCTGTGACTATGATTTCGAAAGTGGTTATGAGGATGTTGAATTTGGTTATGTCCTTGATGAATTGTCCTTTGTCGTTTTTGTAGTACATTTCGTACTCTTGTAGCATGTTTCGGCTAGTAGCTGATCCGTGATAGACTATCACGTTCATATCGGTCCAACTTTCTATTTCTCTCTGCCAATTAGGTATCGTTGATAAAGGTGCTATAACTAGGAAGGGTCCTCGTATGCCCCATTCCCATACTGAATGCAGGAATGTTAAGCTTTGGATGGTTTTTCCCAGTCCCATTTCGTCGGCGAGAATGCAGTTTCTGCAATTAAACCAAGAGAAAAGCAGCCAGTTTAGACCTTCCAGTTGGTATTCTCTTAAGCTATTTCCGCCTTTGTAAATCGGCGATTTTTCTAACTTCGTCCATTGTTCAGGAGTTCCTCTCTTCTTGATTTTCATCAAATCTTTCGTTGGTAGTTTGCTGAACCTTTCGTACTGCTGAATTTTTATCGGATCTACGTCTTCTTCGAGTTCCCACGTGCAATCTTCGTATTGCAATGCTCTCCACTTGACTAAATAATGCTTCACAACTTCTCCTGTTGTAGAATCGGTGTGCTCGGAGAGATCCAACACCCTATCAACCTCCACGTAATCTGGGTTAAAGGGTTCTTCCTCCAAATTCTCGAAAATGTTCATCTGTTGCGCTTGTTTCTGCTTGAATCTTTTGATTTTATTAGCGATTCTTCGGTCTCCTTTGTAGAGTTCGTCCTCGGTTTTCCATTCGCAATGCAAATAGGAAAAGTTCCGGTACTTTACGTAGTATTCCTCGACCTCCTCCTCGTCTTCGTCGTCTTCTAGTTTCTCTTCGGTTTTTGGCAATTCTGAAGTTTTAGATTTGGCATCTTCATCGTCGGTTTCGTCTTTTTCTTTCTTTTCAACCTCCTCGCTGGGTTCCTCCTTCTTGATCTCCTCTACAGTAGTTTCTTTTTTGGTTTTTCGCTTGGTCATCCTAGCGCATAGCACGTACTGCACAACCATGGAGTCTTCCTCCGTGGGGTTCACGTATACGTAGTTCATTTGATTTTTGGAATCGATCGCGGCGCCGCCGTCCTCGGAATGCGCTGCAGACATGTTCGGACTCGTCATCACGCCCGGTTGTGGAGCAGGAATGAGCGGAGTCGCGGGTACGAGGTGTTTCCTGCTTCTCGAAGGCGTCGGCGGCGCGTCGTCGTCGGAGAAACGAAGCATCACGTCGTCGATGTACTTCTTACGTTGCGTGTTCCTCGCAGATCTGCGCTTCAGAGAGTTTTCTCCATCGTCGGGCGGCGAAGGTGGCGGTGTAGAGATCATATCCTCGTTTTCGCCGTCGGATTCGGGTACGATGGTTCCTCTACGCCTGCGACCAGTGGTCGAACCTCGCTTGGATCGCTTGCTGCCGGCTTGTTTCGTTTTCGGCTGGCTTCTGGATTTTTTGCTCTTTTTCGGTACTTCGGCCGCTTCCGGGCTTGGTTCGTCGTCGAAGTTGTATTCGTCTTTTTTGCTTTCCTCGACTTCGTTGGAGGCGTTACCTTCGGCGGGTGTTTGAGAATCAGCCTGCATTTCTTCGGGTTTTTCGATAGACATCACCGAACTTTCGGGCAATGTTTGGGAATCGGGATCTTCGACTTTGGATTCGAACGGAATAACCGCCTCGGCTTCGGCTTCCGAGGTTTTCGAAGATTCGTTGGGCACCGACAGCGGCCCTTCTTCGTTACTTTCGTTCGATTTATTGAAGGATTCGTCGGTGGCGCTTTCCTCCGATTCGCCGAACCTCTTCTTCCTTACGTACTTTCGTTTAACGCGCGGCTCTTGGGAATCTTTCTGGTCGCGCTTCTTCCTCTCTCTCGATATTTTAGGTTCTTTTGGAGATTTCGGCGCTTTCGGTTCTCGCATTTCTTTGCCTTCTTTGGATTTATTCGGACCGCGGGGTTTCCTGCCTTTTTTCTTCTTCTCCGGTTCGACGTCTACTCCGAGATCCGTAAAATCTGACAGTTCGTTAGAAGGAATGCTCAGACCTGCACCAGGCGTCACGAAATCTTCAGATACCGGTAATTGTTGCGGCTGTTGCGTTATTACTGGCATTATGGTGTTTAATGGAGGTTCAACTTGGTTGATTTCGGCGAGTTTTTCTCCTTTCTTTGAACGCGGTTTTCTAGGTTTATGCTGACCTTTTGTCCTGCCTCTACCTGTTGTACTAGAGACCTGTGGACTGTCGATCATCGGCGAATTGTACATAGGACTTTGTAGTATACACTGAGAGCCACCGTTGCATTGTTCGCTTGCTTCGTGTTGACTAAGGAGATTCAATCGTTCTTGAAGGAAAGTGATCTTTTCTTGATGCTCCGGTCCAGGGGGCATGCAAAACATTTCCTGCAGTTGTTGTTGTAACGCCGCGCGCTCTTGGTGATGGCTGATTGGCGTTTGGTAACCCGGCATATCTGGTCCTGGGATCATGCCCATCATTCCCGGGTGGCCGGTCATTCCCAGAGGCATTCCGGTGTGAGTCATTGGCATGCCGTGCGGCGTCATTCTAGGAGCCATATTTAAATTATTACCCATCGACATGCTGTTGGTGTTCATTAGCGGAGTATTCTGATCGTAAATTCCTGGCTTGGTATTTTGAGGGAGATTTTGCACGCTTCCCATAGGAGGGATGGTCGTATTTTGAATCTGGTGCGGAATTTGAGGCAGCGGTGCTTGTGGAGTAGAGGGGACGTTTTGTCCTTGAAGATTCTGTGATTGCATCAGAGAAATATTCGATTGTGGAGGTGGAGATTGAATATTCTGCATCGGTGCTTGGCCGGGAATAGTCACAGGATTAGGCATGGATTGCAAATTGTTCTGGCTAGGTATAGAAGCCAAATTACTTTGCAATGGTGGAGTAGTTATGTTGCTTTGACCCGTCGTAGTATTTTGTAATCCCAGCGAGGCGTTTTGACCGGCCAACGGTGTTGTTTGAGATCCAATATTTGGTGTAGTTTGATTTATAATACTCTGTTGATTTGATGGAATACTTTGAGCCGCGTTAACTTCTGTCTGGGCTGGTATAGTAGTCGGTATTGTAGCAGGAATGGCCGTGTTGCTAGGAGTGCTCGGAATACTGCTAGAATTCAGAGTTGCTGGCATACTGCCTTGTGCTGAAAGGGACGGTGGACTAGACATGCTATTAGTGTTGCTAGACATATTTTGTTCTTGCATACCGACGCTTTGATTTTGAGAAATGCTAGCAGGCGATTGTTGCTGTTGACTTTGATTTTGTATGTTGCTGAGGTGTTGAGTTATTTTCGGAAGCATCTGCGCCGACGTCATCTGATTAGTTTGCCCTAAAGGACTTGTTGTTGCTCTATTTGTACTTTGTACTAAAGAGTGTGATTGAGTGGGTGATGGATTCGATTCGTAATTCGTACTAAACGGCGTTCTGTTATCTCTTTGATTTGCAGAAACACCAGAAGGCAAAGGCATAGAACTTTGACTGTTTGATGTAGGCGATTGTAATCTTGGAGAATGCGTTGAACTACGATCAGACTTATTAGATTCCGGTAAAGATTCTTGAGATACTGAGTTATCTTGAGTAAATATCGAGGTATTAGATTGTACCAAGTCGTCCATTTTGTTACTTTTTGGTGTATTAGGTTGACTAGGATAACCTGTCATGCTAGACACACAGTTAAAATCTGTGAAGTTGTTTTGATTACTCTGACTTGGAGTCTGTTGTTGAGAAGTCGAACTAGTGTTGCTTAATTCATCAATCTGTTTAACAGATTCGCTATTTGAAGGAAGACTAGTCTCTTGAGTATGAATCACATTATCATCAGTCGTAGACGATGGCGTTGGTGTAGGAGGATGAGACGATATCGAAGGAGGTATTGTTGACGTAGAAATTTTAACTTCAGTGTTAGTCGTACTACTGGGCATCTTATCCGGTATACTCGTAGTGGGCGATTGAACTGAGGTAAAATCGTTTTGACTACTAGGAATGCTCTGCGACACAGAAGAGTCTTTTTCCCTAATTGGAATTTCTAATAAATTCGTACTATTTGTATTACTAATATCACTTCTCATTTCTTCGTTACCAAACCCAACGTTTATGCTAGGCGCAGGAGGCATTTGCGTATTTGGCAAATTCGACGGCGCCAACGACTGTGTCGGAGGTATCGATTGACTGGTCGGTGGCGGTACCGGATTTTGGTCCATCACGTTCATCGAACCGTTCAAATTTGACAAATGCGAAACTTGTCGCGCCTGAACTAGCGGCGGCCATTGTTGTTCGTTCATTGGATTTCTCATTCCCATTGCCGGGCTTAGAGGGTTCTGCGGACCCTGCGGAGGTCCTAGCGAGCTCCTGGACTGGTAAGAAGGATATTCGGTGGCATTTGTGCTAGACGGCGGCATTACCATCTGTTCTAACGCTTGCAGAGTACTTTGCTGCGAATACGGTGGCATCGGTGCCGGAGAAGCGGCCGAAACTTTCGGCGGTATATTCGTCGTAGGTCTAGGACTTAGAGTCGTTTGTTGCATTTGAGGAGGATGAGGCGACATGTTAGGTTTAGCCGGTGACATATTAGGCCTTGGCGACATTTGAGATGTTTGCGTAGGTCTAGGTGACATCTGAGACCTCGGTGACATTTGTGGAGATAATTGTGGAAAAGGCGCCCTATACTGCGGGCTCACGTTGCCCATAGGACCCGTCGAATGCTTGGGCTGAAACTGCTGTTGATTAGGCGGCACTTCCATTGGGCGTTGCATTGGCTGCATGGCTTGGTGACTTTGATTGTATCCAAGGTTACCGGGATGTGCCATGGGATTTTGCGGCTGTGGTTGTTGGGGAGCCGAATGGTTCTGAGCTGGTGCGTGGCTGGGAGCATGACTCGACGGATGCCCCGGCGGATGGCCAACCGAATGCGGAGATTGTCCCATATGTCCACCGGTCGGAGCACCGTGGGGTAAACTTTGGCCGTGGCCCATTTGAGCGTATTGCTGCGTTTGCGAGACAGCAGCCATATCCATTTGATGATGCGGTTGCGGATACTGATGATGATGCGGCAATCGTTGGTGCATGTAATTCGCATAACTTTGACTCGACGCCGACGCGGGATATCCCGACGCCGTTTGCGGGTAATGCGGAGCGTGCCTTTGTTGCATTTGATAGGTAGCCTGATGCTGCTGTTGCATCATGGGATGTTGCGCCGGCGAAAATTGTTGCTTGGGTTCCTGCTGATGAGGGTAGCCAGACATCGACTGTTGTCTGTACTGATTCATTTGGGTGTACCTATGCATACCAGGGTAGCCCGCTGCAGCGGCGTGTTGATTCCAACTCGCAGCAGCTGCTTGCATATTACTCGCGTCACCCATACCGCTTACCTAAATTAATGAAATTAATTAAATAAATTAAAGAACGTCTTAATATGTCAACGAACTAACCTGAACATCGGGCATGGAATACATATTATCCGTCTGATACGGATATTGGGCAGTGGCAGATGCAGTGGGTGGCCTAACCATCTGCCTTTGATGTTGATAGGCGGCTCCAGGGGGCGGCCCCATCGGCCTGTCTGTGCCATAACCTTGGGAATAAATGTTCTGAGCGTTCGGATCCATGTGATTAAAATCAGATCCTCCGAATGTGGCTAATTTTTGTAGTGGAGTATCTTGCGAATAAATGGGCTGCTGTTGTTGTTGTGTTGGGTACGCGTTCGCATTTCTCGGTGCGCCAGTCACCGGAGTGGGATCGAAACCACCGCCAGCTCCGCCTCCAGCACCGCCAGCGCCTCCGCCGCCTCCAGCCAGATCCGGCAAACCTTCCAACATTCCAGTGCCATCTTCCCCGAACAAGTCGTATGAGTCCATTGCTTTAGGCAGCACATATCTTCGTTTCGTCTTTATTGCTCATCTCACTACAGCATCTCTACGAACAAAATTTCACTATCAAAATATTGCATAAGTAATGATTGAATTTCGACACTTAAATGTAGATCTCCAATTTGCATGTTAAAATACGAGGAAATATTTTAATGGTTTTGGTGACATTAGAAATGTAAATATTGTGGCCATAAAAGTATTCATAGAGCTTGTATAATGTATGTAGTTAGATTAAATTACCTTATAGTTAATATGAAAATTCCAATTAAATTTAGAACTTTACGCCATTTTACATCATGGTGGAAATATAAACAGTTCCAAAAACATCGACTTTTGTTAGTGTGCATAATTTAATTGCATTAATTGTATTTTAAATAATTACGTTCGAGTTATTAACGTTACATTGTTCGTATTTCGCGATTACGTTCCAACTTGAAAGTAGGTTTTCGAATCAATTATAGTCGTATTTATTTAGAATGGACGTATATTCGCATTTGTTCTCTTTATTAGATTAAATTTGTTTATAATTGAAAAAACTATTGGGTAATCAAACTGTTAAAGGATGATTAAAATCAAGGTTTTCGCAATATTAAGACGAAGTATACATACGTTTATTTTATTTTTAACGCAATAGTTATGAAAAGAAACACGTAAATGGTTCAATAAGTGTGTATTTTCAAATAATCAGACAATCTGATAACATCTGATAATAACTTACACGTAGACCGACTGCTAGACTGATTGTTATTTTCTGAACAAATACCTGCATGTTTAGTAATTCCACGAATAGGTAAACGGCAACGTTTTCGAGCGTTAAAGAACCTATTATTTTCGAAATCTACATTTGAACTACTTACAATTACACTGATAAAATTCCTTCACTATCGTAACCGATATCAAGCAAACAAAATTTTGTTTGTACTAACGAAAAAATAACCAAGTATTTTTTTATGTTTAGAAGTTACCAAACAGAAAGCGATAGTTAAAATTAATTACTATACACTTATCTGCAATGGAAGCGCCTGTTTTATAAAGTAGTTAAAAAAAAAACCTCTTTTTTATGTTATATCCGGTAATACGAAATTAGTTCTGTTTACGACTTCAATTCGATAACGAAAAAATATTTATAGATTATGAACTAGTTGCATAATTTGTTCACCCTGTAATCGCGAATTTCTGCCATTAATCACCGAGTTTACCAAGGATATAAGAGTAACATAACAATTTTAGAAATTGAGTAAAACATTTAATTACAATTTTTCCTAGAAACCGAAAGTCGGTAATTTTCCCTTTCCGCGCTAAACAAACTTCTTTCCCGCAGAATTCGGATCTGGTTACAAAGTGATTGTTTCTTTGTTAACACGAGTTAGGTACGGTACACCAAATGGTCATGACAGGAAAAGGTGAATGTCACTTAAAAGTGCATAATGAACGATAATGCGAATGCAGCCGCCGGCCATCTTGCATCCATGCTCGATCGTTAAAGAAGGAATAAAAAAACCCGATTGTAAAGTAATGAAAAGGTTTAGCCGTTCGTAATTATTTATAATTTATATAGGCACGTTTTCGTTTGACGTGTTACTGGTTAGGTCGCTTTTATTTTGTAGCGATAATCACAAGGTTTTAAGTGAATATGTAACATTAAAATATAATATTTAATAATGTAAATAAGACAAAAAGTATTGGGATATTGCTCGATAAGAACGTTCTTAGATATAAATTGAATATTATGAACTGAAATTCTTAACTTCGAAGCCTGTCTGAATAGGTAGCTAAGCAATTAATTGTGCAGATGCGTCTGCTAAATTATTGGTTAATTAATGAATCGTTAAAATAAAACCGGTCATAAAAATTTAATGGCAAATCGTTAAAATTCGCAAGTCCGTGTGAACAATTTTAGCGTCCCTAAAACCAAAAAAATGCCAATTTGGAGGCTCACTGAAACACTTGTTCAATAGAAAACGAAGTTCTTGTAGAATAATTGAAAAAACTCTCCAAGGTTATAGAGGGATTCCCGAATTATTTCAAAATAAAAACATCAACACGGAAAATTAATTCTAATGGAATATTTTTATATTTTGTAATTGAACTAATGCAATTTTGTGCAATAAGGTATAACCTGATTGTTCAAGGTTTTCTTTGTTAATTTTTGAATGTTAAGACCAAGAAAAATTAAAAAATATGGTAAGCTTCATTTAAAGAAGTGACAGTTGTTTATTTAAAATTTGATATGCATTTCTAACTTGCATTCAGAACCATCATTTGCAATGATTAGTTAAATTAATGTTTAAACGTGACTACTCCATATAGACGAAGACTGATAGAAATAATTTGTAATTTATGAATTAAAATGTTAGTGTGTTTCGAATAAACAGCAGTTAAATATTATCAAAAGTAGTTAATGAATAAGATTACATTATTAATAAAATGCATAAAAAATTGATCTTAGAATACAATAGGTACTGTAAAAATATACCAGTTGCTCCATTTAAATTTATTCATTTTTGATATTTTAGAGCAATTATCGACATTTACCTTATGGTTTGCAATATGGTGATTTCCATAAGTTAAACAAAGAAAGATTACTAAAATAATAGTTGTTGGAATAAGAAAGTTGCAATTCCACAATATTTTTCTTTCTTTTTCCTTTGTAAGTGTCTAATGGAAGTCGTCTTTATCGCACCAACAGCCAATGTAACCTATATTGCAAACTAAAATGAATCAACCTGTATATGAAAACAATTACATAGCAATTTTCACAACTTTACTTCTTATAATTTCTAAGATTCCATTAATCAATGTTCTTCGAAATAAGCTTCGTAACTCTAATAAAAGAATTTGCATCGGTTAGAAGTAAATTTACAGAAAATGATGAAACTTTCTTAAATACTGATCTAATAACACCAAATTTAATGGTAACAATTGGATTTCAATAACCAATTGATAGGTGATAATATGAAGAGTGCCAAAAGATAATTGTTGGAAATATTTCTACTCAACAAACCAAAAAGAGATAAATAAAACCAACATCGAGAGCTGCACACATAACGTGAATACTCCACACAACATGCACAATAAAAAATAAGAAAGAACTAGAACTAAATAAAGGTGTGTCACAATCGTAATTAGAGAACAATAAAATAAACCACGACGTTAAAAAAAAACAACATGGTCGCAACGAAACGCCGAGATTAATTAGAAAACGTACATCCCAAACGAAATACCTCAAACATCGGCCTTATATACGAACGAGAGAAATGGAAATTTTTAATTACGTCCGTGCAACGTACCGAAGAAACGTTTTGCAAGACACACACGACTCCGCACATCCGAAAACCGTGGCAGATACGATCAAAACCAAAGGGGAAAAGCTATACGCTTATGCGTACTGAAAAACCATGAGCTGTACAACTTTTCACCCCCCGGGCCTAATCAGCGACGAGCGGAATCGAATCGAATTAATTACGAATCGAAAAAACGAAGCGCCGAGTTGCTCGCAATTAAAATCGATACGCACGCGACCTAAAAATAAAACGCGAAATCGCTCGGAATCGGGCATTTGCAAGAACTCGACGATTTCGATTTCGATTGCATTTACGCGACGTACGGGCGAGAGAAGGAAAGGTAATTACCAAATTGATTACCGATTAGCGAAAATCGCGGAATCGAGGCGGCGATGGAAACATTCGGACCTATCGGAATCGAATCGGATTTATTGGAAATTCGTCCCTACGGGGTAGACGAAAGGATTCGTTTTATTTATTTTTCTTTTTGTTCGTTTTATTATTATTTTTATTTCGATCCTCCGGCGTTGGCGCGCTGCGATTGATAAGAAATCGTCCAACGACGTTATCAATCTAGCCGGCGTAGAGAACAATGAACCTTTCCCGACCGCCATTTAGAGATCTCCACGGAACGCTTGGGTTCGAATCGGAATTAGCGACATTGCGGTATCTATCAAAGGTCAACGCTGCGACTATTGTTTTAGCGCCGATCCGCGGAAAAAAACCCGTCTCTTCGGAATGGACGTGCACACTCACCTGGGCCTCGGCTATCCCGTCGACTTTCGCCCGTTTTGCGGTTCCCGGGTGGCCTTTTCCTACGCGAAAACGCACTTACACTGGCCGTAATGAGCGAAAAAGAGACTGGTTAATTGGTTAGAATAATGCGATTCGGTATTTAGTTTGTCGAAACGCGACCAATCAGGTGATATCTCGTTAAGAAATGTTGATTTCCGAAGAACCAATAGCGATGACGATTTTATGGCAAAACGTCCCGATTTTTCCGCAAAAAACTATATAGGTCGACGGCCTTTCCCGTGGTTATTATAAACAAATACATGCGGTGTGCTCCGAAATCGCATCGGAGGCACGAAACGACTTACCATGGACACCGTTGATCGTGTGTATGTGTGTGTATACGTTCCGCTGTGGCCGAACTGCAATCCGATTTTTCACTTTTCACCGCGTTTTCGCACTCGTCCCGATGCAAACGGCGATCCTGATCGCGTCCGATACCGCCTAACGTTGCTTATTGTTACGTCTAATACTGATTATGTACATAAAACTAATTAGAATTTGTGTACAAACTGCTCACAGAAATAAGACTCCATTTTATCATTACGCTTGTGATGTGATTGATTGACCGGCGCGCCCTCTGCCGCATGTCAATGCCCGCGAACATTTAAATATCGACGAGCGCTCGTCGATATTTTTTTCGGACGGCGATTTCGTGCGCTCGGCGGTATTTGGCGCTGGCGAATTCGAATTTCGCACTATTCCAATTTTATCAAACGATAAATAGACTAAATGTCGATAAAATTAGACTTTCTTCGCTTTGTTTCAATGCATACAAGCACATTTTCATCGGTTTAAATATTCACTATTTTCAAAGGACTGAATACATTTCATACATAATATTCAGGATTAACGTATTACGTGTTAGATGTGGTCAAGAAAAAAGATAATAATAATGTTTTATGTAGATATACAGAGTAATCTGCTCATAGTGGAAATTCCCAATTATCTATCTACAGTGTATGCAAAAGTTTTAAAAAGAAGAGGCTTTTGATTGTCATTTATTGGGTAATTTGAGTACTTTTAAGGAAAAAATCCTCGTATATTCATCCAAAATGCTCTAGTTACCTACTCAGTATTATTAAGATACAGGGTGTACACAGAAATTCAATTTTTGCAACATAATGATTAATGAAGATACCCATAACTCACTTTATCAATCAGGGCCTGATTTTCCTATAGGTTGGCTTCAGTATAGGGCCTTAAAATCAAGTGGGGTCTACATTCAAATTGTTATAGCTGTATTATATTATCTATCATGTTATTTACCAACTTAAAAATTGGAAATGAAAGAGTCTCATCAGTGGAATAGCCCTAGTCCTCTGTTCATCTAAACCTGGTCCTGATAATAGGGATAATTATCAATGATGTGTGATAAAAGATCTGCTGCTACTGTTAGAGCGATTTAACTTACCATTTCGATATTGGTGAAAGTGTTTCGAAACACCCTGTGTATGTTTTGAACAACCGATGAACATTCACCAGGTGATTAATCATTTAATTTCCGAAATCGTAAAAAAAGATTTGCTCGTTTGTGTGCTACCTATCTATTTGTCGCTTTGTTATTGTTATCGCGTTCAATACGAATTTCCCAGTAAGCGTTAAAGCATTCAATCGATGAATAATTTCATGATTTAGTGTAATTTTCAGCATTCTTCGTCACACAGGAAGTGCGATAGAATTTTCTAGAAACATCTTGCCTCACTGTATCTCCTAGAAGCCTAATTCCATATACAATATTCAAACAAAAAATCAAAACAAATTTTAATTAACCCTATTAGGTGTTTCCTCTAGTCTCTGGTAGATAGTAAATTAAGTTATTTTTATTATATACAATTCTTATTTACAACTTGATAACTTATGTCTCTACATCTGCATCTACAATCATTTTAATCTTCTTTTTTTGAGGCTCACAATTGGATAAATCATTGTGATCATTTTCCTGAGTTTCTTCTACGTTTTCAACAAAGAAAAGAGCTTTACCATGTCTCCTCCCAACTAAAACAAAAAACTCTAAATAGAACTCTACTAAATAACTCAAACAAGACATGATAACATACCAGAATGTATAATTACTTGTTGGGGAGTATGTTGAACGCAACTTTTACATTGCAATTCGTTCAAACCGAACAGGAATCCTCTGAACCTAACATTAAGGAAAGCAATACAATAAAATTTTGAGCATATATAAAAAATAATTGTTCAGTATAAGGATACAGGCTAAGTATGTCGTACGGGTTTCTAATAAGATTCAAATTTTTCGCGCCACTCGAGAAAAATACATTTTTCGACTTCCCAGTCGAGTGGTACATGTGAGACACATGTATTAAATTCTTCCTTTTAGTAGAATCTTCAATGGCATGGCTGTATTGCAATTCAAAGTAATAGCCGTGTTGTACAATTTTGTTGTACATTTTTCTCGTTAGCCGGGCGGTAAATTTATTCTCTGGATTGTACGAGTAGATGTCAGCTTCAACTGCACTTGAACAAGCATACTGAAATGTATAAGTATTAGTGCTACAAAGGAATTATTTTGATTAATTTTTTACTTACATTATGGGCTTCCGGTGTTGTTGGAATGATTGCTATTAAATGGTATTTTTTATAATGATTCGATTTAATCTGAAATTAGAAAAACATTTATTAAATTTAAGTAATAAAAGTAGGTATTTTCTGCAAGAATGTATTCAATAATTTGGATGATAATTAGATTATTTGTTGTTTGTTTATACAAGTTTTCTCTACTATTTAATCACTTGTTATGTACTTTTATGAAGAGAAAATTTATATACTTTTTACAAAAACATAGTTAAAGATAATTTACTAGTGCTAATAACTGGTGTGAGTGAAGCAAATAAAATTTATAACTAATTACATTAAGTTTGTTATGATTGTAGTTATATAATGTAAAATATTTTTCAGAATAATAAATCTAGCCCAAACAATATAGTAAATTTATGTTAAGTCACATATTTAGTTAGATTTAGATAAATCTTCAATTGACTACATTTCAAGGTATAAAATACTAAAATATAGTATGTACTAGTACATTTCAAAAACCTTTACGCTTAAATTAATATAATACTTACAAATTTGTTAAAAGTTTCTGAATTGGAATACGTTATGGTTAATCTGTTGAAAATTTGAAATCCACGCAAGTTTAATTTATCGACGGTTTCTATCAAAGGTGATAAATCGATTGGTGGAGGAACTTCGGAATTTTTTACTTTTTTATTGCTTCCTTTAGATTTCTTTTGTGCCCCTAAATTGTCGTCGTTTATTGATTGATTTATAGCTATTGTTCTATATCCATCTAAAATACACGAGTTTTCTGTTTAATAAAGTAAATACACGTTTTTATTGTATAAGATGTTTTGGAAAATCTATTATGTACCTCTATGTTTGATTTAATTTGTTCTGTTTTACTAGTTTTTTTAAATACAATTTGAAACTTACTACACATGTTCTTATAATACTACCATTTTTTCACAAAACACCCTATATATAAAAATAAGGAAGTTACTTACGTTCATAAAGATATTTCAATGATTCTTCAACATTTTCTTCGAGAAACAACGATTCTTCTATACATAAATCGTAAAATGATTCGGTTTTAATATTCTTAAGCATTTTATTTATTTATAAAGAAAACTTTTTCACCAAAAAACCACTTAACCTCAAACAAATCAAATTTAAAAAATCTTCTTTTAAAAGTTCGTTGGCCTCTAACCTATTATTAAATAAATTAAAAAATACTGCGTGTAATGCTGGTTGCCTATAAAAAGATATAAGCGTATGCAAAATAAAAGCTACAAATGGATGAAGCAAACAGCATGCATCATTCTAATGTTGAAATAAATTGAAACACATCATTCATTTATCGAAATTTTAATTCTTCTTTTTTTTAACTATAATTAGTTTATTTGATACGTCAAAAGTGAGATCATTGGCCTCTACCCTCCAAATTACTAAATTAACGAAAAAAAAAAAAAATGTTAATGTAAACCTGGTTGCCTATCGACTTTTGGTTTATTCTAGAAAATTGACAACCGTCTATTTATATCTGTTTATTGTTATTTATTACATATTTGAAATGAATGCGCAAAGAGCCCAGTGGAACGTCGCTTAATCTGTAAATATAATCGCCGTTCCGCGAGAGTAGGAGTAACGTTCATGCAACATCATGTGTTTTATAACTTCGTGACTGCACGATTTTCAATTACTTACTCAATTTGATTTCCAGTAGCATGGTGATGCCCGAGTGGTGAATGCTGGCTCGGTAAAATTACGTTTACCTCCTGAAAGACTGCCGATACGCTAGTGATATTAATCGATACTTTACGTACGAGATAAGCATGCACTTGTGCCATTTGATAGTTCCTTTTTTGGTCATCGTTCATCCGGAGGTCTCCGGCGAAGTGTTCACGGCTCTTGTGGACCTGGAAGAGTCGCTGGAGACTGAAGCGTTGCTCATTCATACTCTGAGGAATTACATTAATGCCGAAGAGCAGAAATTGGACTTGCTGAGGAAGTACGTGGATATCTATCAGAGCCAACATGATAGAGCGATGGAGGATGTTACCGAATACATTTCGAACCCTATTAACGCTTATACTTTAGTAAAAAGACTAACCACCGATTGGGATAACGTTGAAGCTTTAATGGCCACCCAAGTTAGCACTGATTATTTGAATAATATCACGTTCTTTAAGGAAACGAGGATGTTTCCTAATAACGAGGATTTGAACGGAGCAGCAGTGGCACTTACCAGGTTACAAGATACTTACAAATTGGATACTTCATCTCTAGCTAGGGGTAAGAATTTTAATATTAATTAATTTTTATTTGTTAATAGAAATACATTAATAGATCTACTAATTAAGTGCCAAAAGCTCATCAAAAACTTATTAAATAATAGGCATTTATTGATGAATTTATGTTGCTAAATAGCACTTTTATTTCGAAAAAAAAAACAATTAGTAAATTTAATATTTTGTGTATATAAAAAATTATTTGTTTAACATATTTTTTATGGACTATGCATTATGAAGGAATTGCTGGAGGGAAACGTAATGACCTCAGTGGTAATTTTAGCACAGGTCATTAAATTTTGTGCATATTACTATTCTCCTAAATAATTGTTTTGTGGTTAAATTTTCAATTACTTTCAGTAACTTGACACAGATTTTTTAATCAACGAATGTTCATAATTTCATATGCATTATACTAACGAATAATTAATTAACAGAATACTTAATAGAAAGTGTTATTTGTATTGTAAATGGCATTTATGAGACACAAAGGAATATTCTTAGTCATACCAAAATTGCATAATATTTTTGTAAAATATTTGCAATAAAACATATCTTCTCTATAACAGTGTTTTGATGGTTCAACTCAAATTACTGCTATTATTTTGTTGTAATTTTTACGCTCTTCCAATGATATAACCATCAATTGGGGCTTATGTAATTTTTTCTGTATTTTTTGCTCCAAAGAGTTCTAACTGCTAATTGCTTGCAGTAAATTATACTTGAACCTAATTCCACTGATGTTAGGAAGATCTTTCAGCGTGGCAAACATTATATAATTCGTCGAGTTTATCTTTTTTTTTGTACAGCACACAATCTATTACAATAGCTGATAAATAAATCCAATTGAATCTTAGTCATTAAATACCAACTGTTCATTTCATGTCCTTTAGATTTACGAGAAGAGTAATTTACCATTTACCATCCTCAAAAGGTCAAAACAGAGTGTAATCGCAAGTCGCATTGCATTGTACGTACAAAGACAATTTACCTCATTCTAAATCGTGATGAGCGTTACGTGTGCAATTGCCGATCGAATAGATCCGCATAAAACATTTCAAACCAAACAAAACTCTTTCAGTTAGGATTTTAATGTAGTATTATTTTGATACAAATCTCGCAATTCAGATAATTCCTCTTATTTTTGATTGACACACATAGGAAATACCCCGTATATAGGCACTTTGTGTATTCAATTGCTATCATTTGATTGACCATTTTTAACTTAACAAGGTCTACATGAGATTCAACACATAATTTATTATCTATAACGTACAATATTCGAGTAATTGATAATACTCCACTAAACTATTTCCTTTTGAAATATTTCCATAACGAATATCAATTGATACATGCACATGGCATTTTGTACGGGAAAACAATACCATATTTTACGCCTGAAAAAACACAAATTCCATCAAAATTTGTTTGTTTGAGAACCTAAAAAAATCTATTTTTAATAACAGTTTCCATTTAATTACGACCTGAAGACATATTGATCAATATGTATGTTGTAAATTCGAATTAGATTCACCGAGCGTAATTTAACTAAAATAATGCATTGTGTATGAAATTTCATAGAGAATACCCGGCGATTTCGAAACCCGTAATTAACGGTGTATTACATAAACTCGTTAAGCCGAAATCGGATAATTAATTTGGAGATTTGTGAGAGCCGAAAGACATTAAACTTTAGCGCAACATTAATCTTTCATTAAATATGAATTACCTCGTTTAGACTGTTGTAGAACGTGGTCCTATAGAAATTGCTATATTTTTATGCACGAATACTTTTCTTCCTAATCCACGATTGCCTTCTACCTCGGAGTATCACAGCTCTTCCGTTCCAGGCGAGTTAAACGGCGTGAAGTACAGCGCCGAACTCACCGCAGCGGATTGCTTCGAGCTGGGTAGGCAAAGCTACAACAACGGCGATTACTATCACACCCTGTTGTGGATGAAAGAGGCGGAAGAACGGGTGAACAGCGAGCAAAACCAGACGATAAACTACAGCGACATTCTGGAGTATCTGGCCTTCTCCATCTACAAACAGGGCGATTTGTCGCTGGCCTTGACACTGACGAATAAACTGCTGGAAATCGTACCGACGCACTCCAGAGCTTTGGGCAACAAGATCTTCTACGAATCCGAATTAGAACGAATGGTCGAAACTAAGAAGAAAAAAGGCGACGATGAATCGGAGGATGTAAACGTAGATAATGACCAACCGGAGCATTACCAAGATTTGTACGGAAAAGACCACTACGAAGCGCTGTGTAGAGGTGAAACTTACATATCCCCGCAAGTCGAATCCAAACTAAAATGCAGGTAAGTTACCCACTACCAGCCTAAAAAGTTGATACAATAACGCTTTATTATAGATACCTATCAAGAAACGACCCCTTCCTGAAGCTAGCCCCCTTCAAAATCGAAGAGGCCCACCTCAAGCCGGACCTGTACATCTTCCACGACGTGATGTCCGACGCCGAGATCGAGACGGTGAAGCGGCTGGCGTTGCCGCGACTCCAGCGCGCCACCGTGCAGAACTCGCAGACGGGCGAGCTGGAGACGGCCCAGTACAGGATCAGCAAGTCGGCGTGGCTGAAGGAGCACGAGCACAAGCACATCGCCGACATATCGCAGCGCGTCGAAGACATGACGGGGCTGTCCATGAAGACGGCCGAGGAGCTGCAGGTGGTCAACTACGGCATCGGCGGCCACTACGAGCCGCACTTCGACTTCGCCAGGAGGGACGAGATGAAGAATGCTTTCCAGACTTTGGGCACCGGTAGGTGGAATTATACATTACGTCTACTGCAAAGACTATTGTGGATATCCTCTTGCTTGATTGGATATCTTCAGCTGACCTGAAGCTCCCTCCATGTACTAGCTAGCTCTTGATTTTAGTACCACAAACACCAGGAACCTCAGTGTTGCAGGTTGTTAGACTTTCGTATTAGCATTATTTCCTCTTCTTCTGCCAATTCACATGGTAATCTTCATGGTAATAGATATCTTCTTTAGCTAGCCCTTGGTTTTATTACCACCATTTAGGAACTTCAGTGTTTGCTAGTCTCTTTCACATGGAATTCACATGGTAACAGCATTTCCAGAAATACTTTTCCCTTGTACTACCTCCAGATGTTTCCTTGCTTTCTGGTAATTTAAATGTTTTTGGTTGCAGGAAACAGAATAGCGACTGTGCTGTTTTACATGAGCGACGTGGCCCAAGGGGGAGCCACTGTTTTCCCGATGGTGGGGGCGGCTTTGTGGCCTAAAAAAGGAACCGCTGCCTTTTGGTTCAACTTGTATCCGAGCGGTGATGGGGATGCTCAAACGAGGCACGCGGCTTGCCCGGTTTTGGCTGGTTCGAAGTGGGTGTCCAATAAGTGGATACACGAGTACGAGCAGGAGTTCAGGAGGCCGTGTACTTTGGAGAGGCCGCCGGAAGACTTGACGGCGTAACGTAGTCGGCGTGGAAGTTTTTTATTAGACTGATGAGGTAAGAAATGGAAAGGTTTGAATATCAACTCGTCTTTTTTACCTTTTACCTTACCGACCGCATATCGAATTTGTGAAACTCAGATTTTGCGTAGGATATTTTTTTTGTACGACTTTGTGTAGAATGTACGTTTTTGTAACTAATATTGTAAATTATGTAATATATTTTTATTATACCACTATTTAATTGCACTGATGAGTTTAGGTGAATATAAGAAACACGTGAAGTGAAATAAATCATAATTTATTGTGTTTCTATTATATACAGTCTGATTATTTACATCTATATACCTTTACATTTACAAAGAAACGAAGAAAGTAAAATATACAGTATAAGAATTAATAAAAATAAATAGAAAACGATTAAAACCTTTGGTTTTCCACTGAGGCCTTTACACATCATATTAATAATCTCTTACATTGTTTAGTATTAGTCGGGAATGTTCCTTGTTACAGGTTAAATTCAAAAATACACTAATCTCTTTAATAATTCTACAGTTAATATGTACATTGAGACTATGTCTAACAGCAAAAATAGGCCAATATATTCTAGATATCACATTTAATTAAATACAGTTAAATATGGGTGGTGAATACTGAGTGAAGGAGAAATATTTTTTACTGTTATCGACAACTACTTTCCTTCGAGCAACAAGTAATGTGAATTGCTAATTGAAGACCTGGAATCATTCATAAAATTCAGCAATTAACTTCAGTTCACGTTTTTGAATTTGAAGTAACCCTTTGCACATTCTCAGCTAATTTATTTCTTGAAAAAATTGGCAATTTCAGTAACATTAGAAAATTATTCATGTCTTGCGGGGTTCGTAGTTATTAAAATTTCATAACCTATTTAGTATATGAGTATTCTCTAATAAATTGAAGCCAAAAAGAAACTTGATAGACTATAAAAATATTCCTTTAATTTTTATCCATTATTATTGGTCACAGAAAAATCAGTCTTAATATATCTTTCGTAATTTACCTTAAAGTACAGTAAAGAGTATTAAAGTTATTATGAAAATAAAAAATCGAGTTGCCACTGTTTATTTGAAACCGAACGAAGTAATTTTTTTTTTCATCAAAAATAAATTGGTTGCCAAGAATTCTTCAATTAGCAGTGTAAACAGCACATCAAAGTTTACGTATATTGATCAAATACACAGAGATCAATAAGAAGTCTTAGAATCGGGATGCTACAAACTCTAAACGAGTACAGATAAATCCAGAAAGAAAAACGGAACATCTTAAATTTGTATTAAAAGTTAACAAGAAATTTGAAAAAAACCGTGTAGTACTATGCAATGATCGAATTTTGTCAACGATTACCCTACAACGTGCAGTCAATACTTTTTTTTTTCAAACACATCCAGTCTTCCTCTCTGTACGAACCCTGCGGAACGCAACTTAGTAAAATCCACCAAAACCAAACAATAGTTAAAAACAACAAGACTTATGTGTCGGAATCAGGTACATGTTAACGTGTTCATTCCTGTCCAAAGGTGTCGGTCTCTTCGATAGCGTACGTCAGCTTCTCGACCAGCTGCTCGTAGCTCTTGTAAGGCGGCAAATCGAGCCGATTGAAGCACGTATGCGAACGCGGCAGCCAAGATTCCTTGCCCACCTTCTCGATGCAGAACCGCTGCGGTCCGTTCGAACCCATCAACTCGGCGAAACCGCCAACGGGCACCCGGCACGTACCGGTTACGAATTGCAACAGACGCGCGCGCTTCTCGTTATCGGATTGCTTCACAAACTTGATAAATCAAACATTATTAGTGACTGCATAACATCCTGCGGTGGGATAACTCACCTGCCAAAACCATACAACCGGTTTGCTACTTCTCGTGTAATGCCTGTAAATGGTGTGCCTTTGCCAATCTTCGACGTCGATTTCCTGCATGCCGCACAGCAGCAGCTCCAGTTCCCTTTCGTCGAAATATTTGAGCCATTCGATGGGTACCACTTCGTTGAAACCGTCGAGGAACGCCTGCGTTTGCTGCTCGATGCCTCTGGTCATTCTCCAATCGGTCATTAGCGTTAGATATTCCTCTTTGTTTTCCTCGGTAACTCTACAAAATAACTATTATAACGAATGTTAATCGAGTGATGCTTCACGCACTTTTCCTTATCTCCGTTTTTCTTCAATTCGTGATGCACTATCTGCCCTAAAACTTCGAAATCGACGCTGTAAAACAGCTCCAAACCGCAATCGTCTATGTTGTTTTCTTTGATCCAAACTAAAGAATTGTAGAACTCCGGATCGATGCTTTCGATATCTTTCATTACGAGTTTCTTGGCCAACATTCGCTTGTAAAAAGGCATCGTAAAGCCCGAATAAATAAACCTGCCGTGGTACAGAGCCATCGCTATAAACCTCCCTGTAAATAAAACGCATTATACAATCCAATATTAGTGACAATCACGAATAAACGAACCTATAAACTTGAAATAAGTCAAATGCTCCGGATTCACGTACGAAGCGGGATTGATTTGTAAACTGTAATTATTCTTGTTGGCGTACTCGAACAGGCAATACATCGGATTGAGCGCCTCGTGCGACACCAGGAAAAACCATTCCCTGCTTATACCGCCATAATCCAGCCCCTCTTCACCTTTGAATATGATGTACAATCGCCTGCGTAGCTCGTACGCCGGCAAACGCATGATAGTATGGAACGAATCTTCAAACAGCGTTTGTCTCGTTACTTGGATCTTTATGTGACTAGGTAAAGCGTTACTTTGACACAAAAACCTACAAAAAAAAATACAATAAACATCGTAAGAAGTCGAGTATAGGTTATTATTTACCTAAATTGGCTAATTTTCCATTTAAACGATCGCTCGTAAGCCCTGGGCACTCCGTACACACCCTTCGGACCTTTGGGCGCCCCCGGACGGGGGTCATCGAACGTCGTAGTCTTCGTATTGTGATCCACGAAATACCGTTTGTTATCTTCGGTGTATCGAATTTCCCATCCCGGCGGCAACGGCAATTCCTCCACGTCGCTGATTTCCTGCCCTTGAGTCCGAGGATCCTCCCATTGGGTGGTACGGTTTTTGTGATTAACGAAATACACTCGACCTGCGCAATATAAACACATTAAAGGTTATACATTTCATGCAATTAATTAATTTACCTTCTGGTTGAACGCGCCTTTCCCAGCCAGCCGGCAGAGGCCCCAAACCATCGTCCTCTTCCGTTATAACAGAAGGACCTGGGACAGGCGCCGGTTGATGTTGAGGATACAAGAAACGTTGATTACCTTTGGTATAAAAAATATTTAAATCCTGATGTATTATTTTTTATAACACAAATTTACCTTGGGATACAATGTGTTGCCTTTGCCCTTGCCACTGTTGGTAATGTTGCAATCTCTCCGAGTTCGGTCGTTGCCACGTGGTGGTTCTGGCGTTGTGATCCACGTAGTACACTCGACCTCTCGGATCTCGCCTCATTTCCCATCCGGGCGGCAAAGGTTGGGGCCTTTCCCACGAAGTCGACCTACGGACGATGCGAAATTAAGAAAATCGACAATTTAAAACGATTCAGCGATTTACCTTGTGTTGTGATCGACGTAATATCTACGTCCGTACGTATCAAATCGCATTTCCCAACCTGGGGGCAAAGGTTCATTATCAGTTCTATTTTCTTCAGTTTCATTATGTACGATATTGCCATTTGGCACAGTTACGGGCGGGCCAATGCATCCTATAATACAATCAATTTAAGTATACAAACGTAACATGTAATCAACATAAAAATAATAGTATTTTACCAATGGCTATGTTGTAATAAATACAATTTAAATATATTAGATATAGCCATGTATGCATCGAGCATGTTAAAGATATCTGTTAATAAACAAGCAAACAAACATCGACACCTGCTCGTTGCATAATATACTATTATTATTAATTTTTGTACTAAAAAAATTACCATTCGGTATGCTGTTATTGCTCGATGAAACCGAAACGGGTCCGCTCGCTACCGAATTCACTTGACTCCTTCTCGGTTCTATTCGCTCGGTGCTGCTTCTCGACGAAGACGTCATAGAAGACGTCGAAGAAGAAGAAAGACTGGGCACCACGTTCTCGGCGCCTTGGCTCTTCAGCTTCGCCTTGATGCCGTTCATAAAAACGTTCCTGTTGGATGGTCCTTCTGTATTGCTGGGTCCCAGCGGGCCTAACGGCAGGGAATCGTTGGATCGCACGTACGAGGACATGTCGACCACCAAACCCTGTTGAATAAATTGTAAATGAATCGGTAGCGAGAATACGCAGGGTGTTACCTTAAGCGAGCACACCAATTCGCCGACTTTCAACGGAGCGTCCGATTGCTTCGAGTCGCTCATGAGATCCAACGTTAGATCCAAATTGTCGCATTTGCCGTTGAAATGGAACAGTAACGTAAACAGGTCGATTTTCTTTTCGCCGATGACCGTGTCTTTTCTGAAATTGTTGTGGTCTTTGACTGAAAAGAGGATTTTTGAATGGGGCGTGACCAAGCAGGTGAAGGTCTCGTTCCATTTCGGCTGCGAATTCGTTTTAACCGTTTCCGTTTTTTGCGGGGTTTTCTCGTCTACTATTATTTCCACGTACGGTGTCGGCTTCAGCAGGGTACTCGATCTCAGGTGAGCGCATTCCACTGTAATAACAAAAGTTTTGTTTGTTTATTAAGCTCGAAACAATTTCGAATATGTTATAAATTGCATTGGTACTTGTGTAAAACTAATACAGGACTGGCTAGAGATACTGGGAAATTTATATATGCTAGATAAATAATATTAATTCTTGGGAAAACCTAATTAGAGGTAGAATAATGATAAGCGGACATTATTAATGATATAATAAAAATGTTATCGTTAATATTTCGACAAATAACTTTATGAAAATACTGCAAGCAAAAGATTTATGAGGTACATAAATTAGCGATATTGTTGGAGACAGTAACGTTCCGAAAATAGATTTTGAGTACAATATTCTCCACATAGAAATAAAATAATTTTGCATTCTACGAGCGTACATATTTTCCTATCAATACATATTGCATGATTCAAGTTATCAATAAAAAACTTTCAAATAGACATTCATTGAATTTCGATCATCGGGTATTGAAGTAATTTTTATATGCAACATATTGAATAACAAGCCATACTCGAGGCAAATATTTTTTTTAATTTTGTGTCTTAAATTATCTATTGTATGTGCACATTATCACAAAGTAAATTAAAACACTATAAAAAATGTACGATTAGCGAACAAATTAAACAAAAAAAAAAAACAATTTTAGATGAAACTCGATGGTTATCAACTGTAATAGCATTATTGCGCCTTTTAAATTATTCTAAATAGTTCTTTTTTAATAAAAAAAGTGATCTCATTCAATTATCAATTAAGACGATTGATCGTACTGATACTGAATTGAATTTATAATCCGCCAACAATTTGCTATACAATAGGACTTAATTGGTACAACAATGATGGTTTATGTGTAATAAAGAAATACAAATAATTCGACATATAAACAGTTAATAAGAAAAGTAGAATAAGTAGACACAATAATGTTACAGTAAATACCTTTCTTATTTATCTCAAATATTTATTCTAACAAAAGCAAAGTTAGGAACTGACTTGATAACACTAATCTATAACACCCTGTATCCTGTATGTGCTAATTATTAGATATAATTTGAGATTAATAACTTACCAGTTATACTGAGTTGATGAAGATCAGACCCAGAAACACTACCCTGTGCTTGATCCATGTTCAATAATCAAATAAAAGACCTAAAATTAAGCATATGATGAGCAATTACACACACAAATCACGTTTACAATGTTGTATTTTATCAACATTACACAGTTTTCTAATTTCCACATCAGGAAATACCCAGAGTTTTATACTAATTCTGTCATTATTTTTTGAGCTTGCACTGAAATTGAAGCTGGAAATTTGGCTGGAATACTTTGCTGCTAAAGATATCACGACAATGCAGCCTATTTAATAATTGTAATCAAAAATTTATAATAAAAAAATGATAATTTACCAAGCGCTGACGTAGGGATACATTACACAATAAAAATGAATAATATTCAACAATAAACAGCTCCACACTTATATCCACTTTTCCATAGCTTCTCAAAGTGATCGAATTTTCTGTACTTTCAATAAATTACAAATAAAAAATGCACTAATATAATTATTGCTACTATTTATAAAATTGAAAAGGCATTGACAACACAAGATGAATCCGACATTTCATCAAATTGACTAATAATCGCTCAATGTTGCCAATTTTAAATTTGTTCAATTATTTTTTAATTGCTCATTTTAAAAAAACATTATTATCCAAAATTTTTATGAAGCGAGAGCAAAAAATATGCCCTAATATACAAGCGAAAGAAATGTTATGGACAATACAAAATTTAATTTTGGAAATAATAAATTACTGAAGACCCGCTTGACTGAGGCTATAAAATCAGAAGAAATATCAACAAATAATTTCTTGTCAGATTTTGAGGGTTTAATTTGAAATAATATAGCATATTTAAAATTACAAAAACCTCAAAAATCTTATACATTGTAAATTTATTGTTTTCTTTTATATTTTTTTCCTACATAATTTTCTCAACAGTTATAAAATCGATAATACCATCCGATTTTAACCGAACATTCACGAAATACAGTTTGAGCCATAGTCGCCAATTTTAAAATTATTGAAAGTAGAATAGTAATTATTTTAGTGGTCTTCTAGTTATTCGTAAAAGTTGTATTTTAACAAATTATAAATTATTACAAGGAATGCATTATTGTTACTAAATATTTTTATATTTTAATTTTAAAATAAAGTTCCTATCGATGTGGCAACATTGCATTAATTTGATTGGTGGGCTCCCACAAGTAAAATCTTTAGACACGTATTCGGCCGATGCCGGTTCCGTTTTGTTTGGTTTTCATCCATTTCGTTCGCGCTCATTCGTGCAACCAAGGATAATTTATCCGATTTTGTCTGCAATTTTCAGTAAGTATCAATTTTTCTGCATCATCCTTTTGATTTATAATTCAAATCGACCGAATTCGCGTCGACTGATTCACCCTTTATCATCGTACGCACATATTTTTATGATATAACAAGAATTGTTTGTTAGATCTGCCATTTAAAGTTGTTTGTTTTTAGGATTTGCGAATTGAAATATAACTATGGCCGACGCTGACGCCGCCGATGATCTATTAGATTACGAAGACGAGGAGAACCCAGAACAGACCGCAAATGAAAATAATGCCACAGAAGGTCAGAAAAAAGGGGTTAAGGGAACGTACGTTTCCATACACAGTTCCGGTTTTCGGGATTTCCTTTTGAAACCGGAGATCCTCAGGGCTATCGCTGATTGCGGTTTCGAACACCCTTCAGAAGGTTTGTTTTATTTATATCCAGGTTATATGAGTTTTAAGTAATATAAACGTTTGATTTTAGTGCAACACGAATGTATTCCTCAAGCGGTCATTGGTATGGACATTCTTTGCCAAGCGAAAAGTGGTATGGGTAAAACGGCGGTGTTTGTGCTAGCCACCCTACAGCAACTAGAACCCACCGAAAACGTCGTTTACGTTCTCGTCATGTGCCATACGCGAGAATTGGCCTTCCAAATCAGCAAAGAATACGAACGTTTCAGCAAGTACATGTCCAACATCAAGGTCGGCGTGTTCTTCGGGGGCCTGCCCATCCAAAAAGACGAAGAAGTATTAAAAAACAGCTGTCCGCACATCGTCGTCGGAACGCCCGGCCGCATCTTGGCCCTCGTCAGATCGAAGAAACTCAATCTCAAGCACATCAAACACTTTATTCTCGACGAATGCGATAAAATGTTGGAGCTACTAGGTATGCAAGTTACTCAATTTTCATAATTATTCCACTTGTAACTAATCACAAGAATACCCAATGAGGTACTAGGTAAACACTACTTGCCGGAAACCGTCCAGTTTTTTCTACAGATTAGTCCATTTTGGCTTATAAAGCCTCATTTCATTTATTACTACTAATTTTTTTCATATTATTAAATGTAATTATTGTTTCAGACATGAGACGCGACGTTCAAGAAATATACAGAAATACACCGCACGAAAAACAAGTAATGATGTTCAGTGCGACGCTCAGCAAAGAAATTCGGCCAGTTTGCAAGAAATTCATGCAAGATGTAATTCACACTTCTTTATCTACCCACTTATTGAATGACGCACCCACTCGCACAATTTAAAGCGCTGTTGTCTATATGTAAAAAAATATCAAATGTTATGGTACAAAGCAAAAAAAAGAGGGTGTTTGAACCGTACTCGCGTTTAGCGCATTGTAGCCCAACGAGCAGGTCGGGGTCGGGCAGGGCCGAGAAGAGGATTCAAGATTGTAAAAAGTATGACGAAGAGCAAATCGAACCGTTGCTTTTGGGTGTCGCGTTAAACTCACTTTCGGCCGAGCTACAATGCATACAAATTATTTTACCACAAACAAACACACCACACACCTGATTGAGTAAGCCTAGTAGTATTTGGGGGATTGAATGGTGCTTCCGATGCCATGGAGGTTTTTTTAATTAATTTTGGAAGAAGCGCCCGCTTGACGTTCGACGATGACGCAGCGATGATGGGATGCGAGATTTCGACTGACTGTATATACGATGGATTCAGTCAAGACCTTCGTAACTGCAGCTCTCTCGATGCGTTTGTACAATATAAACATTAATTGAGGTATTAAGAGTGTATCCTCAATTTCTGTTTGTGGTATTTTTGTGTGTTGCGCGAGATAAATCATTGGATAAAGTAAATATTTTTAAAATAAATTACAGGGATGTTTTTGAAAGTGGTGATATACTTGATGATTTATCTCGTTAAACACAGTAAAAATAATAATTTTTTCAATTTCCTGTTTCTGAAAGATTCATAATTTATTTAATTGTTTCAATATTTTTGCATTTCTATGATCTTCTTTTACATTATGTTAATTTTCCTGGAATATTTTTCTATTACCAATTACCTTAATTGTCCACTTTTGGATATTGGCCTTCAGTTTTCGTTAAATTTATTTATATTACCCAAAAATTTGAGACATGTAAGTGTAAGAATCTATAATGCTTGTTTTTATGCCAAATTGCAATTACCACTTCACTATATTCGACAATTCTTTACTTCCGTTAGCACTTTTAATAAAACAATTTTTATATTATACAAGCATTATAAAAACAAAGTATTAAAATACTGATATTTACTAAATCTAGAACAATTTTAAATTATTATAAGATCTTATTGAATTGAAAATAATATTGTCAGTATTTTTATACGTATAATAGTGAATCTTCGATCTCTAGTGAATTTGCCTAAAGCAATTATCAATAGAGATCAATTTGTCCTATAAATGAATATTTTTTTGTTCAGCCCATGGAAGTGTATGTTGACGATGAGGCGAAATTGACGTTACACGGTCTACAACAACATTATGTTAAGCTTAAAGAGAACGAAAAGAATAAAAAATTATTTGAGTTACTTGATGTGTTGGAGTTTAATCAGGTAGGTGTTTGATTTTTGTTTGTACTCGTACATCAATTTAACATTTTGTAAGTCATTAACATTATTATTTTATTAGAAATAATTTGAAATGTTCCTTGTTAGGAGGAAATAATTTAAATGATGATAGCAAAGTTTATGATTTAATGATATCACTGAACTCTCTCACTGATTAATCTAACGTTATGTTTACTATTTTATAAATTAAGTAATAGTTTTCTTAATGAGGCGTTTCTTTAAAGGTGGTGATATTTGTAAAATCCGTGCAGAGATGTGTAGCGTTGGCGCAACTTTTGACGGAACAAAATTTCCCAGCAATTGGAATACACCGAGGAATGGAGCAAAAAGAACGATTATCCAGATACGAACAATTCAAAGATTTTCAAAAGGTAACATAAACTTAAACACACCTAAATATACATTTGACTCGTTATATTTTTTACAGAGAATATTGGTAGCCACGAATCTTTTCGGTCGTGGTATGGATATCGAGAGAGTGAATATTGTTTTCAACTATGATATGCCGGAAGATTCGGACACTTACCTTCACCGAGTGGCTCGAGCAGGTCGTTTCGGTACAAAGGGTTTGGCCATTACCTTCGTTTCCGAAGAAGGAGATGCCAAGATATTGAACGAAGTACAAGACAGATTCGATGTTAACATTACCGAATTACCTGATGAAATTGATTTGAGTTCATACAGTAAGTTCATCAAATTTGTGATTTATGGAAGTATTACATGTTTACCGTTTTGTTTCAGTTGAGGGACGATAGTTTCCGAAATGATGTGCGTAAAACTAGATGTAAGAGTTTCCATTATTTTATACTTTTTATTTGTATTCTTTGACCTATGTCTATGTCATGTAGAATGTTTAATGTGATTAAAAATCGATTAATTTCTAATATGTGTTTATTATTTCACTAAATAGATGAACAGTTCCGTTTAGTTAATAAGCACGTATTAAGTGTATAAAAAAATATAAAATTTAAGAGAAAAATAAAAACAGATCTATTAGGTAGAAAATAAAGTATTTCTATGTTAATAAGTCTTCACTTTTACTTAAAAAAATCGTGTCCCATGGTAAAAAAATTTTCAAAAAAAAGCAAGCAAAAAATTACTTATTCCAAAGACACGAAATTTTATTATCTTACGGATCCACAAACGATATCATGATATACCTGGTGCCATTAGTGACTTGCAAACCTTCGTGGAAGTGCGTCAGTCTACCAGGATGAATCAACAACCACCCCTGTTTCGTGTCAACCACGCTGCAATTGTACCGAATAAACTTACAACCCCCGCCTTCATAATCTACATTCCTTCGGTTCAGCGCGATGTTGATCGTGTACGTAGAGCTATCGTGATGAGGCCTCAGGGACGGCTGCTCGTCCGGTCTGTACCTGTAATTTTCCCTATCGTTAAATAGTAACCACTAACATTCGACGCATCGACTCTAACCTGACCACGAAGTTCATCAGAGACTTGGGCGGATCGTGGTAGTAGCCGATGAAGACTTTCTCCTGCAGCGGCCTGACGTACTTCTGCAGGAAGTGCAGCCAATGCGGCTCCCAGCCGACCTGGTTCATGTGGATGTCCCGCGTAGGCACGGCCTCGTAGCCGCCGACCAAGCGTTCGTCGTTGTTCGTTCCCGATGACCACTTCCCGAAGTTTTCCATCATGTTGATCAGCGAGTTGCAGAATCGCTCGGACACTATGGGGAACCAGTAGACGTCCGGGCAAGGCTTTGGAAGGAGAACAAAAAGAGGATATTATAGTTGTTGCATTACGATTTGTTGTGAATTGTAACTTACTTGAAGGTCTTTCTTTTCGGGGTTAAAGTTTTCCGGATAATCGACGTGGATGTATCGATCTTCCCAGTCTTGAGCGTTGTCGAATATTTGGTACATATCAGGCTCGGTTCTCGTGGTGTCGAAATTATCGGGGTTTATTAGATGACCGAAGTCGACTCTGTTCGAAACGTACATAAACACGTCGATTTTTCTCAAATTGCTGCAGAATGTCATGTCCGCATCCACCTTCGGCTTCGTGTAGTTTATTACAGTACGATCTCGGGATTTCAACAATGTAGAATTTATGATGTAAGCGTTTGAAATAAACGGCACGTTCCACAAACCCCTAAAAATAAAATTACCAAAAATAATTCCAAACGTTCTGGCTGTGGCAAAAGAGTACCCGGAAATTCTGATTTAAATTACCTGCACTTAATATTTCAAGTTTCTGTATGTAGGTAACACTGTTGTTAATTAGCATGCAAAAAATTAAAGAGATTTCTCAATCAGTTTGTAGCAGCTGATTGATTCAGTTCATGTCAGTAGTGCTCTGCGAATTTTGCAATGGACAAAAATAAAGAACAGAGTTTGTCTCATATTTTGGGTTTTGTACGGAATTTCGTGGACCGAATCGATGCAAAATGCTTAGGGTGACTCTGTTTTTTCGGAAACCCATACAAAATTTTTAAAGACAGTCGGGAGATCGCTAAACTTTACTTGTTTCGGATGGTCTTCGACCATTTCCCCCGATGATAACGACGAGAAAATGAAGGAAATTGAGTTCGAAAATCATCATGCTACTATTAGAGAAGTAGCATGTGACCTCAACATCTCCTGTTAAACCGATAGTTTGACTTTACCCAACCAATCAGACATGCTGAGAATTAAGGCTCAGCTCGTTCCGATAAAGCTGAGTTTTCTTCAAAAACGATATCGTCCACTGGTCGAGCAGGCATGCTGGTTCGTGTGAAGTACCATCTACCAGCCGTTATAACCACCAGATATAGCCTCGTGCGATATTTTTTTGTTTACCAAGCTCAAATTGCCACTTCGGGGATCCCGTTTTGTGCAATAAATGCCATCAAAGAAATTCGCAGAAAGAGCTAAAAGCCGTACCAAAAAGGTGCTATAAAAATGCTTCGATGATTGGAAAAGGCGTCTGGCTATGTGCATCGCTTCAAAAGAAGCATAGTTTGAAGAAGATTCAAGAAAAATTAAAGAAAATTAAGAAGTTTGCGCTTTATTCCAATTTTCCGGTTACTTTTTTGTCACTGTGTATACACTCCTGCGCGTATCAGTGTCAATTTCATTTTTAAACAAATGATAAATCGCAAAAATATTGCGAGTAATTCGAGGCGATCGTCGTAAGTGGAAAAGCAAACAATTTAAACACCACGAACATCCTTGTCCCCTTTGTAACGATCCACGAATTACCTAATTAGGTGAATAGACGAAATAAACATGTCAATTGTTGACCCCTTTCGATAAACAGGCTCCTCGAAAAAGGCTTCAAACGGCGTTTCACGAGCGGGTTTTTTGGAAGTAGGTTTCGAACGCGCGCTTTCCTCCGCGTCAATCCAGCGTAATTGCCATCGCTACTCAATTGAAACCAATGGTAGACAAAAAGTTGTTGACTTTCGTGTGCTTATGCATTTGTATCCAGATATGCCAAAGTGCCAGAGGAGGCGGTAGAGGTAAGAATGTACGTTCGAATTTGATCTCCACACAAGAATCTTTACTGTGAATAAGACGAAAGACGTTGAAGAAACTTCGGAAGCGAACCATAGAGGACTAGAGAAAATTATTAGGTATATTTGTTGATTGAATATTTTTTTGCTTCATTTAAGGGAAACTGAGCAGGGGACGAGGCAGGATTTTCAGTTCCAGCGTACCAGTGATGATTCAGCACAGGAACCCGGCGGCTAAAAGCTATTACGAAAATAAAAACGTAAGTTTCAACCAAAAAAACAAACACCAGAACCGTACTAGTACCGTTTTAGGGCGCAAAAATAGTCAAATCCAGCCACTTCGAATTGGAGTACATGCTGGGAAGAAAAATAACATTCTTCTGCATGGCTACAGGTAACAAAACAAAACTCCCAATGCACATTCATTATTATTATCCAATCATTTCCAGGATTTCCCAGGCCGGAGATAGTTTGGTACAAAGACGGAATTGAACTGTTATACCACAAATTTTTCCAGGTACTTTACATCGTTTATTAACAATAAAAATTTCCTATTTTAACAATCTTTATAGGTGCACGAATGGCCCATTGGAAACGACACGGTGAAAAGTAAAATGGAAATTGATCCTACCACGCAAAGGGACGCTGGATATTACGAATGCCAAGCGAATAATAAATATTCAATCGATTCCAGGGGCTTCAGAACCGATTACGTTATGATCACGTATTGATGACGTTATTTTTTATGTTGTACGTAATAACAGTTGGGTTCTTACGGAAATAAATGTAAAATTAAGTATCTTTGCATTGTCTAATTGTACACTACACAAATTATAAGTTGGGGAGTGATGATCGTTCTCTATTTTCAACTTTAAAGGTATTAAATGTCACATTTTGGATTTATTTAATCTCAATTTCTAGTATAAAATTAAAAAGGTCTAACTAATTTATTCTGTAAAGCCATTCCATTTTTTTCTTTCGTTATTCCCAATGAACCTTAAATATTTCCTACTACTACTATTTTCCTCCAATTCTTCCTCCTCTGTATGTGATGAATACAGTTCTTGGTCTTATATATGTCTCCAATGACTTGTGTCACTTGGGGTAATTTCGTACTTTTCTTCATTTCCTTCTATTATTCTTTTACATTGAACATATTCATTGGTACTTATTCAATACTCCTTATTCATCAATCCGTTAAAGAGTTTTTTAAAGGACTGAATAACGCTGAATACGAACCAATATACTCTTTCAGTGGATTTTTTTATATTCGCCATTTGAAAAGTATTCCTTTTTATGTACTCGTTTGTACAAAATTCTCTTGTACCTACTTCTTGAAGTACTAGAGAAATCAATTGATTGCTTCAGCTTATCTTCCTTATTTGCTTATTAAGAGCAACTCTATAGATTTCACTCTGATATTCCACCTTTTTTATTAATTATTCAGATAAAATTTCCACTAATTTCGCACTGAAAATCTTCCACTTGCAAAAAACCAATCAAGCGATTTATCCAGAGGCACCAGGGAATTTTCCAGCGCGGCTATACATAAAACGTCCCAGTTGGAAAAAAATTCATAAACACCGCCGTTTAAACAATATCACCGGCGTATGCATAATATACGATATTTCTACTTGATTGGATTAAATTGTCGCCAATCTGTGCCAACCGAAGGGGAGCCCGGCCGTTTAGTTCCTTAAGAGATTGCCCACTTACTTCTTCGAGCTTTAGCAATTTGACGCGATTGTCGAAGTTCGAAGAACAAAAAGTAAATTCGCGAGCGCCTTTACATCTGCTTGTAGAAGACATGAGGCTTCAAACGTCGATTGTGGTGTTGGTGTTGATCGCCTTGTTCGGATTTTCTGATGCCAGGAGAGGAAGGACGAGAAGTAGGACTAAGTCAAAGGTACTTTTACAATATAAATAATAGTTCATTTTAATTAATTTGGTGTCTTTTAGTTTCAAATAGGATTACCGATTACTGGAAAGTATAGGGATCCGGAATCTGATCAATACTACAATAATAACAACGTAAGTGAGGTACTTTAAGTGGTGAGTTATTAAAATACACTGAATTGTAGGGAGCGAAAATTATTCTAGCCTCGCATTTCGATTATGAATACGTGCTGGGCCACAAAATAGCCTTCCTGTGCGTCGCTAGGGGCAATCCTCGGCCCCACATTATCTGGTACAAAGACGGAAGCGAAATTTTCACCCATCAATATTTACACGTATGCCAAATTTACTCCCAAACTATCAATCGCAAATTTATAATAAACGTTGTTTTAGATACACGAATGGCAAATCGGTAGAGACAAGATAAAGAGCAAACTAGAAATCGATCCCGCAACGCAAATGGACGCGGGTTTGTACGAATGCACGGCCGACAACATGTATTCCATCGATCGCAGATCGTTCAAAACCGACTTCAGCATCGCTTTCGATTAAATGCTGTTATATATCATAACTTACAGTGCGATAGAAATAGCTGGAGACGACGCGCGGCCAATTATTTATCACCCGAACTCGCGCATGTGACGTCTCCGACTATTACTATCGCACTGTACGTGTAATACGAATTAAATATTACGAAAATCTTACCGTTTTTCGCTGTGAACGATGTCCATGTAGTCGTTCGATCTCGCGTAGAAACCGTCCTTGGAGAGGGCCCCCCAAAAGTTGCTCCACGCCTTTCCCGGCCTCGTCAATAAAGGCGCTATAACGGTACGGTTCTGCTCGATAAGGAGCTTTAACGTATAAGGATTGTCTATGTGGGCTATGGAGTCTACTGAGAAGTAGATGTCGCATTTTTTGGTTAGACAATGGTCTCTAAAAGAATAATTTGTAGAAACTAATTTTTGTTTGTGTCCATTAAAAGCTTACAGGGATAGATCTCGAGCTGTCCATTCCGGGATAGCATCATCTGGGGTAATTTGCTTCAAAGTAACGTATTCTTTGGCGTGTTTTTCAGTGAAGTTATTTACATGATCCGTGTGGAATTTCATCTAAAATGTACCAAAAACAATCACTATAGATTTTGAGAAGATTTCATGATTTTAGAAGATTCAAAAGTATCTCAAAATGACTTATTAAAGATTATCTTTGAGAGCAATATACAAACCGCATTATGGATGAATAAGTGAATGCGCTCTTTGGGGTATTGGAGGTTGTGAATTTTATTCAGGAACTCCTCCAAGAAGGGAGTATTGTGTTCGATGAAGAGAGCAATCAAAACCACGGGTACGTCTTTACTGGGCAGCCCTTCGAGGTTTATGAGGCCCTTCTTGCACTGTCGACAGCCTTCCACGGAGTTCCAAGCGTTCGGAACGTAATTACCCAGGTAGTTTAAGGTGTGCTTCGACGCCCCGTTACCGTGAATTACGATCGGCTCGGTTTGATAGAGCACGTTTTTAACGTAATATTTATCGATGTCCCCTTCTTTGGTAGGCTTCGAGATAATTTCGATTTCTCCTAAATAACAATCGGTTAGTTAATCGGTCGTTTCATCGAGTCGTTAGTAACGTACCAGCCACTCCGTTGAGGTTTTGGAATAACTCGTTGGTGTGGTCGAGTTTGATTTGAGCATCTTCTCTGAATTTCTCGTCTAGATAGGCTTCGGTGCAGAACAATTGATCGTCGTCTTGATCGTCGATTTCCTTTCTGGATAGCAATTTCAGTACTTCCGGAACGTACCCGATGAACATTCCGGAGTTGAGGAACCGCTTGCCTTCTTTCACCTCGGGGTATTTGGTTTCCAAACCGGCGTCGGGCCAGCAGTAAGGTTCGGCCCCGAAGAGTATTCGAGCGCCGGTTTTGTGGAACCTCCGGACGATTTCGTCCAATTTGCCCAGGAATATTACGTCGTAGGCGTCGGTGAATAATACTAGTTTGTTATCGTCCCCTTCGAAGGGCTCCAGGGCGGTTTTGAGCAGCTTCAATTTCCAGCCACCGCCCGGATGGGTTTTCACTTCTCCGCCGCGCCATTCGTGCCCGAAGCCTAGGATTTTAGGCTGGATGTTGAACTCGCTGGCGGAATCTAAGTACCTATCGAAGCCATTCGTTTCCTCGGTGGCTACCGTATATACAAGAATATCTGAAAAAAATAGATCCACAGTAAATCTAAATGTTTTATCGTGGAAATGTTATAGAACGTTCTAAGAGGTGAAGGACAGGTCTTTGGCCTTTATCCAAAAATAACCGGGAATTATAAGCTACATTAACTTCTAACTGATGACACTATTGATAAAGATTTATCGGACTGTTTCGTACATGTAATAATTAACGAAGCGACTAGATTGTTCCAGATGTTTCGAATTTATATACGCGTTACATCATATTAATCTATCGAAATAACAAACTGATTAAAGAACCAGAGCAGCATCCAACTTCCTGTAAATCTTAGTATCTGTATTGGCGAGGCAATACGGAAATTTTATCTGTATAAATGAGTTTTATTATCGAGCTCTCGCCGGTTGTCGTTCGTTAAATCAGTTGAATATTTCTGGTGGAATAGAAATTTTAACGACAAATCTATTTTAAGTGCGACTACGTGACTTATGCGGAATTCGAAGTTATAAAAGAAATTGGACACCCGGAATTCGTGGAAATAAAATGTTTTATTAGGTCACTTATTAAGTCAGAAGCTGAAATAAACGAAATTATACGTAAAATTACGCTTCCCTTCATTTAAAAATAGGAATTAATTAAACATGTAAACTGTAAACAAATGGTTTTTAATGTAAACAATACATACCGCCGGTTTCCTTCGATGTAACAGAAAATATTACGAATAATAAAATAGCTGGCGAATATTTGAACGTCATAATGTATTTTTTATTTCAAATAAATTAATAATTATTGCTAATTAAATTTAAAAAAACATGGCACAAAACAATCACAACTCAGTCGCTCACACACAAAATAACTAATGACTAAAAAAAGAAAAGACCAGCTCCAAGTAAGATGGAATGCCACGTTGCCATATCTTAAATGTGATTGATCATAATATTCTCTAAAAAGATAACGTTCTCATCTTAAGTACATTTATAGGAATACTAATTGTTCAAAGCGAATAAAATGACACTATTGCAAATAATTTTTCTAAATTCTTTTTTATAAAAAAGTAAAAGTTGAATAAAAAACAGTAAGAATATTTCAACAGCCCTTGGCATTTTCGTTATGAATCAGAAATTTTTTGCAAGCCGACAATGTTGAATTGATTATGTGGATTCTTGAAGGTAGGCAATACTTTTAACACGTATTTTTCAAAATATATTAAACTTTATAAAAACGACTGATATTTTCTTTTTGAAAAATTTCGTCTTTTAGTGATTTATTTCTAACAAATTCTGTAGTAGATTTTTTCTTAAATATACTTACCAACTTCCAGCATTACTTCTGCTTCTTTTGGACATTCCACAACTTCATTATTTTTAGTACAATGAAATTCTATAAAACCAATTTTAAACATTAAAAAAATATTAATTTAGCCTTTTTAACTTACCTGATTTCATATTTGAGAGTAAATATTCCTCATTGCATTCACCTTTATTTTCTTCATCTGTACAATGAAGTTCTAATAGCAATAAAATGTAGGTATTAAAAAATACATAAAAATTTGTAAAAGCAGATATTTTTGTTTTACTTGCCTGAAGAGTCAGATAAGCGCAGAAACGTATAAATAACAATAAGAGCTTTTAACATCATTATTAGATGAAAACGGAATTACTACTGATCGATATCGAATCGATCAATCGGGTAAAAGTTTTCGATCTGAAAAATCATTCGACCAAAAAATTAGATATCAATGTTTAGGCGCCCATTATTTTCACCTTTTTGTAACAAATCGATCACTTTATGTAATTTCTTTTCGTTTCACTCGAAATACTTCCAATTTTTTATACAAGTTTAACAGGTGATTGTAGTAAAATTTCATTTCTAATCCTCCATGTTTTGAACAGTTATTAAAAAATTTATTAAGGATAATTAACTGTTGGTAGGTAAGAACAATATAACTTTTTTTAAATAGAATTGTAGTATATTTATAAAGCAATAATATAATATAGAAAAAATACCATACATTCTGAGATAATCATGACAAATAAAACATTATCAATATGAAAACCTCCTATTATTAATAAATATGTGGAATAGAAAAGCAACTAATTAGTATAAAATAAACAGTACGACAATTATTTTATACTTAAAATAGAATTCGCGTCGATAAAACGTATAAGTAAGTACGAGTTAACAATTCCAGAAGGTAAGAAATACTCGCAATTTTCTCTGTATAAAATCTAAATTAAACTTGAGTACTCAATTAGAGTATTAGATTGTAAGAAAGGGAACAATCTTCCAATATTTTTAAGAATCAATACCTACGACCTATCATATGAATTGGGTTAGAACATGCACTCTTAAGGATTCCCTCGTTTGCTTATTAAATTAAATTTAAGCAGATTACGAAAAAAAATCATTAGTATACCATGAGAGTTTCTGCCGCTAACATCATCTCGGTATTCTTTTTAGACGAAAACCTGCGACGATGCCCCCGAAAAACGATCCCGAACTCGTAGCCCTGCGGAAGGAGGTCGAGGATTTGTACAAAAAACTGCAGGTAAACCGATAATTATCTTAGAAATGTTCGAGTATTCCAATTCGATTTGCAGGAGGCTCAGAAGAAGGTGGAAGACACCAGCCTGGAAAAGGCCTGCGAGAGCGTAGGCGCTGCGCCCAAGGTGAAGCTCTCCACGAAGAAACTGATGAAAGGGCATTTGAATAAAGTAAACTCGATCCATTACAGCGGGGACAGTCGCCATTGCGTTACAGGCTCTTTGGATGGAAAACTGATCATATGGGACACCTACACTGGGAATAAAATGCAGATCATACCGCTGAGGTCGGCTTGGGTGATGAGCGTGGCGTTTGCTAGTTCGGGAAATTACGTTGGTAATGATTAATAAATCATCTGTTTTTATTTATTTATTAATTAATTGTTGGTTGTAGCTTGCGGAGGAATGGATAATATGTGCACAGTGTACGATTTAAACAACAGGGATGCGAACGGCGTGGCGAAAATGGTGAGAGAACTAGCCGGTTACGATGGGTTCCTGAGCTCCTGCAGATTCCTGGACGATAAATCCCTCATAACAGGATCGGGTGATATGAAAATGTAAAGTCCCCTTCGAGCTTTTGCACCGTAATAAACGTTCGGTTTTTAGTTGTAAATGGGACTTGGAAACCGGCAGGAAAGTCTCCGATTTCATTGCACACAACGGCGACGTAGTATCTATAAGTTTAGCCCCGGATGGGAACACTTTCGTCACGGGAAGCGTCGATAAAACCTGCAGGCTTTGGGACATCAGAGAAAACAAACCTAAACAGACGTTCTTCGGGCACGAAGCGGACGTAAATTCAGTTAGTGTGAGTACGGAAACAATCAAATTATTAGCATTATTATTAACATTGTTTTGATTCAGTATCACCCAAGTGGGTATGGCTTCGCAACAGGCTCAGAAGACAAATCCGCCAGGATGTTCGACATCAGAAGCGACCAGCAGTTAGCTTTGTACAAACCACCTTCGCCTAACAGCGGTTTTACATCGTGCGCTTTGTCGATTAGTGGAAGAATATTACTTTGTGGCTCCGACGACAATAACATACACATGTGGGATACGTTGAAAAACCAACACAATGGTGAATGAGAATTATTTCTGAACGATTGTGGGATTTAATTACGAATTTTGGTATTTTTTAGGTGTACTATCCGGTCATGATAATAGAGTTACGTCGATTTCGGTGGCGAATAATGGCATAGCAGTCGCCTCGTGCAGCTGGGATCAAACGGTTAGAGTTTGGGGATAATTTACAAGGATTCCACTGGACTTCACGATTTATATGATGAACCGCTGTAGTAGGATTACGGAAATCCGAATGCTCAGACTATGAAATAATTACTGTATTACTTATACTTAGTTTATCTTTTATTGAAGTTAATAAATGTATCTTCCCATCGGCTCTTATTATGATACAGCATTCAATAGTAATCAAATTAAGTTTTATTATTTTTTAAACGTACAAGAGCAAGCCTCATGAAAAAACTGAAATGTTTACAAATTGGCTCGATCTTTACAGTCATCTGGTACTTAGTCTAATAAAAATAACATATCACAAATAACAAAAAGTAGTACGTAATTCTAGAACACTCGAGTTAATTCAAGAAATTTTAGATGAATTATCAATAGTATAAAATTTTGAACCACCCACTATTACAGCTGTCCCTGCTTGAACATGTTTTGGCAACACAGAAAATTGGCACTAAAAAACAAATTTAAAATATACAGCGTGTCCCGTATAAAAACCTACACAGAGCAGGAGAGTGTAGGGGAGCTCAAAATATATTGTTTAACTCGACTTTAACTTAATACAGCCAACTTTTGAATTATCGACGATTTTAAGTAACATTGATAGTGTACATGACTTTAGTTTTTAGCGTTCTTCATCAAGAATTTTAAAAAACAAAAAGAATAAAAAAGGTTTAAAATCAAATTACCTACGCAATGAACTAATAATGTTTGAAATCATCCAATCAGGTAAAAAAAATCTGCAACATTTTAAGGGAGCATCATCCCCAATTAACCCTTTAAAATACATCAATTGATCTCTCCTAACCATCCAATATTGCTCTTTGTACAATCATAACGTATACTAAATTTAGAGTATTACAGAGATATATATTTTTATAATTTGTAACTCCCCTTGGAAGGCCTATTACTACTCAGGAATGTAGCTTAATTTAATTTGGATTAAACAGCATATTTTGGGCTCCCCTTTTCTATGTTGGTTCTTATGTAGGACATTCTGTACTTATTACTATTAATTTACATCAACAAAACTTACCTTAGGTTTCTTATCACCAGCTCCCATGTACCCAACAACCATAGTCTCCGTACTGTGACCCCACATCACACCAATGTCACCCGTTAAGTAATCTCTATGCAACACTAAAGCGCCGCCCATTTTGTTCTGGACGTTTCTCAAAAATTTGGAAAGCAGGAATTTTTCGTTCATCGATTTGTGCAAATCGACCGTCGGGCAGGTGGTGTGTTTAAGATCGACAGATATCTCTTTGGCAAGTTGAGTTTGAATTAAATGTTCGCCGCAACCGGTCGTACAAACTGCTATCGAAGATTCTTTCTCCTTGTCAGTGCTGTCTGCCCAACTGCCGCTGGCGAATATAGCAGCCTGGCCTACCCTGCCTGGTTTCTTCAATAATATACCTCCTGGAATTGGAATAGAAAAGAAAATAAAAGTAATTATAAGTAATTGAGGAGTATAAGGAATTACCTGAGCTACACGCAGCAGCAACATGGCCGCTTCCATCGATGCATACAGCCCCAACGGTGTCTAAAAGCAGATCCTTCTGATGAGCTTCCAATAGTTTACTGTATTGATTGAATTGTTTCGTAGCTTTAGCACTAATGAGATCGTTGTGTTTGACAATTTTTAAACCTACATTTCTAGCGTAATCTAAGCCGCCTTGTCCGACGAGCAACGAAGGCGGTATTAAACCTAAAGGCATGGAGTTCGATTGATTAACGCATAAACAGTAAGCTAATTCCACTGGGTTTTTAACTTTTTTAACGGCCCCGCAAGCACCGAAATTCAACGTTTTACCATCCATTATGGAAGCATCGTTTTCGACAGTACCATCCGAGGTTAAATTGGAACCGTAGCCGCAATTAGTGAGGGGGTCGTTTTCTAATACTACAACAGCCACTTTGACTGCGTCTACTGCTGAACCCCCATCTTCGAGGACTTTTGCTGCCTTTTCGCAAGCTCTGTTGCACAGTTTCTTGTAGTCTTTGAATAAAGAGCTGTTATGAGACCCGGCTCCTATAAAATATACTTACAATTAGTATGCTTATTATTGTGTTGGTTTAAATAAAAAACTTACCACAGTGTACAGCCACAACTCCTGGCATTTTGACTAGTATCAGGTGTCAGACTAAGAAGAATTTAATTAATTAAAGAACTGGATTTTATAATTCACATTGTTTTGTTCAGATTTTTAATTGTTAGAATACTTTTTTATATTTGTAATTTTGTAAACATTAAAAAAATCTAACCTAATTAAAATTGACAGCTTCTTCTTTTTATCAGAAAAGGTATCTTGATATGTCACTAAAAATTTAATGTTCTGTGATAAACTTCAGTAGGTTGTGACACTGACATAAAGATGTCGCCAGCTGTTAAAAAGTTTGTGGGATTTTCTGGAAATGAAATGGAAAAACCAGGAATATCCTTTGATCCTAAAATAAAACGGAAAAAATAATTTATAAATTTCTATTTACTAAAACACGAATGTTTTTTAGCGATATATTTACGACCGAAACATCCCCGAAACACATCTTACTCATCGAATAGACTGACCCACCAGGTGTAATAAAAAACATTTTACGGTTGCTCATAAAAAGGTATTCTGCACTGCAAATATAGAAATTAAACTATAAAATTTGATATCTAAGTTACATGTGTTTCTTAAAATAAATCCAAGTCATTCAAGCTAATAAATGTAATGTATTTTTGCTGTTGAGGTATTTCCACGTACTTACCTCTATTATTCACCAGATATTTTAAATTTAAAATTTAATTGAAAATCAAAAGTAATAATAACAATGAAAATCAATTTTAAATTTATTTATGATAAATTATGTGAACACTCCTTTAATTTTGATCCTTTATGCAAATGTCAAGAATTGTCACTGTCATTTTTTTAAATAAAGTAATCAAGCAAACTAATTTTTTGATAAAATTAGGAGTTATTGTGAAGTGAAGTAAACAGAAGTGGAATAAATAAACTTTTATTTTAGTTAACAAAATTGTACTCCCGAAGCGGTTAGGAAAGTTAAGTAAGGAAACTTCTTTTCTTGGCCATCTCATTTCTAATTTTATCGATGACGTATAATGGTGTTGATAAAACAGAGAGTTGGGAATGAAAGGAAAGAATGAGTGAGGATAAGATTGAATAATCTGGTAAAAAAGATCTGAGCTCCAGTTCAGGGAATTAATTTCGATTACTGTAGATTGAGGCAAATATTTAAAGAGAAAATCTTGATTGGTCTATGCAAATATTTTTGGTACTAAGATAATGAAGGAACTTATACAGATATGTGCAAATTTGTTTGCAATATAGTCTGTGGGTGCAACAGATACTCAATTACTCCCATATAATGGAAAAAGAAAGTAATATTCTGGGATTGTAACTTTCTCATTCTAACAACTTCTATTTTAATATTCTTTCTTTATTGTTCAACTGATAGAATTGATCATATTGCAAAGAGTATAAAAACTACTATAAAAATCGCCAAACTTCAGGATTATACAAGTAATTTTTAACAAAAAATGTCATATAGAACTTTTTCGAAAAGTTGATAGTAAATTTTGGTTTTTCGACCATTAAAAGATACAAATAAGTAGTTCATTTCATAATTATAACAATTACATATTTTGTAACACCCCGCATTGAATTTTTTTAAAACTGATAAATACACTTATTGCAAAATTTATTGCACTTTTACGGTAGGTATGTGGTCAAAATTAATGTGACTTTACGAATAAAAGTGATATTTTCATATTTTTTGAAAAAAAAGCAAAAAAAATTGAACTATGAAATGTTAAATAAAAGAGAGAAATTATCAACTTTTCGAAAAAATATTGTATGACATTTTTGGATTATCAACTTTTGGTCAACGACATAATCACCTCTTGAAATTTGGCGTGTAATAGGTATAGTGTGAAAAAGAAATTTTTAATAATGACAAGAATTAGAAAAGAAATAAATAGACCTTTTATTGAAATTAATCAAATATTTTTTAAATGTGTAACAAAATATAAACTTTCTTGTAAAGTAATAAAGGATTCTTAAATTCTCATGGGAATTGTCATAGAGATACTTTTTACACAGATAATACTAATCCGATGTATTTTTTAGAGATGTTCTTCAGTGACATCCGAGACGCGCCGCCGGAGAAGACGCCACAAGAAGAGGGTACGCATTGTTCGGCTCGCCACAGGGGCTGTTTTCCGTTCCCGAAACTCCGCCCGCGCCACCGCGATTCGAAAGAGCCGGCCGACGGTGAGCACGTGTTCCTCCGTGTTAATCTCGTTCAGTTTCGAAAATTACACCGCCCGGCTAAATTTAAGCGGCGACGCGACGACAAAAGAAATCCCGAAATTTTATTAATAGGAAATCGGGTTTATCGGCGAGCAAGCCAATAAAAATAAAAGTGATATCAACTTCTCGGGTTCTCGCTGACCGGTCTACCGCTGCGCAATGGTTCAACCCGTAAAGAACAACCGAGCACCGCGCGCTAACTTAGCCATGTGTTCACTTTTGAAAAGTTGACTGTCGCTCGCTTAGCAAGCAGACACGACCGCCGAGCGATAGCGCCGCGTTTACTTCTCTCGAAACTCCTCAACTCGCAGTGCAGCCTCCGGTCCATCCAGCGTGCTTCTTCGGTCAAAGTAAATACAACAATTAAGTGCGATGACATTTTAGGGTTCGCGACTGGAACAAAAGACTCATCTCGTTCGACGATGGGCGGCCCAAATAACGGAGCCCCGAAACTTTTCGGTTTGTTCGCGATCGTTGTGATTTGTTGCATGATTGTGGGTAATGTGTATCAAATTTCTGCTGAATCTAAGGTGAGTACGGCTTATGAACTAGCTGTAACCTTTTTGCGCTGTGCGAATATCGCGCGGTTTTCGCATTTTTCTCGAAATAACTCACAGTTTTTAGAAAAACTCAACCAAAAATTCATAGTAACCTAATTAATTTTTTTATAAACAAAAAAAAAATTATTAAGCACTATAATTTAATAAATTTTCAATTATTTACTCGATTCTTAGGCGCACATTGTTAATAAAATCTAATTAAAGCTAACTACAATTGACGAATTTTCCGTACAAAAATGTGTGTCGCCCGCGCGACTCGCCTTGAATTTAACACATTTTTAATGTTAATTCAAAGGCACCGTTTCAATTATACGTTAATTAATTAATGGTTTTCTTTCGTCCATTAAACCGGCACCTAATTACGGATTTGCAACTCCACCGGGTTGCGCTACTGGATCGTCCGAGGGCCGAATTTGCACGCGCAAAAAAATTCTCACTCGCTTTTCGCGATTCCTCCGCGAAATATACCGGCGAATTGGTTCAAGACGAGCCGGTCTCGGCCTTCGACTGCGCCCGATGTTTACCGTTCGAGGGTGTCCAATTTAATTTTATTTATGAACGAGCCTTTCGAGCGCATAAATCTGCCTGTTCTGCCCTATCCAAAGGATTGCGGTTTTTTTTGCACTTTTTTTTTAACTTCTTGGAAGGAAGAACTGCAGCAATCAAATTTTATTCTTATAGTTGGTGTATAATAATCAATGTTTCAATACTGATTTCAACTCGAGTGTGAACAAAAACAACCTTGATTGGTAAAACAATATGTATTTTTAGACATCCATTTATTTTTTATAGCATATTTGATATTTCCAAAATTCGTTTTTGTATCGAATTAAACTACACTCATCATGTTACATAATTATACTCTCTTTGTGTATAATATTATTTGGCCTATTTAAAAATTTATGTAATAATGTGTTCTGTAAATAATTACCTACAACGAATGATAAAAAATATTCAGACAGTTTTTCGTATGTGTGTGATAAATGAATGCTGTCTTGTTATCAAACGCTGCTTTGAAATTTTGATAACCGGCCATTTGTGCTATCATCGTGATATTAATTTTGTTTACAAATTGTTAGGGAATATTCCTTTTCTTCATTTAGTTGATGTATGTACTCGTACTTTATAAAGTTAAGACTGAATAAGTATTTTGCATGTATAAAATAGTATAAATTAATGAATAATTCCACCGTTGCTTTCAAAAATTTTCATTTTATTCTTTTCTATTGGTTCAAAAATTCATTTAAACTAATTTACCTATTATTCTCTCATTTTTGATGCAGAAAAACAAGAAACAGCCACAGGAGTTCTAGATTTGTCACTATTAGACATTTGTAACACATTCATGTTTTTCTCCAAACCCAGTCGTTTCTTCTGTAGGATTTCCTAACAAACATTTCTAAATTTCCTTAAATAAATCCGTGCACTGACAAATTAACACCTATGCTGTTTATTTCAAAACTCCTAAAACACCCACTAAAACACATTTTACAATCCTAAACATATTTTTTTATTTATTTAATTGCATACATGAAAAATTTACGTACGACTTTTAAAAGCCGTAATAAAGAAAACCATTAGAAACCTATTCGACCGCGGCGGTTGATAATCTCAGAAAAAGCCGAAAAGTTCAGAGCGTAGGTCAGTCGACCTGTATTGTTTCTGAATTAATTACAGTTCCGTTGAAATCTGTTCGTCTATTACGATGACATTCGAAATTTTCCCGGTTTGAGATGTTGTTTATGTTTCTGTTCCTTCCGAGATGAATAATGCATGAGGCACGAGGCAATGCATTACATTTTTTTAATCCATCCCAACTATTGCACGATTCCTTATCTTCAATTCGCTTCTAATGGTTGATAGCAAACAATTTCGTCTGAGGATTACTCAACGTTTGGTCGTTGGTCCCGTGAAAAATTGCGTTATCGAATTTTAATTCGTTTTACAACCGCATACATCACTAAAAATAGTTCAATGTAATCCGGCGTGAATTGCTTTCCTTAAAAATAAATTTTGCCGGATAAATGTTTCGATGAAAATTTAACATAAATAAATAAAATATTTTTAAACGAATTAATTACATAATAGCGAAATTATTTAAATTCACAAGGCTAATGGCTCGCGGCACCTACCGAATTCGAAACGTTATTTACATAAAAGATGGGCAATGATACAGCCACAATTTAATGGGCGTATCATTAGTGAGGTAATGAGGCGCATCGGCTATAGTTATCGGAATTAGGATGAAAAAACAAAATGCTCTAGTAAAAAGTCTACCAGCAAACAACGCTGGTGAAACGGAGGCTTTAGAATGAAACTCAGCGCATTGAAATTACGGCATGGCATTCTTCTGTTTAATTTTTATGAAATTAAATAAAAAT